GTAGTGCTATCATAATTCACTACAGCCTCAGCCTCTTAGACTCAAGCGATCCTTCCACCTCAGTCTCCCAAATAGGTAGGACTACAGGTGTGTGCCACCAGCACCAGCTAATTTTTTTTTTAAGAGGTGAAGTCTCAGTATGTTGCCCAGGCTGATCTCAAGTTCCTGGGCTCAAGTGATTCTTCCATCTTGGCCCCAGAAAGTTCTGGGATTTCTGAGCTATCACATTCAGCCTTGACCTTATTTTGAAATAGGGTTTTTGCAGATGTAGCCAAGTTAAAATGGGGTCCTACTGAATTATGATAGGCCCAAATCCAATGATTGGTGACTCTATAAGAAGAAGGCAATTAGTATATGGAAACACAAAGACAGCACACACAGAGGGAAGAAGACCGTGTGAGGACAGGGGCAGAGATTGTAGTTATGCTGCCACCAACCAAGGAATGCCAAGGACTGCTGACAGACACCAAAGGCCAAAAGAGGAAGGAGGAAGCATGGCCTGACAACATCCTGATCTCCAACTTCTGACCTTCAGAACGGTGGCAGAATACATTTCCATTGTTTTAAGCCACCCAGCTTGTGGTAACTTGCTAGGGTAGCACTGGGAGACAAACGCATCATTTCCAATGACTCACTTGGGAAATGTGAGCTTCCAATCCCTGAAACACTCAGTCTGTGGGTTTCCAAGGCACCCACAGCCAAGAAGATCAATCACCACCTCGGCAAAGCTGCACCAGCCTAATCATCAAAAGCAGGTAGCACTATTGTTACACAATGGGAGCCAGAAGGAATATGTATGGCACCCAGGTATCTACTGGGGTCCCTCTTAGTACTTCCTTGCACAAATTTGATGATACATGGACAACTGCAGCAATCCTGGTCTGAGAAGGTAGAGTAATCAGAGGATCAAGCCCCTTAGGGACGAAGGTATTGGTCATGCCACAGATTAGCCACAGAGACCAGCAGAGGTTCAGACAGAGGGTGAGGCTAATCTACAATGGATAGCAGAAGAGGGAAAATGAGACTCTGTAGCAGCTGTAGACAAGCTGGGGCTGCAAGGGCTATAGCTAATCCTTTTAATTTTTCTCTCCTAAATTATCCCCTCCCCCATCCAGAAAGAAGGTCCACGGGAGTCCTGGAAAAGCCTCTCCCAGTCCCTACACAAAGACATGGGTCTGATGGGTGCAAAGCGTGGACTACAGAGGATGCTGAGAGAGCCATTGGCTCGGATCCTCTCTCAGAAATGATGGGCTCATTGCCCGGCTGCTGTGATCGCTGCAGAAGACATCTTGCAGCTGTTCACTCTCCAGCCTTTGCCGGAGAAAACTATCCCAACAGGATCACATCTCCTCCTAAGGGCAGCCTGCATCCTGATGACCTAACAATGCAGAAATATTTTACATTGTTCCTGGCATCCTTGCTTCAGCTCCCCAGAATCTAGACATGCTGAACATTTGTAAGATGAATTAGTCTAATTAAATAAAGATTAGCTGGATAATTGTACAGTGTTTCATAATCCACACAGACCTAGAGTGGTTTCTCACTTTTGGTGGACTCCAGAATCACCTGGAAAGCTTCTAAAATATCCTGGTATTTGGGCTCCACTTCTCAGAGATTCTGCCTTAAATGATTTTGCATGGGGCTGAGCCTGAGTATTCTCTAAAACCTTTCCAAGATCATTAATGTGCAGCTAAGTACTGAAAACCACTGACGGATCAGGAAAATTAGTCAGTGGGGAGCGTGTAGAGAAGTGACCCTGAATATTTATCCTCTTTGTACTCTCATTTTCTGCCAACTTATAGTTGCTTGCTTTATCTCACCAAGGGCTGAGGGATCCCAACAGCTTTCCCTGTCGTGTAGGAAGCACTTAGGAATACCAGCCAGAAGATTGCTTTAGTGTGACTGGCACATTCTAGCAGTTTGGTTGGTTATGCTTTGCACTTACTTCCCTGTCCAGCTGTTTCTGTGTTCCTTACCTTGAAAATCTGTATCCCTTTTGTCTGCCTAGGTTCCTGTTCTTCCGCAGTTCTTGCCTTCAGCAATACACATTGGCCTCCAACCCTGCTCACCTCCAATCCTGAAATTCCTGATCTAATAGCTGGTCCCATCTTTGCAGGATGCCCCATCAACTACCGTGCCCTCCTTTTCCCAGTGCTCCATGGAGGCAAGCAAAATGAGACAGGGGTGACACATTTGCTTCCTGTTCTACTCTAAGTATATGGTACCACAGACAACTTTAGGAGGGTTGACTTTAGTAAATTTCCTAGGAAAATTTCAAATTCATCCATTTCTTCTATTTTTTTATTTGCTAGCAAAGAGTCATGTATATACAAAACTAAAATGCTTTAAATAAACTTTCATTCCAGGAAGAGATGACATTTGGAATCTCTTTCATTTACCACTGCCTTCAATTACCAGATGGTAATCTCTATTCAAACTCGGTCTGATTTTCCTATACTTCTCTCAATCTGAATGAATACTAAGCTACTAATGATTCCTCATGGGAGTTTTGTAAAGGCAGAAGAACTTCTGCACCTCCCCTTAAATAAACAACCTTATTACTGACAGATTTTTAGTGGCACAGAACGTTTCCCATCTTGTTTACCTATCTGTGACCTCAACTGCAGAAGTATTTCTACTGTTGCTTATTCAAATCATTTTTCATATTTTGCTGCTGTGAACATACCAAACCTAATGTTTGCTATAGCTTTTCTTTAAATTACATTTTAAAAGCTATAGTATATGCACTGAAATAATACATATTTAGGGATTATTTTTAAATTGGCTTTTGCCAAAGTTATAAAATAGAGGTTGCTTGCAAAATAATTTTTTTGTCTGTGTGTACATTTGCTGTTGGATATGATTATTCAGCTATTTATGGCTGATGTGTCACAGATGCAATAATTTTTTTAAAGATGCTTAGTGCCATCTGTCATCTCAGTAATAATTTCAAAGACAAAATTTTGAAGAAGAGAGAAATAAAGGAAAAGAAATGGAGAGTCTTTAACAATTGTAAGTCCCGGTTAAACCCTGTAAAAGTTAACATTCCAGACCAACGTCTGTCCCTATCTTCTCAAACTGTCTATCCCTGTAATGGCTATTTATTTATTTATTGAAGCAGAGTTTCACCCTGTTGCCCAGGCTGGAGTGCAGTGGCACGATCTTGGCTCACTGCAACTTTTGCCTCCCAGGTTCAAGTAATTCTTGTGCCTCAGCCTCCCGAGTAGCTGGGATTACAGGCACATACCAACACACCTGGCAAATTTTTGTATTTTTAATAGACACAGGGTTCCACCATGTTGCCTGGGCTGATCTCGAACTCCTGACCTCAGGTGATCCGCCTGCCTCAGCCTCCCAAAGTGCTGGGATTATATGCGTGAGCCACTGCAACTAGCCCGACATATTTTAGATTAAATTATTCTTCTAACTTGTCTCCAAAGGTCCATTTTTGCCCATTGCTTCTTTTATTTTTCTTCCTTTTCATTACAGAATCTTGGATTACCTACACTGACCCTGTCTATAAATCACAGTCCTCCAAAGAGAAATGAAAATACCTTCTAATAACTCCTAAAATCATCTCTTCACTGATATCTTCACCTGCTAAAATGTATTCCTGCCAAGGATGTTTGAGGTACTCACGGTTTTTAAACTATGGTAATTGAATTCAGGGTTTTAAAATAATATGCACGTGGTATGTATTAGTCCGTTTTCACACTGCTGATAAAGACATATCCAAGACTGGGCAATTTACAAAAGAAACGGGTCTAATCGACTTACACTTCCACATGGCTGGGTGGGCCTCACAATCATACTGGAAGGTGAAAGGCAAGTCTCACATGGTGGCAGAAAAGAGAAGAGGGCTTGTGCACGGAAACTTCCATTTTTAAAGTCATCAGATCTCATGAGACTTATTCACTATCACGAGAACAGCAGAGGAAAGGCCCACCCCCACTATTCAATTACCTCCCACCAGGTCCCTCCCACAACACAATTCAAGATGAGATTTGGGTGGGGACACAGCTAAACCATATCATGATATAATACAAAATTTTCATTTAGTAGTGAATTTAGATTTCATATGCCTGTCCATTCTTTAGTTATATAGATAGATGGATTTTATTCCCTCTACTCTTCTCATTTTTTATTAGAGCATTGAAATTCCACAGCAAAACCAATGTAGTTCTTGAAAACTCAAAAGAAGAAAAAAATAAAATTCACCATGGTATCATTCAGAGAAACTGATAAAATCTTGTGACACGACACACATTTTTTTTTAGAATGTGGAGGGAAATAATAGACTAGAGGACACTCCACAACAATCAAGACTTCTGATCTTTTTTAGGTAGCATTTTATGACCCCAACATAAGAAAGATTCAAGACCTTCCCTCAGAAACACAGTTCACTACAAGAATTTTCTTGCTCATGCTATCCTTGATTTATTCTACTGCAGACGTTGATAGTCACTCTTAGGAAAAACAAAATGACAAAGGAATATATATTTTCTGATCAAAAAGAAAAATTGACATAAAGAATTTTAAAAGCATCAATTTAACCACCCAATGATACTGAAAACATTTAATATGCATATATGCAGGTATAGATATACATGTGTGATATAACTGAGATTAAAGTATAAATTCTGTTTAATAATCTGTATGCATATATTAACTTTTTCTATCTCATAAAATATTTTAGCCATAAAACTCTAATGACTTTAACATAATTTAACTTACTTAAGCAGTTTATTTAACCCAAATTATTTTATCTTTATTTACACCACTCATCTCTTATTTCTCCATTATAAATAATGCTGCAAGTGTATTTGATAAATATTTAAATCATATATTATTTCCTTAATAAACATTCCCAGAAGCAAATATATTAGCTAAATATTTTCAAATTAATTTTAAAATCCCAACTGTTAAAACCACATTTATAAAAGCTTTAATAAAGATAAAATAATTTAAGTATAGCACCCATCAAAAGAAAAACAGTTTACCTTGTGCAAAAAGAACAGGATGAATTTTAAACCCTCCTCCATTTTTCAACCGTTGAGGAAGTTGTTCAAAATGATAACTATCAACGTAGAAGTAAACTTTCAGAGCTTGCCGACTTCCTTCTGCTTGATATGTAAGAGGAACATCTGAAATGATATTTAATAGTATATTACTTCCTAAAATAAGGATATGCTAGATGGTACTTCTGTTAACCTTCAAAAAGAATCCTGAGAATTACTCGACACCAATATATTAAACATGATCACGTTTATCAAGTTGGGATTCAACATACAGTGCTATTCAATGAAAGAGTATTAAATCAGTTCTCATTAGCTAAAGCAATGGATTTGTTACTATATTATAAAAATTCTGTAATAGGAAACTTTGTTACACTTTGACATACCAGATGTCTCACTTAACTAAATGAGGTGTTTAGCTATACATGGTTTGGATTCAAAATCTCCCAGGGCAGCTGCTTCATTCATATTTTAGTCAGAAAGAGTCCTTGGGGTATACTTCTTAAGTAGTGTGCAACAAATTGAGTACATAGCAACCACTATCAAAATTAGTATGGGTTCTGCAAACTGTATTCCCTGAGCACCAGATCGGAAATATATTATCCTTTGTTGATGCCCCACAGTCATTAAAAATTGTCCCAACTCTTGTAGCTATTTTCAAAGATCCTAAATTTAATTACTTTAAAAAAAAACCCAATCAACTTGAAAACTAAATTTCAGTAGGAGTATTTCACAATGCTATCATAAATCCTCTCCATTTTATGATACTTATCCATGACAAATATTTCTGTCTCATTAGAAGAGAATGTAAAATCATCCTAAAAGGCTGAATAGTCACAATAACCAGTTAAAAATTAAGGACAAACAAATGGAATTGGCATTTAATACATGTTCCTCACCCAGTATTTATAACTTCTAATCTGTTTCTTGAAATAAAACTGTATATAAAAGTAGAGTTCAAGGTTAAATGGCATTTATGATCACAGATTCCAGGCTCCTTATTAAATTTATTTAATTCTGCATATCAATATGGGAAACATTTCATTAACATCTATTTATCTCCTTTATGCCATATAAAGTACTTATTTTATTTTTGTTATTATTTTTTTAAATGAAAACATGAAGCATTTGATTTAGGAAAGAGAATGAACAGGTTTCTCACCCAAAGGGTTGAAAATTAATAGCATTTTAAGAATTGGAAAAATCCTTTTTTTCTGGTTTCTAAAATAAAGACTAAAAGAACTATGGACACTAAAGAAAATACAGATTTATAGCTACTAAATATCTGTATCCTCTAGTTCCCTTTTTCACACACTGTCTCACATATATATTTCAATTTGTGTTAAATTCCATACCCTTCATCTTTGGCATCAATATAGGCAACCTCTATGCTAACAAATGGATAATGATATTGAAAGAAAAATAGTGATAATGATACAACAGTTGGAGTTTCATATTACAGAACATAGAACAAATAAAGATGTTATATTAGGAATCAAAGAACTAAAACTTAATGAAAATTATAAAGTATATCAATTTAAAGTGAAGTTTAAACTAAGAGCACTAAAACTCCTGGGCTCAAGTGATCCTCCAGCCTTGGCCTCCCAAAGTGCTGAGATTACAGGCATGAGCCACCACACCCAGCCCATTACCACTTCTTTCAACATCATACTGGAAGTCCTAGCTATTGCAATAAAACAAAACAAGAAAAAAGAAACTATAAAGATTGGGAAAGAAAAACATCAGCAAAAAAAATGCTCCTGGAACTAATAAGCAATTATAGCCAGGTTACAGGATACAGGTTAACATAAAAAAGTCAATTCCTTTCTTATATAACATCAGTGAACAAGTGGAATTTGAAATTAACAACATAATACCATTTACATTAGCACCTCCCCAAAATAAAATACTTAAGTATAACTCTAATAAAACATGTACAAGATCTATATAAGGAAAACTACAAAACTGATGAAAAAATTTTAAGAACTCAGAAAGACATTTTATGTTCATGGACAGGAAGACTCACTATTGTCAAGGTGTCATTTCTTCCCAGCTTGATCCACAATATCAGTGAAACACCAAGTAAAATCCCAACAGGTTATTTCTTAGATATTGACAAACTAATTCTAAAGTTTATATGGAAAGGCAGAAGACACAAAATAGCCAAAATAATATAGAAAAAGAAGAACAAAGTTGGAAGACTTATATTCCCTTAATTTAAGACTTACTGTAAAACTACAGTAATCAAGACAGCACGGTATTGACCAAAGAACAGACAAATAGATCAATGAAATGGAAGAGAGAGCTCAGAAATAGTCCAACACATATATAGTCAACTGATCTTTGATAAAGCAGCAAAGACAATACAACGGAGCAAAGATAGTCTTTTCAACAAATGTTTCTGGAAGAACTGGACATCTACATGTAAAAACATAAATCTAGACACTCACCTTATATCCTCCACAAAAATTAACCCAAAATGAACTATAGACTTAAATATGAAATGCAAAACTATATAACTCCTGCCAAATTACAGAAGAGGAAACCTAGATAACCTTTGATATACTGATGACTTTTAGAAAGAACATCAAAGGCACAATCCATAAAAGAAATAAGAGATAAGTGAGACCCCATCAAATGTAAAATTTCTGTTCTACAAAAGACAATGTCAAGAGAATGAGAAAACAAGCAACAGACTGGGAAAAAATATTTGCAAAAGACACATCTGATAAAAGACTGTCATTCAAAATACACAGATAACTCTTCAAACCCAACAATAAGAAAACAAACAACCCAAGTGTATTAATCCATTCTTTCATTGCTATAAAAATGTCTAAGAGTGAGTAATTTATAAAGAAAAGAGGTTTAATTGGTTCACGGTTCTACAGGCTGTACAGGAAGCAAGATGCTCACATCTGCTCAGCTTCCGAGGAGGCCTCAGGAAACTTATAACCACGGCAGTAGATGAAAGGCATATCATAAGGCAAGAGCAAGAGAGCAAGCGGAGAGGTGCTACACATTTTTAAACAACCAGATCTCATGAGAACTCGTTATCATGAAGACAGTACCAAGGGGAAGGCACAACATCATTCATGAGAAATACACCCCCATGATCCAATCACCTCCACCAGGCCCCACCTCCAACACTGGGGATCACAATTAAGCATGGGATTTGGGTAAGGACACACATCCAAACTACATCACCAATTTTAAAAATGGGCTAAAGACCTCAACACACAACTCTTTCAAGAAGATATAGAGATGGCAAATAATCATATGAAATGATGCTCTATATCATTTGTTATGAGGGAAATGCAAATTAAAATGGTACTGAGCTACCACTATATACTCATAGAGGGGCCAAAATCCAGAACACTGACAACACCAAATGCTGGCAAGGATGTGGAGCGATAGGAGCACTCATTCATCACTGGAGGGAAAAATGCAGATTTTCCACAAAATAAATATCATTAGAGAAAATTTAAGCCTTTAGCTAGTTTAGTCCTCTCTCACTAATTAAATAATATGATATGGGGAGTATCTTGTATTTTTCTTATCACTAAAGTGGTTACATTGCCCATTTATGCCTTTGTATTTCTCACCAGACTCCATGCGCATAGCCACTCCGGAAAACAGTCTGGCAAACTTGATGCTCTTGCCAAACTAGGATGCTCTTAACATACGATCCAGGAATCATGGTCCTTGGTATCTATCCAAAAGAGATGAAAACTTATATCCACATAAAAACCTGCATGTGTGCCTATAGCCAATCTTCATAATTGCCAAAACTTAAAAGCAACCAAGATGTCCTTTGAATGGGTAAACTGTGGTACATCCAGTCAATGGAATCTTCTTCTGTGCTAAAAAGAGATGAGCTCTCAAGCCATGAAAAGACATGAAGAAAGCTTAGATGCATATTATAAGTGAGATAAGACAATCTGAAAGGCTACATACTGTATGATCTCAACTATATGATGTTCTGAAAAAGGCAAAACTACAGAGAAAGTGAAGAAAATCAGTGGATGCCAGGGGTTGGGTGCAGAGTGGGAGGGAGGAGGAATGAATAGGGATTTTAGGGCAGTAAAAATACTCTGTATGATACTATAATGGTGGATACATGTCAGTACACATCTGTCCAGATTCAGAGAACGTACAACTCCAAGAGTTAATCCTAATGTAAACTACGAACTTTGAGTGATTACGATGTGCTAATATAGGTTTATTGATTTTAAGAAATGTACCTCTATGGTGAGGGCTATTGATAGCTGGGGAGGCTGTGCATGTGTAGGGACAGGGGTATGGAAAATCTCTGTACCTTCCTCTCAATTTTGCTGTGAACCTAAAACTACTCTAAAAATATAAAGGCTTTTTAAAAAGTGCATAATACTAATGTGGAGTTGAAAATTGTTGCCTTTTATTTGTGGAAATCTATTAGCTATAAAAAACAAACTTGATAATTAGGACTATATAATATTTAAATGCTTCAAAACCAATATTGCAAGAGGAAAAGGTCTCTGGTAGCATCCTATAGAGGGATTCATCCCACAAAGGAGTTTCAACAGTGCCATCCCCATCCCATCCCTGTAAACATAGCCTCTAACCATTGAATGGGCCCATGAGTTTCAAAATAAGTCTTCGACTAAGAAGCTGTTAGTTCCCTCTGCCTGGGTTGTTCTTCCCTGACTTTCTGCAGAGTTGGGTCTTTCTTATCCTTCAGATCTCAGCTTAAAAGCTACTTCTGCAGAGAATCCTCCACCAGTCACCCCTTGAAGGGCTGCCTCACCTTTTTTCTTTATGCATCTGCTTATTTCTTTCATACGATTTATCACAGCTTTATCTTTATATTGATTTCTTGTTGATTGCTGATTATTCATTCCTCATTCATTATTGATTCCTAATTCCTTATTCCCAACTAGGCTGTCAGTTCCATGAAGATGGGAACCATGCCTGTCTCATCCATGATGGTATCCACACCTCCAAGCACAATGCCTGGCCCATATAAGGATAGTGGGGACTCAAACATATTCATTTTCCTAATAATGAACTACTATAAAATTACCCATATCACCGTTGAAAAAAAGACCTGCTGTCATTACATTATTCTCCTAAACTGATGCAGATTTTCCACAAAATAAATTTAATTATAATTTACCATTTAGCTAGTTTATTACTCCTTCACTGATTTGTGTAATAAGACATGAGAAGGACCTTGTACTTCCCTTATTACCAAAGTGGTCAAATTGCCCTTTTACTTCTTTGTATCTCTCATTAGCATCTAAGCTTCATGCCAAAAAAGCCTTGTTTCATTTGCACACCATGATATCCCTAGAACTTAGTTTAGTAGTTAGCATGCTATATATATATATTTAATAATTATTTCTTCAATGAAAATGAACTGTTTTTAATCAAGACATTTGAGATCTACTTGCTTGGCATGCCATAATTCTTCAGAATCTCATTATTCTTTTCATGCAAAAGTGAGATTATAGGTGAAGCTATAAATATAGCTTTTGAGAAGAATGCAAAGTAATTAAGTAAGAAGGGTGGATTCAAATACTTACTGAATACTAGCATAGCCATATATAATGCTAGAGTCTTTCAAATACATTATCTTATTTAAGTCCCTCAACCCTGTGAGTCAGGGAAAGCTACAGTTCTCATGCTTAAAGATAAGAATGGAGCCAAGATTTGGACTTGGATTTCTTGACTTCAAAGCCAGTGGTATCTTTACACTTTCATGCTTCCCCACTCTCTGTACTTAGTCCTCCCTCAAAGGCATGCAGTCAACTAGTCTCCATCCCAGTGATATGGAATTAATTAGTGAATCTGACTTCTCTGCATCTAAGTAACAGGAAGATCAAACTACATGCAATGCATAATAAAGCTTCATTTCCTTACACCACTTAAATAAGATGTGATGACCTTTGATTACAGAATAATTTTATTTCCTGCATCAACTTAAAATAAGAATTATATTCCTATCTTCACTCTTTTTAGTGTTCAATAGTGCAGCATTGGAACCAGCCCCTCACTAGGGAACTATTTTCAGAAGTTGAGGTTACACTTTGAAGAGATACATTAAAATGTATTGCCAAATATATTCAGAATGCCTGTATCTGTTATAGTGACATCTACATTTACATACTATTATTACTTACATGGGCTCAATTATTTTTTATATTTAGTATGTGTTTCAAAGTTAAATCTTTCACAGTAGATAATAAGCAAGTATTTTATCAAGCTTATGATATTGGTTCTTCTTCTTGTTCAACAGACCATTTGCCAATAATGTCATAGAACCATGGAAAACAGTATTTCTGTGAACTTATAGTTCCTCAGGCAAAACTTTAAACAACATATTGGGTTATATCACGAAAATAGAGTTCTCTCTGCCTGCAGCAAAACTATGCCCACATTATTCAAGTAAATGAAAATATATCCTATTCTATACATATCCACAGAAAACCACACAATTTACTCAAATAATATTATCCTTATCAAATAATACCCTCTGCCAGAAAAATCCTTGAATAAATACAACCTAAATTTCTAACTTTGTACTTCTTGTTCTCTTCCTCATTCATCAGAGGAAATGAAACTTTAATAATATTCTGTTCTCTCTATTTTCATAAATTAAACAGCATTGACATTGCTTTATTTTTAAATAATCTCCACTGCTACCCTCCAGGCCAAATCACCATCCTCTCCCACCTGGATCATTCAGTAGTCGTCTAACTGATCACTTGGCTTCTGCCCTTGGTCCCAGAGTAGTCTATTTAACACAGCAGTCAGAGACAGCCTTTTAATATGGAAGTCACATCCCATAATTCATCTGTTCAATGGCATGGTTAGGAAGCAAAGCTTTTTCAACAGCTGGCAAGCCCTGCATAGTCTGGCCTCCTTGCTGTTTCCAACTCTTTTTCTGTTCCCCTCACTTGCTCCACTCCACCTATGTAGGCCAACTTCCTATCCTGAGAGCACGCCATGTCTGCTTCCAGCCTCAGAGTCCAGTGAGCCTGGGACACTGCTCCTCTGACACCTCCACTACTCCCTCCCTCAACCTCTTCAGGGTTCTGCTCTCCTTTTAGGTAAAGATTCCTCCCTACCCCATTCATTATCTGCAACCTTTCAGCTGCCCCTTCATTGGTATCTTTTGCTCTCTTTTGTTTCCCTATATAGCTTTCACATAATTGCCTTCTAATTTATTATAAAATAATTTTGCCTATTATTTATCTCTCCTCACCTTAACTTAATCCCCATGAGAGATATCTATCTGTTTAGTTCTCTACTGAATCCAACACCAAGAATAGTCTTGGCAAGAAGCAGGCATTTAAGGAGCTTTTGATACATGAATAAATGAATGATTATCATCTTAAGTCAGATCATGAATCAAATGAAAATGTATGAGTCCTTATTTATTGTACTAGACATTAGGAATGTGAGAAATAAAACCTGAAGAAGCTTACACCTTCTGGCCTAGTACACATGATACTCGTACTTCTGAAAAAACAAGAGACATGTAAAAATAATAACAAACTACTGAAGATTTATTAGACTGATCGATATATTTTAACTATATTTATGGGAATGTGGAAATAGTAAATAATGATAACTTGCAGAAAGTAAAAGATATGGACATTAAGCCATACATATTGCTACTTCTCTGAATATATAACTTTTAAAATACTGCCTTTATCAGATTAGTGGTGGAAAATTGCTAAATCAAAAGGATACATTTCAATCATTCAGTTAATAAAATATTTATCAAATATATTAATATCAAAGTTGTATCATATATAATTATTTGATGCCAAATAAATTTTGTAAATACCTAATTACTTACTTGCAACCAGGGGTTCCTCTTCTGATGGTTTAAAGTAAAAGGAAACCTTTTCCAAATCAAATAGTGCAACCAGTGTATCTTCTAACATGGCTTGTTCATCTGTCTACAAAGAAAGAAAACAATATATAATACAAGATGATATAAAGCAATATAAAGTAAAATGACATAATGTAAATCCAGACCAAAATAACTTTGTAGTGTGGCTAATTGTTTAGTATTTTTAGTAGAGACAGGGTTTCACTATGTTAGCCAGGATGGTCTCGATTTCCTGACCTCGTGATCCACCAGCCTTGGCCTCCCAAAGTGCTGGGATTACAGGTGTGAGCCACCACACTCGGCCTAAACCATTATCTTAAAAAAATCCTTTTGAAGCAGCAAAAAAATGTCATGACCCTAGAAAGAAAGGACAGGACTGAAGAATCAGTGTTTATTCTGATAAAAATACACAAAGCAAGAAATCTTCCAGACAGTATGGCCTTTGAGGGCTATAGCACAAGCCATGGTGTTGCAGCAAACATTGCCAAAGCCAGGCCCAAGTGACCACTGGCTGTGCCTTGCTGTCAGGGACACACAGACCACCAGAGCACTGCTCCTAGAGAGCCATTCACACTCCTGGGTGGATGTTTTCTTTCTGCCTTTCTGACAGAAGCAGAAAGACTACGGGTTTCTTCAATTTTTCTTTCCTTAGCAACCTCTCTATTTTCTTTATAAAATCAATTCCTCAAATAAATTTAAGGGTTTCACAAGACCAGTTGAAAAAAAAAACAAAAACACACAGCTTCATTGAGATATAACTCACATACTGTAAAATTCACCCATTTAAAATGTATAGCTCAGGGGTTTTAATATATTCACAGAGCTGTCCAGCTAGCACCATCATCTAACTTTAGAATATTTTTATCATCCCCCAAAGAAACCCAATACCGAATAGTATTCACTCCTCATTTTCCTGCCCCCAACCGTCAGTTGTAGGCAACCACTAGTCTACTTCCTGCCTCTAAAATGTACCTAGTTAGTACATTTCACCACAATGGAATCAAACTACATGAGATCTTTTGTGACTGGCTTATTTCACTTAGCATAATGCTTTCAACGTTCATCCATGTTGTAGCATGTATCAGTACACCATTCCTTTTTATTGTGGAATAATATTCCATTATATGGACCCATCACATTTTGTTTATCCATTCATCAGTTAATGGACATATGAGTTGTTTCCACTTTTTAGCTACTACGAATAATCTTGCTAGGAATGTTTGCATGTAAGATTTTGTGTGAATGTAAGTTTTCATTTATTTTAGATATTACGTAGAAATAGGAATTCTAGGTAATATGGAAACTCTACGGTTCATATTTTGAGGAACTGCCAAACCAGTTTCCAAAATGACTGTGCCACTTCCCACGAGCAACCTAGGAGGGTTACAAACTTTCTCCACATCCTCCTCAAAACTTGTGACTATCTGTCTTTTGTATTATAGCCATCCATATCACACGTATTGTGGTATTTCATTGTGGTTTTGAGTTGCATTTCTCTAATGGCTAATGATGTTGATCATCATTTCATGTGCTGTTCGGACATTTTTATATCTTTGGAGAAATAGCTATTCAAATCATTTGTATACTTTTTAATTGGTTATTTGTCATTTTACTGTTGAATTTTAAGGGTTCTTTAAATATTCTGCCTATGTCACTTATCAAATATATGATTCGTAAATATTTTCTCATATTCTTTGAGATTTCCAATAAAATTAAGTTTAAAGCAAAAGCACCGGCACTTGATTAGACAACGGCATCTTAAAAGTAAGGAAAACACAACAGAAATAAAGCCTTACTCATTTACACATTCATTCAACAGATAATTGACACCTACCATGTGTTAAAAATTAGGCTTCCTATCATATATAATTCACACACACACACACACACATTTGTTTTTAAACTCAAACATGTTACTTTGTAGCTACATTTTCTATGTGTACTTTAACAGATGAAATAGGCTCTCAGGTTTAAAATTACAATTCTATTCCGTGATCACCTAACGTTTACATATTAAAGTGAACATATTTGCTTTTAAACATGATGATAACTATCCAAACCACCGGAGGTACACGTGAAAAATCTCTTCAGTTCACCACAGTTTTATTTTTCACATATTTAAAGATGCCTTCCTCATATCCACTGTGGAAACCCGATGAATAAACATAGATTATTCTACAGCAATTAAGGCAATGCTCTTTGATTTAATAGGACAAACATGCATACAAAGAAAAGAACTAAAATTATTTAACATATGCAAAGTTTAAACAGATTGTCAGGCAGTATGGCATTTGAGCTCTCTGAGCTTGGCTCTCAAGCCTGCTCCAGGACATCAATCGCAATAGGAGCTTTGGTTTCACAGCAGCCTGTGTCCTTGGACTGGGAGTAAGGAAAAGCAGCAGAAAGACCCTTTTTCTTCTGGTGACCTTTTCCAGTCAGTGGGTAGGGATACAAGAATTAGTAACAGATGGAGGCTGTCTCAGCTTTTAGCAGCCACAGAGAAGAGATACAAATCAGCAAAGAAGGAATACATTCTACATACTTATTAAAAATTGAAGGACCACAGAAAAATGTGTATTTTTAAAGTAGCTGAATGCATGCACATTCATAGAGATAACCAGCGGGAAAGAAATAACTATTTCTTATTTCAAAACATGCCACAATGTAGGTTACAGTTGACACAGACAGTGGGAGTCATGTGATTTCCTTACCAAATTTGGTGACAGAAGTGACTGAAAGTGAAAAAGAACACCTGCATTCGCTATCTGGTCCAGCCACCTCCTGCTGGCTTCCCAAGTTTCCATCTCATTTTCCTTGCTGTTGTCAAACATCTGGTTCAAGGCCGCCATGAGCTGCTCAGAGAAGGCACAGACAGTGGCCACAAGAGTCTGGCAGAAAACCATGTCTCTACGGAGCTGTGTCTCACTATCTGTGATCAAAGAGAACATAGAGAATGCTTTGAAAAATGTTGCAGATGGTGAAAACCAATGAGTTAAGCATCTACATTCACTAGCATTTCATCTTTTCACTAAACTCACACATGTGAAAAATGTGAATTTGAGCTCTATGAATGACCACACACATTTTAGCAAACATGCTTTACAGAAAACACTAAACACCAAAAAATATTAGAAATATTAAAATATTTTTTTCTCATCAATAATGTGACTCTATTCTAGAATCATTAAATTGTTTGATAAAACCTGAGGGAGGAAAATAAGGCTTCATTTATTTATATTTTCTATACCTGATGGGACACAATTCGCATTTGCTGCAATGACATTTTCCTAAACAAAACTCAAAGTCCAATTCGTCAGTTTTTGTTGGCAAATTAAACACAATATTATCAATACAATTTTTAAAATTAACAACTAAACCTAAAACATTAATGTGAAATACATATAGGGAAGAGTATATGATGTTCAATTGTTTGCAATTATAAGCAAATCTGTCTCTCCTGAATGGTGTTATTAAACTTCCTGAGCTATAAGTATGTTCAAATATAGAAGAATATAAATTTCTATAATTCTTTCAAATAAGCAATGTATTTATAGTTTTAGTATGAATTGATTTTTATATGTTTAACAGGATTCTTATCCTGCAATTGACTGGAGTTTTGGTTAACCCACTGATATGGTTAGGCTTTGTGTCCCCACCCAAATCTCATCTTGAATGATCATCCCCAGGTGTTGAGGAAGAGACCTGGTGGAAAGTGATTGGATTACGGAGGTCGTTTCTCCCATGCTGTTCTTGTGATAGTGAGTGAATTTTCATGAGATCTGATGGTTTTATAAGTGACAGTTTTTCCTGTATTCTGACACACATGCTCTCTGCTCTCTCTTGCCTGCCACCGTGTAAGATATGCCTCTTTCCCCTTCTGCCTTCTCCCATTCTAAGTTTTCTGAGGCCTTCCTGGCTATGCATAACTGTGAGTCAATTAAACTTTTTTCCTTTACAGAGTACCCATGATCTCAGGTATTTCTTCATAGCAGTGAGAAAACAGACTAATACACCCACTTTGAAGATATGTTTCCACTGTGAACTGCCACTTCTGAACTAGAGATTTTTCAAATGGAAAGAAGCTAACACACAGAGTTCATTTCTTCAGGTGGCTGGATATATACAAACTACAGAAACACAAAGCTACACATTCCACATATTGAAAAATCACTTCCACTAGAAGTGGAAACAACAAAGGGAAAAATAACCTCCTGTCAAATGCATACTAAATATTTCAAGGATATACTCTGGTTTCTCTTCAGATCGCATAAATTTTTCCCCTTTAAATATTTCAAGGGTTCATAGACTTTTCTGGAATAAAGAAGCATTATCAATATTACTGTATAACACAGAGATAAATGCTGACTTTATTCAGTGGGGAGCTCCTGTTTCATTGACAAAAAAGGCATAATTTTTAAGATTTTCCAAGAACATTGAACATCTGTTTTTAATAACCATCAAAGGTATATGTATATATAATTTAGTTTCTATGTTACTTGGTTTCACTGTAAAACCTACTCTTGAAAATTTTATTAGAAAAATAATTAAATATTCAAAATATTTAATTTTGTATCTGAATATTCATTTATTAGGCTCAACTATAGAAACATGCTGCTTCGGTAGGTTAAAATGGTGGAATATGGCCATTCCATATGGCTCAGCTTACTAATTTAACCAACAACATGTGTTAAGCGTCTATATCATGTGCCCCATGCTACTAGATAGGAAAGGGCATTTATAGGTAACTGTAAAATCTTTAAACTGGAAATGAACTTTGTCCAATCCTCAATTAAGAAAAAAAACTAAACACCATTTTGTTGCGCACAATTTCTATCAGAGTAGACACTGAACAAATGTTCACTAAATCAATGATTAAAATAGAGTCAGTGGCACTAAAAATAAATAAAAAAGTGAAATGAAAAGACATGAGTTAATTCTCTGGTTTCTTGAAATATCTGGATTTAATTTTACTTAAGAAGCTAATTCAGATAGCTTGTTAGCTCCAGTGTGCACCTAGGGTACTGAGGTTCATGACAGAAACTAAATAAGTAAAATAAATTGTCCTATGTCTTTGTTGTACATTATTACTTTGTTTTTCAGATGTTCTATAGTGAAGCAGAAAATCTGGGTGAATTTTAAAAAATACTTCAGTAGATATGGCAGCAATACTCCCACCTATATCTTGAAAATGTTTTAATAAAAATCTAATCGGAAAGAAATTATGGATATTGAGTGAAAAGCAAAAATCTAGAGAAAGAAGGATCTGCACTGCAAGCTTTAACAAAAATCACCGGAATTAATAACTTTGCACTGGTAGAAATAATCATTTCCAAGTTTCTTTAGTGAAAAAATTCTCTTCTGTTTTTATCCTCAAAAGAATACTTAGATGTTTATGCTATACTCTGCTACTATATTCTATTTGCATTTAAGCCAAAATAAGATTTTTCTTTCAACCTCTTTATCAAATCAGAACTGATTGCAATTGACAGTCATCTTTTCAATGTGCAAAACCTGTTGATAACTTGAAGTTGTATTCATTCATCAATTCAAATGTTTAACACTGAATGAATACCTTACAGGAATTGACAGCTGCAACAACTACTAGAGGATCCAAGCTGGGGCCCCAGCCACACTGAATAAAAATTCATACTTCATGAGGTGATATTCTTTTGCCACCTTCCTATTTTCAACAGAGAGTAGATGAATTGTTTGCACAGATTCAAAATGTACATATTATATCAAGAGCTTTTCAAATTAACTTTTTACAAGCCATCATCTCACAGTGAATAACAAAGTTAGAAAACAGTGGCATAAGTGGGACCTTGCGACCTATCCCCAACTTCTATTTACAGCTTCTCAACATACCACTTCCCTCCATTCATTCCACACTACAGCAACAATGTTCACAGAATTATTGGGAGAGCACATTAAAACAACGTATCTGAAAGCAGTCAGAAGCGTGGGGTACACAGACCTGTCCTCTTTGAGCCATGCGGTACTGCTCGGCAGTTCTCAAATACCAAATGCCCTATGGCCTACATTTGGCCTATACCTTCCTTCCAGATGTACTGCATGCCCTTGTCCTTCTCCTCTGTGTAGCAAACTTTAAATCAATCTTTAAGAGTCAACTCATCAAACTATTGAAACTCATTAAAAGATTATCTCCCCTTGTGAAATTCCCCTCTTCCCAAGGAAGTACTGGGGCTCTTCTTCTGCTCACCGTAGACCTGGGGGCATCCTTCTACTGGAGGGCTAAGTATATAACACAGTGGGCATTCATTTATGAGTCTGTGTTCCTGAGGAACCATCAGCACACCAAGGCTAGAGAAGTGGCATGTGGCTTAGGCTTACACTCCTTAGAGGCATATCAACCGCTTTCAACTACCCATTCTAAGCCAAAAAGTTTAGGTATCAGATCCTCTTGTGGAAAATGGGGTCCATTCCTCCTTCTTAGGTCTACGATAAAGATAAATGAGATAAAAAGTATTTAAAGCACTTAACAAAGTAAAATGGTGTAGCACTATCATTGTAATTCTTCTTTTTGTCCAGCATCTAGCACCATGCTTGGCACTGAGTAGGTGCTCGGCTTTATTGCTCATGGAGAAGGAACAATTTGTTACATAAATACAACAAAATTTACTAACTCTCAGCAAAAATATCCAGGTCTTTTTCTTTCAATTATGCAACCATTCAAAATTTACAAGTATCCATCCTTTACCAAAGGTATTTTTGGTTTTTTTTGTGTGTTTTTTTGTTTTGTTTTGCTTTTTGTTTTTTAAGACAGAGTGTCTTGCTCTGTCACCCAGGCTGGAGTATAGTAGCAGGATCATAGCTCACTGCAGATTCAAACTTCTGGGCTCAAGAGATCCTCCTACCTTGGCCTCCCAAATAGCTGGGACTACAAGTGTATGCCATCACTTCTGGCTAATTTATTTTTTGTTGTTGTTTAAAGACAGGGCCTCACTATGATGTCCAGGCTGGTCTCAAACTCCTAACCTCAAATAATACTCCATTCTCAGCCTCTCAAAGTCCTGGGATTATAAACAGGGCACACTGTCTTCATTTCCTATTTTTTATGAATAAGAAAGAACTACAGCAAAAATCACATCTGCTTTCAGCTACTAGCAAAAGAAGAAAAACAGAGATTTTGAGGGTTTTTTTTTTTTTGCTTACTATTATTGTAGAGTAAGATTTTTCTTATTTATTTTTATCATAGAGTAATAGTTTTCTCATAGTGAGACTACACTCAGAAGAAATGGTTTTTGTACCTATAAAAGGCTTCAGTTTCATTTTAGTATTTAAGCACCTATCTCATCTTCTAAAACATGTTTTAAATTACACTGTTTAATCTTGACTGTTTAAAAGTTTAAGATCTATAATTAGCTAGCTGGTCTAAAAAGAATGAGATGGTTTCTAGACACACAAAAGCAATATCAGAAATTATGCTAACACAGAGATTGTAGGGAAAATAAAGCAAAATAAACAACAAAAAAGGAGATTAGAGAAAGGTAGAAATAAAAGGAGGTTAAGAATATTTAAAAGACACAGTCTACCCTTTTCAAATGAACATAATTTCACAGCCAAAAATATGAAGTATTTTGGCTACTGTTTTGGTGTCATCCTATATAGAAGAGGGGAGAGAGAGTGAGAAAATAAAGAAGGAAAACAAAGAATCATAAGAGGAATAGAAAAATAAAATTGAAATCAAAATAAAAATCTACCAGAGCATCCATTTGAGCACTAATGAATAAAACGAAGCATCCCAGAATCGCCTCCAGAAGCAAACCTAAGTCTGAATTTCAAAACTGCCACCTACTATTTATTCATTTATTCAATAAGACATCAATATGCCTAACCTTCTAGATGCTCCAACGTCAGTGTTGACTGTATACTATGTGCTGGTTGTTATTAATCTGCCAGAATGTCAATTTCTTCACCTTTAAAACTGTGGAAACAATGATATTCTCACGTGGTGGGTTGTGGGGACCCAATGAAATCCAAGAAAATGAAGTCCATGAATTGTGTTATCAGTAAAGCTCAAAAACTATAAGATATTTTTGCCATTATTATTACTCAGTCAAAAAGCAAGGTAAAAACTTTTTTCATTATGGCAAACAACCAAAGGACAAATAAAAAAGCCCTGTTTGTTAACTTGGTTCATTCATAATTTAAAATTTCCAAGTGTGGTACTTTGTAAAAGTGGTCACAAATTCTTTCCCTCCCTGTATCCACACTCTTGCAATGTAATTTTGAGACCCTCTCCTTCAAAAGTAGAATCTATGTCTCTACCCCTTAAGTCTGGCCTTGCCAGTTACATGCTGGGGCCAGAAGGTGACAAGCTCTTAGACATTTGCACTGTCTTCCTGGAATCCTGCAAATCCACCGTGTGAACAGGAACAGGCTAGCCTCATAGATGACGAGAGACAGGCAGCCCAGGCAGCCCTGTAACCTCAGCTAACAGCCAGTCAAATGTGACACATGCGAGCAAGGCCACCCTAGATCACCTGTGCCTAGCCAACCCACCACCTGACTGCAGACACATAGGCATACCCAGCCAAGATCAATAAAACCTGGCACAGACCAGCAGAATCGCCCAGATGACACTAGACAGGTAAGCAATAATAAATGGTCATTGTTTTATGCCATAAAGTTTGGGGAATTTTTTTTAGCACAAGAAACGCTAACTGCTATCACAAGTAGTCATTCAGGTTATATTTTTCGGAATGAATTCCTATCAAAATTTAGTTAGTGTAATAGAATTTCTGTGTATACACATACACATACTTTATGGGAAATAGATTAAAATAATAAAAGTAACTCATTCAACATATCTATATATCTCCAAATCTACAGAAAGAGATACACAGCAGGCTAATATCAAACTGTTCACTGTAATTAAACGGCATGTGAGTTTTCCCAATCTTTATGATCCATTTCCTTCTAAATGCATTTTGAATGAAAACCTTGTTGAAATATTTCATACATTTTTCCTTTTTCATTCATATAATTTTTCATTCATTTTTGTTACAAATATTTGTTGAATATCTATATGCCAGCCACTATTTTGGGCATTTGCTGATGATCAAAATAGACATAGTGTCTGCCTTTATGACATTTACAGTCCATCATCTGCAATTTAGAATCTCATCAAATATTTAATTGTCCTTTAGTGTCATTTTCCATTACCAATATTTTTTGAGCTCCCACTAAGTGCATGGTAAAAGTGTTTTAATGTAAGATTTGTAAAATGTTTACATACATTCTTGTTCATAAACAAAATTTAGACACGATTAACTTTAGCAAAACCTGCTCCCTTTTTCCTGTTTAATAATATTTTGTTTAAATCTATATTCATATATGTTTTCATGGTTTTGCTTATAAGAGAATACAAGTATGTGTGTATGTATATGTATGTGTATATATATATTTGCATTTTTATTAAAATGATGTGAGTACTTTTTCTAATCTTTCCAAAGGTTTGGAGAAGGTAGGGATCATATTTCTATTTTGTAAATGGTTGAAGGCACTGTCCTCAAATTTCAAGGCCTTTATGATCCTGGGCCACAATCACTTAAATAGTAAAAAAATAAAATGCAAAATGTTACCTGAATATTCAAGAAGAGCCAGGAGTATCCTACACCTCACCTCTGCAGAGAAAGAAAACACATCAGTTAATTGTTCATTCTTTCTGTCACAAATACCATATTTTAACTGTGTAGTCAAAATTAGTATGATCTTATTATACTAGGCTGGGGCAAAAGTAATTGTGGTTTTGCCATTACTTTCAATGGATGGCAAAAACAGCAATTACTTTTGCACCAACCTAATATTAAATAATAAAAATCAATTCACTTGACATGCTACTCTTGCCTGTTTGCCTACACTAATTCTATCCATTGTTCAAGATCCTGAAATGTCTCTGAATTATATCAGTCAATGAAACACCATTCAAATCCTGGCAGGTTTTTAGGTCATCCTTAGCTGTTTTAGCCTACTTGGTGTTCTGCAAGCTACAACTGTTGTAATCACTAGCAATAAACTGTCAAACAATATTTTATTTATATATATTTGTATATATATATATACTCTTCTTCCAATCCCAACCCACACACGGTCAATCACAGATGTAAATTTAAAAACTTACAATGTTCCTGCTAAATACCCAAGACTATGGGAAACAAAAAAGATTAAGTTATATCCTATTCTAGACAGATTCACAATAGAGTCAGAAAGACAGAATTGACTGAAAAGAAATGCAGGAAATACTTGAAAGGGCACTAATTTTTACAAGTGAGACTGAAAGAAGAAAAGGATTTCAGAGGCAGGAAAGTACAATAAGCTAAGAGTCAGAAGACTGCTGTTATATACTAACTTTGTGGCTTTAGAAAATTGCTAAATTACTTTGAGTCTCAATTAACTCATTCATAAATGAAGATAACATCTGCCTTATCTATTTTACAGGTCTGTGTAAAATATAAGTGAGAATATGTATGAAAAGTCTTTGAAAATTGTTTAAAGTGCTATATACACGTAAAGACTATTATTATTGTAATCTGAATCTGGCCGAAGTTGCTATAGAATTCTAAATGAGACTAGAAAATATTTCATAAAACTTTAAATTATCACTGTCAAGAAAAGAGATACATATTCTAAGACTGAGAAATTTTGCTAGCAAGGGAATATAGTAGAGAATGAATAACAATTATTTAACAATCTAGCATAGAGAGATTTTACTATGTCATTAAGAGATTGAGATTGGGATATGATTAGAAAGCTCCACTGAAAAATGGCTTCTAACAGATGGAAGAGTTTAGTCTTACCTAACAGAAAATCACTGCAAGACTCTGTGACCCAGTAGTGAAATTATGAACACGATATTTTAGGAAGATGAATCTCATAATGGTTATAAGAATCAGAAAAAGATAGGGAGAGGGAGGTTAGCCAGAAAAATCATTGCAATTACTGAAGTGTGATGAAAAAGGGAAAAACTGAAGAGACATTCTTTAGAATATTGGGACAAATACAGGGAAAAAAAATTTTAAATGTAGGTTGCTAAAAAAAAAAAATGAGATTTAGAATAAAGCATTTTTCTTTTTAGGGAACAAAAAGTCAAAAATGTGTTCACTAATAAACATCTGAATTTAAGGCGATGGTGGGCTACTCAGATAAAAATATCTTCATTCAGCTGATGATATGAGAACATAACTTACCTCAGAGTTAACATTAAGCAGGAGACAGGCATCATCTTAGTGACACCATACAATTAATCTTTCCTCACTTAATTCACTATCTTCTCTGCTCTCTTCTACACACAGTTTAATCTGCTATGAATGGGTGAGTATATAATGACACAATTTTTGAATGTCACTGCAACAGTTCTTTCTAAATAAAGACTATAGAATTACAACACCTTGATATCACATGTGGTATATAATGGATGGGATATTTTGAAATCGGAGACTAGGACAAACATTAGAAATGGGGTCATCCCAGCTACTTATATAAACCAAGAAATTCTGGCCTGGTGGCACCATGTTAAATTAAGTCCCAAGATTTAACCTTCCATTAAGTCATTCATTCACTATATAAAGACAGTCTAGGAAGTAGAATGAAAATGACTTAAGTTGAATAGGATAAATTCGTGCTCAGCCAGCGAAGTTTCTCAGAGTGCCTCCACATAACAAGCAATGGATTTCAACGATCCTAATGCTTTTTCCACTCCTAACAGGACCAGACATCACAGGGATTACCAGGAAATGGTAGTATGCCCTCTCCCTTGCATAGTCCAATGAGATGAAGCAAAAAGTAATCATTTTTAAAGACTCATTTAACATGGTGACAATCACAGCTCTGACCCAAACAGCTCACTGAAACAAAGAAATCTGCAACCAGAGATGCAACTTAAATTCTACAGAGAGCCCTCCCCACATATTTGACTATAAGACTCTCAGTCCATTCAACCACACTCAACTGGCTAGTGGACTCCCATGACCAAGAGTGGCACCCATATACACAACACATATCGATCAATCTGTCAATCACTATGTGTATATAGTTATCATTCCTATAGCTGCTTATTGTGACATGAGTTACAAAGAGTACAAAAGTAGGTCTTGAGAAGAAAATGTAAGATTCTTAAAATGAGTACTTTTTGAAAAATTAAACTTTTTATCCTGCATTAGAAATGTATTTTTTAAAACTTTTAAGTTCAAGGGTACATGTGCAGGTTTCTTATATAGGTACACTTGTGTCATGGGGGTTTGCTGCACAGATGATTTCATAACCCATTAAGCCTAATACCCATTAAGTATTTTTTCTGATCCTCTCCCTCCTCCTACACTTCACGTTCTGATAGGCCCCAGTATGTGTTGTTCCTCTCTTTGTGTCCATGTGTTCTCATCATTTAGCTTCCACTTATAAGTGAGAACATGTGGTATTTGGTTTTCTGTTCCTGTGTTAGTTTGCTAAGGATAATGGACTCCAGCTCCATTCATGTTCCTGCAAAGGACATTATCTCATTCTTTTTTATGGCTGCATATTATTCCCTGGAATACAGGTACCACATTTTCTTTATCCAGTCTACCACTGATGGGCATTTGAGTTGATTTCATATCTTTGGTATTGTGAGTAGTCCTGCAATGAATATATGTGTGCACACATCTTTATGACAGAGTGACTTATATTCCTTTGGGTATATATCCAATAATGGGATTGCTGGGCCGAATGGTATTTCTGTTTTTGGGTCAAGGAATCACCACGCTGTTTTCCACAATGGTTGAACTAATTTACATTCCCACCAACAGTGTGTAAGTGTTCCTTTTTCTCTGCAACCTTGTCAGTATCTGTTATTTTTTGACTTTTTAAATAATAGCCATTCTGACAGGTGTGAGATGGTATCTCATTGTAGTTTTGATTTGCATTTCTCTAAAGAACAGTGATGCTGAGCTTTTTTTTCATATGTTTCTTAATGAACAGTGATGTTGAGCTTTTTTCATGTGTGTTAGCCACATGTATGTCCTCTTTTGAAAAGTGTCTGTTCATCTCATTTGCTCACATTTTAGTGAGATTGTTTTTCTTCTTGTAAATTTGTTCCTTATAGATGCTTGACATTAGACCTTTGTCAGATGCACAGTTCACAAATTTTCTCCCATTCTGTAAGTTGTCTGTTTACTCTGTTAATACTTTCTTTTGTTATACAGGAGCTCTTAAGTTTAATTAGATCCTATTTGTCAATTTTTGCTTTTGTTGCAATTGCTTTCAGCATTTTCGTCACGAAATCTTTGCTGGTTCCTATGTCCAAAATGGTATTACTCAGATTGTCTTCTAGAGTTTTTATAGTTTTGGATTTTACTTTTAAGTCTTTAATCTATCTTGAGTTAATTTTTGTATAAAGTGTAAGGAAGGGGTTCAGTTTCAATCTTCTGCAAATGGCTAGCCAGTTATCCCAGCACCATTTATTAAATAGAAAATCCTTTCCCCATTGCTTGTTTTTGTCAGCCTTGTAGAAGATCAGATAGTCGTAGGTGTGTGACATTATTTCTGGGCTGTCTATTCTGCTCCATTGGTCCATGTGTGTTTTCATACCAGTACCATGCTGTTTTGGTTACTGTAGCCCTGTAGTATAGTTGGAAGTTGAGTAGTGTGATGTCTCCAGCCTTGTTCTTTTTACTTAGGATTGCCTTGGCTATTCAGGCTCTTTTTTTGGCTTCATACGAATTTTAAAATAGTTTTTTTCTAGTTTTGTGAAAAATGTTATTGGTAGTTTAACAGGAATAGCATTGAATCTGTAAATTGCTTTGGGCAGTATAGCCATTTTAAAGGTATCAATTCTTCTTATCCATGAACACGGGATGTTTTTCCATTTGTTTGTGTCATCTCTAATATATCTTTGAGCAGTATTTTGCAGATCTCCTTGTAGAAATCTTTCACCTCCCTGGTTAGTTGTATTCCTTGGTATTTTATTCTTTGTGTGGCAATTGTGAATAAGATTACATTCCTGATTTGACTCTCAGCTTGACTGTTGTTGGTGTATAAGAAAGCTAGTGAGTTTTGCACATTGATTTTTGTATCCCGAGACTTTGCTGAATTTGTTTATCAGCTTAAGGAACTTTTGGGCTGAGACTATAAGGTCTTCGAGATATAGAATCATTTTGCCTACAAACAGGGATAGTTTGACTTCCTCTCTTCCTATTTGGATGCCCTTTATTACTTTCTCTTGCCTAACTGCCCTAGCCAAGACTTCCAATACTACGTTGAATAGGAGTGGTGAGAGAGGGAATCCTTGTCTTGTGCTGGTTTTCAAGGGGAATGCTTCCAGCTTTTGTCTTTTCAGTATGATGTTGTTGGCTGCGGGTTTGTTTTAGACGGCTCTTACTATTTTGAGGTATGTTCCTTCAATACTTAGTTTATTGAGAGTTTTTAACAGGAAGGGATGTTGAATATTATCAAAAGTCTTTTCTGCATCTACTGAGATTATCATATGCTTTTTGTCTTTAGTTCTGTTTATATGATGAATCACACTTGATTTGAGTATGTTGAACCAACTTTGTGTCCTAAGGATAAAGACTACTTGATCATGGTAGGTAAGCTTTTTGATGTGATGCTGGATTTGGGTTGCCAGTATTTTGTTGAAGATTTTTGCATTGATGTTCATAAAGAATATTGGCCTGAAGTTTTCTTTTTGTTGTTGTATCTCTGCCAGTTTTTGGTACCAGGATAATGCTGGCCTCCTAGAGTAAGTTAGGGAGGAGTCCCTCCTCTTCAATTCTTTGAAATAGTTTTGATAGAAACTGTATCAGCTCTTCTTTGTACATCTGGTAGAATTTGGCTGTTAATCCATCTGGCCCCAGGCTTTTTTTTGGTTGGCAGGCTATTTATTACTGATTCAACTTTGGAGCTTGTTATTGGTCTGTTCAGGGATTCAAATTCTTTCTAGTTCAGTCTTGGGAGGGTGTATGTGTCCAGGAATTTATCCATTTCTTTTAGATTTTGTAGTTTATGTGCATAGAAGTATCCATAGTTATGACACTTATGTGTAAGTACACATAATATGATAGTTATGTGTATTTCTGTGGGGTCAGTGGTAATATCTCCTTTGTCATTTTTAATATGTTTGTTTGGATCTTCTCTCTTTTCTTCCTTACTAGCCCAGCTAGTGGTCTATCTACTTTATTAATTTTTTCAAAAACCAACTCCTAGATTCATTGATCTTTTAAATTGTTTCTTGTATCTCAATCTCTTTCAGTTCAGCTCTGCTTTTAGTTATTTATTGTCCTCTGCTACCTTTGGGTTTGATTTTATCTTGGTTATATAGTTCTTTTGCTTGTGGGGTTAGGTTTATATATCAAGATCTTTCTAACTTTTGGATATGGGCATTTAGTGCTACAAAATTTCCTCTTAACATTGCCTTAGCTGTGTCTCAGAGAGTCTGGTATATTTTACCTTTGCTCTCATTAGTTTCACAGATTTATAAAGCAAGTTCTTAGAGACCTTCAGAGAGACTTAGACTCCCACACAATAATAGTTAGAGACTTCAACAACCCACTGTCAGTATTAGACAGATCATCGAGGCAGAACATTAACAAAGATATTCAGGACCTGAACTCAGCACTGATCAGATGGTGCTGATAGACATCTACAGATATCTCTATCCCAATACAACAGAATATACATTCTTCCCATCACCACATGGCACATACACTAAAAGCAATGACATAATCAGACATAAAACACTTCTCAGCAAATGCAAAAGAAGTGAAATCATAACAACCACTCTCTCAGACCACAGCACAATCAAATTAGAAATAAAGACTAAGAAATTCACTCAAAACCATACAATTACATGGATATTGAATAACTTGCCCTTGAATAACTTTTGGGTAAATAGTAAAATTAATGCAGAAGCCAAGAAGTTCTTGGAAACTAATGAGAGCATTAGAAATTTCTATCTGAAAGATAAAATTGTTCAAAACATAAAAGTGGGGGAGATGATTTAAGGATTTCTCCATTCCTAGCCAATATACATTTACCTTAAAACAAATATAAAATCTCAAAGATGATGAGAACAACTGCAGAATTATAATTTCTAGTAGTGTCATAATACTGACATCTATTCAGCAGAAATATGTCTTTTACTCAGTAAAGTGTATACTTAAATTTCTAAAACATAATTGTTTTTTCAAATGCATTTTATATTTATGCTATTCATATTTTGGGGAATTTTAAATTCATACTTTTCATTAAATATTATGTCACAAAGTATCATAGATAAACATTATATTAGGCCATAAAATAAAAATATAGCCAAGAAATCCAGCTGTCAAATACAAAAGATTTTATCACAAGATAGAATCACTATAATTTATTTGGGGAAGTATTCCATATCTATACAAATTTCCTTTCTACTAATCTCTAAACAAAAGTTGTTATATTTGAGTATAAGTCTATGCAGAAGACTTAGTAATCACAGAACATTTAAGCCATCTCTGTCATTTAATAAATGTGTAAGTTGAAGCCTGAAAGAGTTAAGTGACTCAGACTCCATTTGGTATAAGAGGTTGTCTTTTGTCAGCAACATTTACAGCTCTCTTTAATTTACCCCACTTAAGGTAATAACTGCAGTTATACTGTAATTCTGCTAAATACCACTGAATACTATTGACCACATCCAACTGACACACAAATGACTGAGGGATAAAACTGTAAACACAGGAATAGTATTTATTGTACGGGTTTCTCGATCTTAGCACTACTAACATTTTGGATCAGAGAATTCTCCCTTGTGAGGAACTCTCTTGTACATTCTAGAATGTTCAGCAGCATCCCTGGCCTCTATCTAGAGGTCAGTAGCACACCCACAGTTGTGACAACCAAAAATACCTCCAGATGTTGCTAACCACTGGTCTAATCACTGGGAAGAAAATTGCTGAGTTATATATTTTTAAAACTAGATGAATTCTCATTTCATCTTTTTCACCATAATCATTTTGGAAACTCTCAGAATTTTCTACTTAATCACGCTCATTCTAAACAACATGCAATCTATCTCAGTGAAGTCGTCTCAAAATTATATGTCTCCAATTCACAGGTTTTTACCAATTATAGAATGTCATGTAAATAGTGTTACGGTAGTTAAGAGCAATCAACTTAGACAAACACTTCTGAAACAAAAACGTAAAAATTAATGATGCAACCTATGTGATTATTTTGATTCTCACACAGCTTCACAATTGATTTTTTTTTTTTTTTTGGATAAGCATTAGCTTCATGCCTTTTGTATATCCTTCAGAATTTTTTTAAGACATTGTCTCCTATTATAAAGTCTTAAATTCTCTTCATGTTCGATTTGTCTTCACAACTTTGAGCCCTTATTTTATTCAATGAGAATATTCTCCATGATGTTTATAACCCTGGGGACACAAGGCCCTATAATCTTATTCCTTCTTGCCCTCTTCCTCCCTCACCATTTTCAGTACTTTTATTTTCTTCACAACAGGAAACACTGCAAAAAGTAATCAAGCATTACCAAACTTTTGGTTTTAGTGGGTTTTAAAATGATTATTGCTAAGATCATGCAACGATCTTTGCTTTTCATGCTGACCTTCAACAAATTTCCTGATGTTCTGAGCAAGAGTCCGGACGCTGCTGGGAAGATTCCAGGGGTCTTGCTTGATATGAAGCCGTAGCCTTTTTGGACAACTCAGCTTTGGTTCCATTTCCTGTTGAAATTCTAAATAAACACAGAAAATCTCTCTTAAGTCTCAACTTGTTCCCCACCAATTAATCCTTTAGGCTTCAAAACCTTCTTCTGTCACTGTTGTCCTAGACTATTGACATGGTGGTCATTTATTTTGCCATAACGTCAGAAAATCCATTAAACCTAAAAAGTCAAACTTTAATGTTATTTTCTTATAAATGTTTAAACAAAGCAAATTTAGATGAAAACTCTACTTTCATTATCCCAAACTAGTTACTAGTCAGACTGGCAGCTCCATCCTTTCCATTCATCAACTCTCATTCCCCACACCCTTTCCTTACCACGGGGAAACAGCCAAGGAGACATTATGCTTGGGTTCAGCAAAATCAACTTCATGCTTATGTATCTTCGATTAACTCATTTTTGCTTAGCCTGGCCCCTATAGGCATTAAACATTTTAAACTTTCAAATAATTGTAAAACTTCCTATGCAGACTTTTTGACATATTCAAAAATTATCAAAATAGAAGTAGTATCCAGTGAATTATGAAACATGAGTAACCAGAATTGCTCCTCTTATGCAATCTCCTTGCTTCTTGACTATATTGTCTACCACCTTTTTTTCTCAATTGCTTCTACTAGTTAATTTTTCAAGACTTACCTTGCAATCCTCGGCCTGGAGTGAGATACTTGGTTTGGTCAAAGGCCCTCACAACAGCCTGCCCTTTTAGGAGATTGGTAATTGAATCCACCTGTCAATAGTAGAGATTTCTGAGTTACATATTTCTCATAGTACATGATATATATTTCTAAAAGTAAATCTTATAAAATGTTTTTTTAAAGCAACAATTATTTTTGAAACCCCGTGATGCTTGTGAAATCGATCTTTACATAAAATATTGAAATAAATGCACCTGATAACATTTGCAATGACATTTCTTACTATCTTACCATATATTAATACAAAATATAAATTTACCTCACAAAAGAACATAAAATCTCTGGAGTTTTCTTTAACTATAAGTTATTGCAATCCTTTTCAAAGTGGTAAAATCTTCTACTACAAATTTTGGTTATGGCTATACATTTTTTTAATTTAAAACGACAAAATTAGCCTCCAAGGCAATATCTTGTGCTTTTTAAAATTAGAAAGAATGTTGAGCAAGAAATATCATAAAGCTTTCTGAAAACAAAAAACAAAAAAACAAACACTAAAAAGGGGAACTCCTATGTGTATAACAGTAATTTTCCCAGGACTGTAAAATACTTGATATTCACAAAAATCCTTTAGGTGAGTTGGCTGAAGGAATGTTTATTCCTAGTTTAAATGTCAGAAATTGAGGTAAAGGAGGTGGAAGGACAGATTGAGGCCTTTCTTTTCTAACTCCGAGCTCCTTGTACTGCATCTGAAAAAGGGACTCCTGACAGTTTAGTTGTGGAACAAAAGCCCCACAAATGCCCGATTGTACCTGGCTGAAAAGATGTTCAAGGCAACTATGTATCTTGTCCTGTTTATCATGAGAAATGCGAACACTTAGGGGAAGTTCATCACCTAGATGTCAAAACAAAAACAAAACCAGAAACAACAATCACTCATCTTACGTTTAACATTCCAAAATATTTTAAATATTAAATAAAATGTAAAAATTAAACACAAGCTCTTATTCCATGCACAGTTCTCATGTTCACAGAGAGTTCCAAAAGATTTAATAGCTCCTGGGATGTTATTACTTCTTCTGAAGGCAGAGTGACCCCTAGAAAGGACACTTGTTAATTATTCTTTCAAATTATGTTCCTCCAATGGTTGAAGAGTTGAAATAAACTGAATAATCAAATATCAAGATTTTCCCTAATTGGATGAAAAGTATTTGTTCTTAACACATACAAGATAATATATTTATAAGATAATTATATCAATCTGTTTCTCTCATTACCCTCAATCCTCATCATCCACATATAAAGCTAGCTTAGGTGAACCTGCTGTCTTTAATGCTTCAAACTCCACACCTGCCCATCCCCATCAACAATGCCTAATACTTTCAGTATGTTTCCTGTGTACCTATAATCCTTTGTAGAACCATAAAGAGATCATAGAGCATATCTGAAGATTACAATTAGTTTGCTTATTTCATTGTGTTTTAATTCACTCCCTTTAAAATGGGATTGGGAAATAGACTATGAAGCACATAAACTTGAAATGCAATATGTGTGGCCACAGAGAGTGAATGATAAAAGGTAAAAATAAAAATTCATATGGATCTAAGAAATTAAAACCTTAAAGTTATCTCCTATAGGACTAACATCAAAAAGCCCACAGGCCTTCACCAATGAACACACCTGAGTCCATTTCATCACTGTGGAAATAGGAGCTGCATTGGCTGCTGCAGATGCTGGTGAAGGAGGCGATGGAATTCCTATTGCTGTTGCAGTCACTGAAAACAATAAGTTTCATGTTACTGTAAGAGTGCAACTGCCCAGGTGTCCCTGCAATTTCTTATGACATAAATTTATATCAGTTATATTTATTAATATGTTTTAGAGGAAGCTAAGAGAAAGATAAACTTGTTCAACTCAGTCTATCTTACCTTTTAAAGATGGCATATTTTCGATTCAATTATATTTCAAATTTTCTTGTATCACATAATCTAGTCCCAAATGATTTTTTAAGGGCAGTTAGTTATAAAACTAGGAGTCACACCAAACTTAAAATTCTTTATAATCTGTTTCATGATATATGCCGGTAATTAGATAACTTGCTAATAGAGACAAAATACCGTTTTGTGATTTCTGTCCCTTTCTGATAGCTTAAATCATAACTTATTGGTTACACTCTGAGCTTCCTTATGGAGGATAGGGACTTTGTCTGTCTCCACCTCAGAGCTTTTAGCACAGGGAAGTGCTTGATAATGATGAATGCCCAAGGAAAGAAATGTTTAAAATGTTTGTGTGTGAACAGGGACAGATTTCAGAAATAGTGCAGGAGATAAAATATTTTCTTTCCTCTCAGAATAAGTAAAAAGGACTTTCTTAACTTTAAATTTACATTTAAAATTTCTATCTTAGCCTAGAGGGAAACTGTCAGGGTAATTTTAATTATCTGATAACTAGAACTTGAGTTAAGGAAGTATTTTTAGATGTGTAATTTCCCACCGGGAAAAACCCTACAGATTCCTATTAAAGAGCAGGCTGGGATGCTCAGAAGTGAAAAGTAAATGAAGTGATAAAAGTGGTTAATCTGTCTGATCTATGATTAAATCTCCAGAATAACTCTTATGTGTTCATTAAGATCCTTTTTGAAAACATAGAAATTGGAACAGTAGAGTGGTTAAGAGACAAACTGGGAAGCCAGACCACCTGGTCTCATAGGTAAATGATATCGGCCCTCCGGGTTTCAGCTTCCTGATATGTAAAATGGAGTTCCTATCAGAACCTGCCACCGAGGGTGGCAGTGAGGATTATGTAAAATCTTCCTCTTCCCCCATGTGTTTGGTAAAAGTATATTTTTAATGTTAGCTCCTAGTTTGTAGCTAGTTATATATACTCTGATGAGAACTTTGATTACTATTGAATCAATATCTTTTCATTGCAAAACACTGCATAATAAACGACTGAAGAAGATAGTTTTTGCTTTCAATTAACATAAATGAAAAAGATGTTAAAGTTGTATACACAGCTTATGTGGCTGGTTATGACAGTCCTTAGTGAGGTATCAGGTGATACACGGATTCAAGGAACAAAAAGCACTTTCAATTAAGGAAGTTCATGCGAGGAGACATCATTTGAAAGTCTAGTAGGAAGACAAAAACAGAGTTTGGAGGGAAAGTCTTTGGGGTTGAACAGGGTCTCCCAACAAAATTCATGTGGTTGAAAAGTGATCCCTAGTGCCTCAGAATGTGACCTTATTTGGAGATAGGGTCTTTACAAAGGTAATCAAGTTAAAATGAGGTCATTAGGGTGCCACCTTGAGCCACCCTATAAAATGTCCTTATAAGAAGGGGAAATTTGGACACAAGATACATATGGAGGGAAGAGAATGTGCAGAGACGCAGGGAGAAGATGGCCGTTTACACGTCAAGGAGCCAGGCCTGGCACGGATCCTTCCTCCACAGCCTTCAGAAGGAGCCAACACAGCCCACACCTTGGTTTCAGATTTTTGACCTCCAGAACTGTGTGAAAATAAATTTCTGTTGTTTAAGCTGCCCAGTTTGTAGTAATCTGTTACAGCAGCCCTAGAAAACTAATACAGAAGGTATCCAAGAGAGTGAAAAACACAAGCTTTGTCTCAGAGGTAGGCAAGGAACATTAGTCCAATTAGTTTGGAACATAGAAAATGAAAAGAAAAGAGAGAAAAAAAGGGCCAAAAGAACTCCTATTCGCTATCCAATAAACCAGTGACAGAAACAGATAGTTGAAAAAGATGTTAATCCCTCAGATTAGACACAATTTTCTTATTTGCTATATATGTTACATAATCCATATACAGAACAACGCTCCCAAATTAGGCTCACACCACCACAGAAAAAATGCTTTTTCCAAGCTATTCATATTAGAAAAGGGAAGGATTTGAAATATTACACTGTCCCATTATGCTTTGTCTGAGGTCGGTAATAACAAGTGATGACTGTGAAAGACCAACTAAAAAAAAAAAAAAAAAATCCAAACCTTTTTTCAAGATTTTTGTGGAAAATCCAGCATCACGTTTGACTTTCTTGAGTAAATGAGTTTGATGAGTTAGTGAATTACCTGTAAGAGTCTCTGTTGCTGATGGTATCATGACCAGAATCTTCCTGTTCATCTCCTGCTACATTAAAACAGACCCGTTTGCTGTTTCGTTCTCCCTTCTCATTGTCACTGTCTGTTGGTACTATGCCCTCCGATGTCTTACGTTCTAATTTAGGAGAATATGTTATTGAAGACAGAAGGCTGCAATGTAATATTAAAAAAGTAAATGCACATTTTCAAACTGTCTGCTATAGATAACTACCTTATTTGCTGAATACAATAGGCTTACAAATATTTCTAGAGTGCTTCAATGTTTCATATCAAATAAATATTCTACTGCATAAAAAGCATGTCATTCAAAGTTCACTTGTTCTTCACAAAACGAGTCATACAAACAGCATAATTTAGACCAGAAAAGCTTCATTGAAATCCAGGTTGTGCCATGCATGACTACAACTAAAACAAAGCTGTGGTCGTTTTATTGGATACTTGTGAAATGGGGATAATGAGAATAACTGGCTTCCATGACTGCTATGAGAATGAATATTCCTGGTGCATAATGGGTGTTCTCTTTAGCCCCTGGCCATTAGCACAACCATCACCACCTTACGGAAATACTCAACAATCTTCAAAGTGCTAGCCAAATATTAAACCCAAACTGTAAACGGGCCTTAATGTCCTCACTGGCTCACATTCAGTATTAAAAACCCACCTATCCCTCTACCTGTGCCTTGGGTTTCGCCCAGGCATTCTCTATTTGGCAGGGAGAATATTGGATTGTCAATCCCTCTCCCTGCTCCTACAAACAGGAGTCCTGGCCTCGGGGATTACAAGACAGCAAACAGAGTTACACACAATGTGAGGATGGGGTAATTACAATCTCCTCTGCAAGCCAGCCAGGATGAAATGTCCCAAATCTGCCCACAGAAAGAAAGAGCTCCTCCACTTGGCTCCGGGGTAAAATGCTGCAGTCAGACTGAACTGTGTGAAACCTGCTGAGGACTTTGAGTAGCTGCTGACTCCAACACTAGGCTTGAACGTTTGGCTGTGGCATGTTTCTGTTACAACTAACTCAAAATTAGGCAAAAATGGAATCGAACTTTATTGTCAAACAGCATGCTAAAAAATTTGCAAAATGAATTAAACCATGTCTAAACAAAGGACCCATATAGGGCTTCTCAAGCCAATAGCCATCTTCACATTTACTAAATACCTATGATTTTCAGTTCCAATCACTAGCGCATATCTTGGTTCTCATTTTTCCATAGCAATGTAATGTTTGTTATTTCAAGACTCTGAAGGTATCTTATACATATTCCATAATGTCAAACCCAATGCTGTGCATTGAATAAATACCTGTTAAGTGATTTCACTAAACACATTTATCATACCATGCATTGCTCTTGGTGCAGTGGATATAGTAGTTTATAAAATACACAAACGGGCCAGGCGCCATGGCTCATGCCTGTAATCCCAGCACTTTGGGAGGCCGAGGCGGGTGGATCACATGAGGTCAGGAGTTCGAGACCAGCCTGGCCAACATGGTGAAACCCTGTCTCTATTAAAAATACAAAAATTAGCCAGGTGTGGTGTCGTGGCGGAAGACTGTAGTCCCAGCTACTTGGGAGACCGAGGCAGGAGAATCGCTTGAACCCTGGAGGTGGAGGTTGCAGTGAGCAGAGATCATACCACTGCACTCCAGCCTGGGCAACAGAGCAAGACTCCATCTCAAAAAACAAACAAACAAACAACAACAGCGACAAAAACAAAACACAAAAGCCCCTGCCTTCTTGGAGCTCAAATTCTACTGAGAGAAGACAAGTAAAAACAAGTAAACTTTCTAGTATATCAAATGGCAGCAAATGGTAAGGAGAAAAACAAAACAGGGAAGGAAGCGTGAAGCTGCTATTTCAAACAGCGGTGCAGTCAGGTCAGGTCTCACAGTGAGGTGAGATTTGAATAATATTTTGACATTTTATAGTTTTTAGACACCAGTGAAAAATTGAAGGAGCTATGTTACATTGCTCGAGGCCCTGTGAACATTTTTAATAACCAAAAGCTGTGGATGATTTTAAACACAGTTTTTCTCTTTGGAAAGATACTTTTATGTCGTGTAAGACAGATTGTCTATTTATTCACCCTCTCCACCCAAAAGATTAAAACATTAGACTAACTCCAATTATCCAAGCTCCATGCTGCACAGACAGATGAACTTTGAATATCAAAGAGGAAAAAAAATGCAGGAGTTCTCATTTTGCAAAGAGCCCTCTGCACTTATGTATCTTTTAAATTAGAAGTCATGGGGCTAAGCATAATTTTTTTCAAAGTTACATGAATTGTATTCAGATATTTGCTTTTCATTTAAAACAGCTGCAATCATGCTTGCATTGACCCTGTGGGAACAAGTGTTAGGCTTACAAACAAATGATAGAAAAACTGTATTTTAAACACCATGTTTTGCATAAAATTTCTAGATTCTGAAAAGCAACAAGGTATCAAACCATAATATTTGTGCTTGCAGAAATCCCTTCACTTTCGTTCATATACAATATTAAGTTACCTACTAGAGGTCCATTAATTAAAAGCTTCAGCAGCATGCAATTCCAGGTGAATCTCCTCCTTGTGCCATTGATAAAAAAGATTTTTGTATACAGTATGTTGCAATGACCTGTGTGTTTTTAAACACCATCATCATTGCTAACATCTGTTGAGCTTTTATGACAGTCACCATGCTAAGTCTTTAACAGGTATCAATTCATTTAATCTCTAAAACCACCTTATGAAGTAGGTATTATCATTATTTCCCCATTTTAGAGGTGGGGTAGGCAAAACATATTGTTATATACATTGCCTGTGCAAATTAAGCAGGATTCCCTCTCCCCGCATCTAACTCGCACACTCTGGAGGGAGTAGGGTGCATCCCAGTGTTTCATAACTCAACTCACAGAAGTTCTGTGAGAATGAAATAAGCCAACGTATATAATAGTGTAATCTTGCCTGGCACATAAGCACCTATAAAAAAGCTGGTTTTTATGGTGTGCCCCTCTTTTTGTGTATTTACTAGCAAAATGCTTGGGGAAACCTCAATGATTACTCTACCACCACCACCAGCATTCCTCTCTGTAACCCCCGGGTTACTAACTGTCTAAAAGTGTGGTTTGTTCATCACTCAATCCTGAGGCATCTGGCACCTGCAAAATGAAGTCTGTTCTCAAATCCCCTGGGTTTACCAGGCCCCTTTCCTCCCTGTGAGAATACACAAATCCTCTATTTTAAAACCCTGTCAAAGGTTTTGGACATTAATTATTTTTCCTTTTACTTATTTCTTGTACCTAAGTGTCATTACCCAGTAAATAGCCCATTAAAGGGCAAAAGTCTTTAACTTTCCAAAGTGAAACCAGAATCACAAATCCTTCATTAAATTCATTACATCATCTTACCTCATGTTACTAGACAGGAAATTCATCTCTAATTCTATCTTTGGGTCTGAAGCTAAGTAGGAGGATTTAGTGAAATGCCTATGTGTTAAAGGAAATTTCATTTCTGAGAGGTATTCCCAGGTGACAGAACAACCAGACTTTATGATAAGACAAGCTCAACCTCAGGACCTTTCACAGGGATGAATAACTTCTAGAAAAGCTAACACTGAGGTGTTATCAGGCAATTTATCTTAAAACTTGGCAACACATCTGAGATCTGCTGCTTCACGTGCAAAGACATCTCTGACTAGGAATAATTACTATAGGGTGAGAAAATTGTTCAGATACTAGATTTTTAAATAATGTGTTAACCTCGACTGCATGGCAGCATCTCTGAATATTAAAAGCAATGGGGAATCCAGGCACTTAAAACAACTGTACTGTTGTACAGCGATTTATATTGCACATTAAGTTGTGTGGAACCTATTAATACTTAGAATTAAATTATGCGGTGTACCCAAAGAAGACCAAGGTGGTTACTCCAATCATTTGCTCACTTTTTGCCACTTTTCTAATAAACACGCTCAGCGGGGTAAAGGTTTTTAGACTAACAGGGTGGGGAAAACTTCAGTGAAAAGTAATCATTTTAAGTAGTTTTAGTTAATAAAAATAACTAGTCTGCAACTAGTGCCTTAAATATAAACATTTTAAGCCAAGTAAAAGGAGCTCCTTGCGTTTACATATTTTTCCTGAAAATATTTCTACATCACCTGAACCTTTAAAAAAAATTCAATAAATTAACAAAGACAAAGCCTGGAGGATTGCCAGGCAGTGCTAGATCGTCAATGCATTAAAGATTAGTCCCTGAGCAGTGCCAGCTGAGGCACATCAATAATCTTGCCATTGACAAGACTCATCCCAAAATGGCAATAACAACTCTTGGAACTGGAAGTATGGGATTGGTCCAGATGTTTTCTTAAAATCCCTTTGAGGCCTAGAAGCTATGATTCAATGCCACAATTTATTGTCTTATTAATAAAAATTCTATATACTTCATAAATACCTCTGGGAGACAACAACTGGTTTTTAAAATATATCATGCAACAAAATCTCATTTATTAACTGAAGTAAAATATCATATCCTAAAATATAAACTTCTGTCACAAGGATTCCAACACAATTCAAAAATGTCATGCAATTGCTTAAAAAATACTTTCCTTTTCTCTTAGCAATCTTGAACTGTTTAATTCATCTGTAAATAGGAAAAGCCACAGTATAATACACAAAAATAGTATATTAGAAATAGAGAAACAAAATCTTAATTCTAAATCACTCATAAAACTTCAGAAAATTAGCAAAGTAAATACTAAATATTGAGGATAATTTTTAAAATACAATGCATCTAATATGATTTTGATCTCTAAATTTCAAAAACGTGTAAAATGAGAGATCATGTCAATTATGACTTCATCAGTATAATGTCTAATTACAACAAAGGCTTGGAATAAGGTCTAAATATTTTGTGTCAAAACTGAATTATCCATGAAATACAGGACGACAGGTGTGTGTGTGAAGTCAAGAGTTCACATCTGTAGCCATTTAAATCAACAACTTCATGAAGAGAGTATGATAAAAAGAAGACAACAATATTTCTATTATTTTCAGAATCTGCCAATCGGGGATATATTCAATAATTTCCATCCCTTGAATGGATGAGCAACCATTATATTAGGCAGTGTGCTGATTACTTTCTGTATTAATTTGTATAACTTTCATCACCACAAACTTGTAATTCATTATTATTACTCATTCACTTCTGTAGATGAGAAACTGAGCTACTTCAAACCCCACGCTGTTCTGACTATACAGAGCTGTCTGGACTAGATGTGAAGCATCGTCCTATACCATGATGTGACAAAGCATCCTCGCAAGCTCAGGTAATTCTCCAACCATCACATTCTTAAATAAGAATTAGAACTGATTTATTTGGAAAAGTGCTCATTAGCTGCCTCCACTTTCTCTTGGTTAAAAATACTGGCACAGATATTTGGGTTATTGCTTAGCAGGCCATGAATTCAATCAGAACAGAACAAGGTATTTGTCCTAGAGATACATAATTTTGCATTTACTCATTTAACAAGTATGTTAAGCATTTATTATACTTTATGCCTTTTATACATTTCTATTGAGTGCATATTCACCAAAATTTGTACCCTGAACTACAAAGAGTACAAGGAAATCCTCCTACAAAACTGGTATGCTTTCAAATATATTTTTCAAGGTAATATTTTTACACTGAGACTCATTTAGTATCCTTGTATAAGATAGAATTTTGTCATTCTCTTCCCTGGTATTAAATGCTTACTTAAAATATATACCTATACGTATTTTTTCCATTAAAAAGCATTTTTAAAGTTTTGGAATTAAGAGGATCTATATAATCAACACAAATCTCCTAAATTTCCAATAACTAAAGAGAGAATTATTGAATTTTTCTAAGTCACATGTTTACAGCTATTTAATTTGGCAAACTTAAAAGTGTAGTACAAAACACTTACTCATCTATTTGACAAACACACATCTCCACCTCTTTCAGTGCAGTCTGAAGTTTACCCAGCAGTTTCTGATAGATGTCTTGGGTTTCTAAGTCTTCTTCTTTCAGCAGATACCTGAGACCATGGCCATCCTGCTGTCCCAGAGACAGACCTGAAGGGGCCGCCATGGTTGTGATGGTGTGCTGAATGTACACCATAGGGCTCAGTTTCCCTGAGGAATTAAAGTCATTCCTTAGTAACATGTATCACCTTTAACTTATGATAACAATCCAGTCCAATTAATTTTTATTTTTTAATTGACAGATACAATTACATGTATTACATGTACAACCTGATGTTTTGATGTATATATGCATAATGCAATGACTAAATCTAGGTAATTAACATATGTATTACTTCACGTAGTTATCATGTTGGTGCTGAGAACACTGTATACCCACTCTCTTAGGATTTATCAAGAATACAATATATTAACCATACTCGCCATGTTATACAATAGATCTCTTGAACTTATTCCTCTTATCTGATTGAAATTTTATATCCTTTGGCCTGCATCTTCTCAATCCCCCACCCAATCACCCCAGGCCCTGGTAATCACCATTCTACTCTCTACTTCTATGAGATCAACTTTTTTAGACTCCTCATATTAATGAGATCATATAGTATTTGTCTTTCTGTGTCTGGTTTATTTCACTTTAACATAATGTCTTCCAGGTTCATCTATGTTGTCACAAATGACAGGATTTACTTCTTTTTATGGCTAAATGGTATTCCATTGTGTTTATATACCCCATTTTCTTTATCCAGTCAAGCTAAATTTGAGATTCCATAAAATAAAATGCTGATCCAATGCTGAATTTAATTCAGAAATTAAAGCCTGTGGGGAGTTGTAATTAAAAACTAGAAGACAGTTTGATCCCTTGTCCTACTGTGATGGTACAGAATGGCATAGTGCATTGCTGCAGATGTTCCTCAGGTATTGTCCTCAAAGTTTCAGGGCCATTTCAGATCAGCAGCTTTCACAGCAGGATGAGCTGTGCCTATCATACGCATAAGGAAAGCAAGAGCAATCATCCTTCTTAGAAGAAAAATAACAAAAACGCCTAACTCCATTTTCATTCAGTATACACTTAGGCATAATTATCCAAGTGATTACAGTAAGAAATCTTTCCTTTATAAAAGGTCATGCTTGTTTGCACACCAGTTATCTATTGAATTTCAGGGCTGCACGAATAGCTATGATTGCCTAAATGACTTTTTATGATTTGGTAAAGTTGCAAAAGCTAGCATACCTTGCTCCGAAGATTTGTTTTCTTTATCATGAGAATGATGCTTCCTACTATCCAACTGAACACCAAATGCACTTCCCAAAGAGGTTGATGTTTTGGGATAAGAAACTTCCATCACGTTGACATGGCAGTTGGTAGGGCAGAAATCACTGCTGTGCAGTGGGGAGATTTTAGATTTGGCCTGTTTAAAAGTAGGCCAGGCTCTATTCTTCAGTACACGAGAAAACTGCAAATTAAAGAAAACACAAAAAGCAGTTGAACACACAGTAATAACTCAGGCTAGTTTTTTTCACTTGCATCATTCACAACAAAATCAAAGGGAATTAAATCATGTCAACTTGAATGAGTGAAATCAATTATATGTTCTTAGAAATTACATTATTGTTTCAAAACTCAAGCATTCTTAATAAAGCCAAGCAATATAAGCAGCAAATGCATATGATTCCTTTGAAACTGTGATTGCAACTTAGGTGTTCAAAGAAATGAATTTCTGTGGCCAGCGTAATATACTTGGACTCAAATCCACAGGCTCCCAGCAGCTGAAAGAGCCTGACAGGGCAAATGGCATCCCAGGACACCAGGAGAGAATGCAGAGCTTCCAACAAGGCAAAATGGCAAATCAGGGTAGCTGCCAAGTCAAGGGTGGAAGAAGATGGGATGTCCCAAACACAAGCATAAAGCTAATCCAAAGCACCAGTCTGTGTACAGGTCAGACAGTAAGGTGTGGCGGCTGAGGCCCAGAATGGCAGGACAAATCTGTTTCCCATGCCTCCTGCTAATCACTGAGTCAGGATCAAACTGAAGACTAGTGTGCACTCTGCCTTTATGCTTTGAGAATAAAGTGATACATGATTTATATGACTTCTAAGGTAGCCACTCCACTGCTTCAAACCTTGCTGTGGGTTTCCATTCAAATCCATCTACTCCTCGCCAAGGTCTCTAAAGCAGCCCAAGTCGGATGCCCACCTAGCTTCTCTATCTCAAGTTTTCTTCCCCTTGCTCCCTAAGCTCCTTCTGGCCCTCACTTGGTTTGTCTCACACACTAACTACTCACTCTGACCCTTTCTACAGGCTGTTCAGTGGGCCTAGAATGTTCTTCTTCCTGCATTGCCAAACTGTTTCCTTTGCAACTTCAAGTTCTATCAAATCATCAAGAGGCCTTCCCTGACTCCTAGTCTAGATTCAATTTCCCTGACTACTGCTAAGTTCCAGCACACTGTAACCTTCCTATTATATAGGTATAAATAATTATCTTATTTCTAGCTCCCCTAGCAGATGGTAAACCCCATGAGGGTAACACGTAAGTCTGTTCTGTGTACTATCAGTAAGAGTCTGGTAGAGTTAGACTGAATTGTAGTCTCAAAAGCAAAGGATTGAGAGTCACTATCTACCTGTGTATTTGTTATAGCTGTCATAATAACTGATATGATGTTAGGCAAGTCAGTGTCTTTTTTGCATTCTTCATAAAATAATGGACATGGATTAAATAATGTCTATATTATCTTCTCCCTTGAAAACTATAACCATGATCCTATCTATCTATCTACTAGTAGAGTAATAATTTTGGCATGGATAAGAATAAAAATTAAGACTATGGTCACTGTCTAACTTTTCTAGATTCAATTCAAGAATAAATATCAAAATTCATATTTCATAAATATAAGCTCACCATTAGAACAGGGACTGTCTTATATGTATATGTGTACATTATGTATATATGTGATATATACACACACGTACAATGTGTGTATTAAACTGTCTTCAAATCGCGTGTCAGAAGCTGTGTAGCTCAGCCATGTGCCAGTGCACAGTAGGAATCTAATGGAACTGAATTGAAATGCAGGAAATTATTAACAAAATGATGAGCAAATTTAATAATAATGGATAGTGAACATTTATGCTAAACTTTTTTTAAAGAAAGGAATTTAGAGAACTCCTGACCTATCCCAGCACTTTACTAATAAAGAAACGGTGACTTAGAGGCTTATGTGGGACATAGAATTTAAGGCTAGATGCAAAAACCTTTTACAGTCAAAAGTTCTTTTCCACTGTTGTTGCAGGATAAAAGTCTCACAAGGCACCTACGGCACAAACAAAGGCACAGAAATCAATTTTATTAGGTAACAGCATCCACCATAATAGGAAGTTATGCTTCTCTTGCCTTCTTCCATTTTAAACAATTATCCATCCATTCAAAAGCAAGGAGAGAGGCATCTATTCCGGACTCTGTGCTCAATGCTGGAGATATAGCCCTTGCCCTCCTGGAGTTCACAGTCTAGTAGACAACACAGGAAAAACAATGCAATACTATTGCTATATGCAGCAATTGTTTATTGCAATTATTAGGCTGTAGCAAAAGTGATTGCAGTTTTTGCCATTAAAAGTAATGGCAATGTGCCATATATATAAAATACATGTGCCATATATATAATACAGTAACGCATTGCTTAACAATGGGGATGCATTCTGAAAAATGCACCATTAGGTGCATCTATCTTAACATAGAAAAAGTAGAGTTAAAATATAGTATTATAATCTTACGGGACCATCATTTATATATATATTATCTGTCATTGACTGAAATGTTATGCAGTGCACGATTGTATATATGCAATCATATAATACACGTAAAAGCCAGATAATTAGAAATTCTGTTACAAGCTGAAAAGGAAGTGAACGGGGTGATGTCATGAAGTGTTAATGGAGTGATCGGGGAGAGCTGGCAGAAGATTCCCTTGCTGGGGGACTGGCTTTCCAACTTGTAGCTCAATACAAATGCCGGGAATACAGAATGTCCCCCCTGCCCATATGCAGGAAGGGCTGTGTACTATGTCTAAAGGTGCCTGCACTGTGCCAAAGGGTAAGAGTCAGATAGGGGCGCTCTCTGCTAAGATCAGTTCTTGAGAAGGAAGGTCCTCAGGAATGCAGTGCTGTCTTCCATCCTGGGATATTCCTAAGAGAGGAGGAGGCAGGAGGAGGAACCCCATAGTCACAGGTACTGGAAATGTGCTGCTTACACTGTGAAGATCAAAACTGTGCTCCCAGACAGGATGCCATGCTGTGAAACTGTAAGACCTTTCTGAAACTCGAACCTAAAATAAGGAAGGTATAGTTCATGGATTGATGGTGGTTCGTGCATGAGAACATTCTGATTGTGCAAATGGGCCTGTAAACATCAACCTGCCTATCTTTTTAGCAACATCAAAGGAAACACTGAACTCATTAATCTGCTTTGGAGAAACTCCCAAGGAAAGGTTAAAAAAAAAAAAAAAATATTTTCCCCAAACGAAAACTGCAATTTTGCAATAAAGAAATGCACAGGGTGGGTGTGGAGAGAGGTGCATTGGGAGGGACAGGACTTTAGATATACTATGGATACTACAAGCCCAAACTTACTGCCACCTTTATTCATTTATCCAACAATGACTTCTGGAAGGCTCTTTGTGCATCAGGCACTGTCCTCAGCATGTCGGGTAACATCAGTAAACAAAACAAAGATTCCTGCCTTCCGGGAGGTTACATTCTAGTGAGAGGAGAGGTCAATAGCAAATACGGTAAGTCAATTACGTAATGTTGATAGATGGTAAATGTAACTGAAAACAAAATTGAGCAGCGTAACAGGGTTCGAAGTTTCAGAGGTGAACTGAAGAATGGATTACCAATTGCAACCAGGATGATCAGAACAGGCCTCACTGAAGCTGACATTTAAGCAGTCCAGAAGGAGGGGGAAGTTAGGGGGAAGTTAGAAATCTGGAAAGGGGTCATTTCTGGCAGAGGGAACAGCCAGTGCAAAGCCACAGGACTGGTGTATCCAAGGAGCATCAAGAAAACCAGTGTGACCAGAGCAGCAGTGAGAGGGAGGCAGAAGAGGCAGGATTGGAGAAGGAATGCAGGGAGGGAGGGCACAGATCCTGAAGGCCATTGAAAGGATTTGGCTTTGACCATGAGTGAAGTGTATAGCCACTCAGGACAACTGTGAGTTGGCCAGGAGCAGCAAGGAGACCACTTACAGAAGAGAGATGGCAGTGGTTCACCCAAGGCCACCAGCAGTAGAGGTAGGGAGAAAAGGCTGCATGGCTGAAGGTAAAGCCACAAGAATGGTATGAGAGAAAGGGAAGTGAAGAGTGTATTCAAGGTTTTAGGCTGAGCAATGGGAAGGATGGGCATAAGCCTGAGAAAGAGAAGGCAGCAAAGAAAAGGCAAACTGCAGGGGCACTGGGGTGGGGCAGGGGAAAGGTCAAGAGCTGATTTGGAACATGTAAAGTGTGAGATATTGATTAAACCCAGTTGCAGAGGTCAAACGGGCCGGGACCCTGAATGAGATTGCCAGGGGATTGCGAATGGAGAGAGAGAAGGAGAAGACAGAGTCCTGAGCCCTGGAGTTTTACCAAGAAAGGGGAGGGAAGAAAAGGAGGACCAGCTAGGATACCACAAAGGAGCGCCCACAAGAAAGGACAAAAACTAGGCATATGTGGGGTCACAGAGAACTGCCAAGTAGAGGTTTACGGTCAACTGCATCAGATCCCACTAAGACAAGGAATGCTATCAGGACAGTCAATAGACTTTGGCAAAATACAGCCATTTCAGTTACATAGAGGGGAGTAGAGGCCCATTGGAGTGTGCTGAGGGTAATGAAGGTGAGATAGCAAGTATAGACAGCCCTTTCCAAGATAAAGATCAAAGAAAGGGAACAGTACGGAGTAAGGGAGGGCTATTTCTTCTTAATGTAGGTGATATAAAGCATATTTCTACACTGACAGGAATTAACAATTTCTGGAGATAGAACTTCAGGTTTTTAACGCATTGGTAGCTAATTCATGAATTATTGACTACAGCAGCATATTTTAATCCAATTATAGTCACTTAACTAAAAGAAGTAATACAATGGTAAGCTATTATTTTGCAGATAGCTTCCTATTTCAATTAAGCATAAAATCTTTTTGGCACGAGGTTATGAAAGTTTTGTATTGTACCCTTTTGAGGGAAGGGGACATGGGGAAGACTTTTTCTCACAATCTTCCCAGTGCATATATCAGTGTGAGGCCTACATGGCATGAATAAGTAAAGAGGGACTTCAGACATTCAAAGGAAGACTTCCAGTTCCTGCATGTAATATTTCTGCATAAACAGGAACTATCTCTTGAATGTATATTAAATATTTCTATCTAGGAAGTATCCCCAATACCCAAAATAAGCCCAATTATGGAATTATTCTGAAGCAGAAGAATGACTGTAAAACTAAAAAGTGTTTCCAGGACAATCTAGGGAGAAATTATTTTACATCTGAATTGTCCTCAAATCCTGCTCCACAGAGGAAAAGTCTCACTTAGGATTCATTCAGATCTTCAGTTAGGTCTGACCAGGTTTCATGCACGTGCCAAAAAACATCTGTGGCCTGTACAACCAGCCAGGAAATCTATTATAATTGCAGCAGCCTTACTATAGAAGCTATAGCAATCAACTGGTTTCTATTTTTAAAACCTAAAACTTTCAGAGTCAAAATAAGGTAAAGCCAGCATCTTCGAGATTTTAGTTTCTATGGATACATTTTATTTCACAAAAAGAAGAGTGCTGAAGTCTTCATCAGGAAGAAAAATATGTTTCTAATAATAGTTTTAAAGTATATGTGTGAAAATTAAAAATCTATATTCGCAAATGCTATGGGTTCTGTTGACATACATTTGATACATAAATGGAGTTAATCTTACATGACCTATTAGGGCTACGATCTTAGGCACCTAAATCTTATTCAAATTGAAAAGATCCTTGCAATATTTTCTTGCTAACCTTGATTCTCTATCTAATGAGAAAACCAGTTATTTTAAATATGTTTATGGCCAAATGGGATGATGACAAGGATAGCTTTTAAAGCACATAGGCCCTAGGTGACTACATGTCTCTTTTTTATTTCTAAATTAAACATAAACACAAGTGAGACTCATTCCATAGGAACCTAGTCTGTTAGTTGCCACCTACGTGACCTTAAGCAAATTCTTAATCTCCCGAAAAAAAGAGGCAGGATGAGAGAAGAGTCCATACACATGATTCTGTTTTGATACTCAAGTAACAATAATGTACATAAAAGAGCTTTCTGCAATTCGGTGACATTATTTTTATTATCTAACATCATTGCCCATTAGCCTGTCCATCTGTGCCTTAAAAGCTTCTAGGATCTCAGTTAGTTATGAGTAAATGGAACACACTTCTCACCCTCCAGGGTGATGTTTTTGAGGATCTCCAACATTTGTTTAAGTCTGTGTTCTCTTGGTCCTCATTCTTAATCTGCTGCATCAATTTGCTAACTAATATGCCCTGATCCTAAGATTATGTTTGTTTATATAGTTTACCATTTTCCATGTACACTTCTGTAAGCTATTTCCACTTTTTTATTGCATGAAAGAATGAAGAGAGGAAAGCAGGAAGAAAGCAAAAGAGAAATGTCCCAGGCATGGTGACTAGTTTGACACCCAGACTCTGCCTGAACCTGTATCACACCTTCTTGTACAAATCCACTTCTAAAGTAGAACAACTCTCTTTTTCAAAATTTCTTCAAAAGGAGAATACTGATTTGCATTTGTGCAGCAGTTTTTTGCATTTGTTTAGATCTTTTACTTCAATTTTACTTCAAAGCACTGTTATATTTCATAGAGAAAGGAGAAGTAAGAAAAGAATCTTCTGTCCTTCAACTCCAACAAGGTACATTCCATGGAATCTTCCCCAAACTCAAATAGGTGAACTGAACCAGCAGCCATGAAAAGCAGATTAACAAAAGTGGCAGGTAAGCAGTGACCCTGAACATTAGTTTTCTTCATGTGAATAACTTTTAAAAAGATACAGTAGTAATGCAAACTCAACTCAACAACCCAACCATTACAGGAATTGTTTAAAGGAAAAAATCATGATCTCTTTTCCCTTGACTCATTCAGTTTAGGTAACCAAAGTTGTGAGTCCCTTGGGTATTAGTTTACATACATCCCTATTCTCATGCAGCCAAATATAGACATAGATGGACTTATTTTAATTACCATATCAAGAACATAAAACACATATACTTACCACATATTCATATACATTGAGATAAAGAATATTATCTAGTACGGCTGACCAAATTTTAAGCAACCAACTTCATTTGGAGGGAAATCATTTAATCAATTAGTCTTTTATTGGTATAAATAGAAATAATTTTTAAACTTGTTTTAGCATGTGTTTTGGAGATGAATTCCCATTAATTCTACCTTTAAAATATGTCCCCAAATTCATCTAATGTTTTTTGTCTCCTTCATCTTCAATGTAGTCCAAGCCATCAGCATCACTCAACTGGGCCACTGCAACAGCTTCCTACAGGTCTCTATTTCTCCATTTCTGCCCCCTTGCAAACCATTCCTACAAAAGCATTATCTTTCAAAAGCCTAAATCAGATGAAGTCATCCCCCTGCTTAAAACCTTCCAATTGGTTTTCATTAATATAATAATAAAATCCAAACTCCTTCCCAAGTCCCAAAATGTACAGGAGCTGCCACAGCTCTTCACAACTGGCCCTGCCTAAGCCTCTGACCTTAAGCCTGCCACCAACCTCTGGCCACCCTGGCCTTCTTTCTGCTTTGGGGCCTCAGTGACCAGCTGTTCCTTCTCCCTGGAGGCTTCTCTCTCCAACTCAAAGGGAGAGTTCTACTTGTCATGCAGATACACGCTTTCTCATAAGGGGCTTTCTCTAGCCACACAGTCAAAAGGATCAACCTGGCACTTAAACCATACTTCCCTATTTTGATTTCCTCATAATTCTTCTTAATATTTGATTCCCCCCACTTTGTAGGGATTTATTTACTTCTTTGCTGTCTCTCCCACTTGAATGTGAGCACCATGAGAGAAGAGAAATTGTCTCCTTCCCTGCTATATTCCTGGAACCTAGAACAGTACTTGGCACATAGAGAGTGCCTAATAAATGTATCTCAAATGAATGACTTAACTAATTTTTAAAAGCCCACAGTCCATGTACTTTCTGATTGAGGGTTTTCATTCTCCTAGTTGGGAGAAAAGGAAAGAAGAACTATAGTATAATTTTAAATTTTGACTTCAGAATAAGGTGGTCTGCATTCAATGGCCAGCTCTATCTTTTACTAGAAAATAATTTAATTCTTCAGGCCTCAGTTACTATATTTTAAAGATGCGGGACAGTAACATAACTTACAAGTTTGCAAAGATCAAATGAAGTAATGGATGTTAAGGCATTTTAAAAACTCTGAAATGTTATATAATGTTATCATTTCAGTAAAATGGTACCTAACAAATATGTAAAGAAAATATCAAGAATTGATTTAAATTTGACATTTAAATAATCATCTCAACAATAATGATGTGTAAAATCAATAGAACCCTTACCTTTTTATAACTGGATATTCTCTGACATATGTGTTCAATTCTTTCACTGCAAAGGGCACTGAATTTACTCTGAAGGTCAGTAGGAATCACTTCATTTAGAGAATTTAGGCTGGTGCAGTTTTGTACAAAATGCTCATCACTTTTAGCCAGGGCTTCAAGAATCTGCAATGACAAACACACACGCACACCCCCACACACAAACACACATACAGACACACACATCGAAAAACAAAACAAAACAAGAAGAAAAACTTCAAAAGTAGCCACATCAAATTTTTATAAGTTAACAATACAGGGCAACTTTCCTATTTTGCTCTTTGGGTAGCTGCCAGGGGATTTCTACCTTCAGTCAGGCACTGTCAGTGAAGTGATCTGACCTGTCTGTCTGAAATTGCAGGTTTTCCTTCTGCTAACTATAGGAGCCTGCTTGGTGACGCAACTGGTCTTCAAAGACTCCCTGCTGGGTACATCAGTACATTCTGATGTGGGACACGTCTATATTTTAGTGAGAGTGACTCAGAACATTTTTTTTCTCAATTTGGTAGAACAAGAAAACATAAAGGAATCCAATATCATGTTTGTTACTTAGAGTCTAGCAAATGCAGAAAGAAAATATTTGACAACTGCTTGCTGAAGAAATGAATAAATGAAGTTATTTCAGTACGGCAGAAATTAATGTGACTTGCAGCATCTGAGCTCTTGCTGATAAAAGCATTAGATAAAAGTATTTATGTGATGTTTGCAATTAGGAAATTCTTTTGACTATTTGAATCAATTGTAATAAATGTGTTGGTGGAGAAGGTGTACCATCAATTACTAAGAATTTCCAATGACCTGAGAATTAATTATGGATTATATATAGATATAGAGATACATAGCATTTCTGATTAATCAGACATTGCAAGAATGGATTATACCCATAACCAATATTTTATGATATTCTGTGAAACACAAAATGTATATATGTTCTGGTTATTTGAGCTCCCTCACCACCTCCACTTCCCTTTCATGCTGACTATGGAGTATGAGTTTTTATTTAATCACTAGTCTAGAACTTAGAGCTAACTTTATCATTAGCAGTGTGACCTTGGCTACATTTCTTACTTGACTGACTTTTTTTCATGTGTAAAATCCAAGTGATATTTGCAATACTAGTTTATATGTTGTCCTATGTAGAATAATCCATGTAATTCTGCAAACTTGAAATAGCTGGAAAATGAGAAAATAATTATAATATCCTGGTTTCAAACTTTTAGATGGATCCCATTAATACTATAATGTAGATGGGAAGAGACTGCATTTTAAATATATATATTTTAGATATCAGTAGATATATAGAGAGAGGTACAATATCATCAGAATGATGAGATTTTTAAAAAGTTAACTTTCAGAATATAAAACCAAAAGACAAAATAATTATTTTTAAAATAGTTCATTTAGATGTCTATATTATTTCCTCCTGCTAAAATTTTAAAAATACATGATAGAAATGCTACATCTATCTCAACTATTCATATTTTAAACAACAATTCAAACAGAGAAATAAAGATAGGAAAGCTACATCTCATTTTTCTTACTTGTACTATCTGAATTCTTATAGCATATAGAGCCATATGAAACACTAAATCCAACACCTGTGGAGGAGTCTGATGGATTTCCCTTGTAGGCAGGTCAGGAAGAGCCAGCAGTTGCCTCTTTACCATGTATTTTATCATTTGGATAAAGGCCCCCTTCCTTCCTCTCCATCTTGTTTCAGCCTAAGCACCTTTGCAAAGGTGATGTCTTTTCCAAATGAGAATTACATAAATATCAGAGGATCTATTCATAGACTGATCTCTACGGTTCCCAAAATTTTATGAAATAAACATGGCACTTGCCAAATTTGAAATTTCTCATAATGTATTTCACGACTTTGAATACTCTTCAGAGGATTATGTACATTAAAAAAAAAAAAGCAGCATCTGTCATGAAAACCATCTGAATTGTATTCACAATAATGAATTCACAGACACAGCAAACTTAATAAATGCTGAAGTCCTTGCCATATCAATGAACACCTGCCTAAGCAAGGGTTTCATCTAACTTAACACTGTGCTCTGAAAGGATCAATAAAAGGAAGTTGTATGCATACCAAATAGTGGAGGAGGGGGAGAAAAATAAGAAATTGAATGAGGCTGGGCACAGTGGCTCATGCCTGTAATTCCAGCACTTTGGAACGCCAAAGTGGCTGGATCACTTGAGGTCAGGAATTTGAGACCAGCCTGGGCAACATGATGAAACCACGTCTCTACTAAAAATACAAAAATTATCTGGGCATGGTGATGTTGCCTGTAATCCCACCTACCCTACTTGGGAGGCTGAGGCATGAGAATCGCTTGAACCCAGGAGGCGGACGTTGCAGTGAGCAGAGATCACACCACTGCACTCCAGCCTGGGCGACAGAGTGACACTCTGTCTCAAGAAAAAAAAAAAAAGAAGAAGAAGAAGTTTGAATGAGCTGACAGCTGCAACATGTATAGCTATTTTTATTTTTTTAAGTGAAGGAGGGGGAGGATTTCAGTTCCTTTATTTAGAACAAAAAATCTTACTTCTTCAGCATCACTCCTACCTTGGCAGTTAAGCTGAAGAAACCTTTGGGCTCAATCATCTTTTCCACCACATTGCACTTGATGCCAGCTGTGCTGTCGTACTCATATACGACACCATACTCCAGGTGGACATTGTCCACTGTCAGACTCACATGCTCCTTCTTCCCGTCAATGATGGCCATAGTGTTGAATTTGTCAATAACCTCTGGAATAAAGACAATTGTAATTCAGCAAATTCATGAAGGGTTTGTTAATCTCCTCAGATAATTTTGTGTCTCTTTAAATAATTTTTAAACAGTTCTTTAAGGGATGGTTAAATCTGATGTGTTAAATGAAGCATCTATTCTTGTTAACATTTTAAAAAATAACATTTTGAGAAAAGCATATGCTTGAGTGATCCAAACCTCAGCACTCTAACATGACTAGTCTTTGTATATCTACTTCAATCTGTGGATCATATGTCTACCTATTTATACCAATATAAATACTATACATAAATTTTTTTTATTAAAGACATGTATGACTTAAAGTCAGGATTTCTAAAACTGCCTCGAATGTTGTATGAATATTTTCTCAAAGCAGGAAAAAAAAAATCCATAAAGAAGGCCATATTGAAGAAGTAGAAAGGAGATGCAAAAATCATTTTATTTTGGCAGGCAGGGTGCTGCAGTTTCCCAAACAGCATCTTACAGAGACGACTCATTCAGAAAATTTCTCATTGTTCACTGTAATAAAATTTCCATCTAAAATGTCTGCCTATAGTTTTTTAGCTTACATAAGGTACATGAGCTGGTGAAAAATATGTAAATCTCAAGTAAGAAACTCCTGGGAAACCTAATAGTAATTAAATAAACAAAACTAGAATATTAGTTTACTTAGAAAGACAAAGCCCGAAAATAGCAAAAACAGTAAATATTAAATAGGTAAAGTAGAATATTGATTTATCTTAAAGTAACTAAGTCCTAGAATAGCTACAAATCAATTTCCAGAGCATTACAGCAACCAATCTACCTTTCAACGTGGCACCAAGGTTGATTTATTCCAAATTAGGAATATAAACCTCAGAATAAGGTCCTGAGATTTGTCCTATTTTAGATAAATATTATATATTACCATAACAACCTTATTGCTCCAATGATTTGAGATGTTTCTGATACTACCCATGACTTGGGTAGCATCCAACAAGTGGCCTTCCAGGAGTGCAGAGAAAATAGCTTTTCCTAAGTACCCGCATATGATCAGTGTGTATAGGGAATATACAATAAGAAACATATGCTGGGCGCCGTGGCTCATGCCTGTAATCCCAACAGTCAGGGAGGCCAAATGGGAGGATCACTTAAGCTCAGGAGTTTGAGACCAGCCTGGGCAACATGGCAAGACCTTGTCTCTATCAAAAATCAAAAACATTAGCCAGGCATGGTGGCATGCGCGTGTAGTCCCAGCTACTGGATGGGGTAGGGAACTGACGGGGGATCACTTCAGCCCAGAAATTAGAGGCTGCAGTCAACTATAATCGCACCGCTGCACTACTGCAATCCAGCCTGGGTGACAAAGAAAGACTCCGGAGAAAAAAAAAAAAAAAAAAGAAGAAGAAGAAGAAAAGAAAAAAAAATTAAAGGAAAGAAAAGAAAGAAAGAAATATATGTATCTAGGTATTTGGCCCCATTCCTAAAATAAAACGTTTAAATCCTAGTGATTTACTGAGTGATAGAGGTGACAGGAATGTCTTTGTTATTTATAACAAGCCCCCTTAGAACATAACTGAGTTTATGTGAATGAGGTGGCACTTGGTCAGCCCACAGCTAGCCTCAGGATGGGGGCTGGTTGTCAGGGTAACCAACCATGCGATTAGGGGGCTGGAGCTTTCAGCCCCACCCCTGAACCTCTGGGGAGGGGAGAGAGGTTAGAGTTCAAGTTCGGTCACCAATGGCTAATGATTTAATCAATCATGTCTAAGGAACGGAACCTCCATAAAAATCCCTAAAGGACAGGGATCAGAGAGCTTCTGAGTGAATGAACTTATCCGCATGTCTGGAGGGTGGCACACCTCACCCCCTCACAGAGCTTCCCACCACAGAGCTCAGTGCTCAGCACTCTTCCGGACATCATCCTATTTATCTCTTCATCAGGCTTTTTCATTTCTTATCCTTTATAATAAACCAGGGTTTGTAAGTTTCTGGGTTCCCTGAGCTGTTCTAGCAAATAACTGAACCCAAGGAAGGGATGTGGCAACCCCCTGAATATATAGCCAATTGGTCAGAAATACAGGTGAAAGCCTGGGACATGTAACAGGCACCTGAAATGGGGGCAACCTTTTGGGACTGATCCCCTAACCTGTGTGTCTGTGCTAACGCCTGGTTTTACAACTGAGATGAATTGTAGGACACCCAGTTGGTGTTAGGAGATTTGGGGAACTGGTTGGTATGGGGAAAACCCCACATACATAGGGTGTCAGAAGGGTTGTGAATGAAAACACCTCAGAACAGGTAATTCTTCTCCAGCTGTGCTGATTGGGAGGAACCTAAAGTGTAATAAAAAATATCCAGAGACATCCACCAATAATGAGTGGAAAGACACGAAGAAAATATAAGAGGTGATTCATGGGCTTCTGTGAAAAAGTTTTGAGACAATAATTTAAGGTATCTGTCAATTGCAGACATAAATGTAATTGCCTCAGTCGCCCTTGGTAAAGAAGCCACTGAATAGAGCCATTTGCTGGTTTACTCCATTGAAGAAACAGAAATGATAACCGTCCTTATCAAAAGATCTCTCTCCCTCTCCCTCTCTCTTTTTCTCTCTCATTTTCACACTACTAGTTTGCTCCTTTCCTTACTGTCAATGTTAGAACACAGTAAAAATAAAAAAAGAATCTTCTAGATCAGGGCTTCTCAAATTTTAATCTGCATACAAATCAAACCTAGTTAAAATGAGGATTCTGACTCAGTAGATCTGGGGTACAGCTGAGATTCTGCATTTCAGTCTAGCTCCCCGGCGATATTGACACTGCTGCTCTGTGAGGCACACTGGAGGCCAGGTCTAAACAACACTGAAACTCCAAACAAGGAAACACATAATAACCTGGGTTTGAATCCTCACTCTACTACTTAACTAGTTTGAGCAAGTCCCTTAACCTATATAGGCTTTAGTGTTTTCTCCCCTCAAAAAAGAATGATGATACTCATTTCCATTTTATGAGATGTTCTTTTTTGATGACTAAGTGAGGTAGTCCATAACAACACTTCATAAAGTGCCTAACAAATAGAATCTGCCAGCTACTAGCTATTATTACTTATGCATTTGACAGACATCTGTTTGGTGATAATGACTTAAGAATGTGGCTTCAACACGTACAGGACCTTCGATATTTGGGAGTAGGCACAGGCACAGTGGAAAAGAATACCAGAAGCATATGAAGAGGAAAAGAAGAAACCTACCTTCTACTTTACAGTCAAAAGCATCCCCTGCTTCATCTCCAGGGGGCTTGGAGTGAGATTTTTGAAGGTCTTCTTGAGCACTCTCAATGCTATTATAAACCCATTGTATGGAATCTTGCTGGAAATGAGGGGGGAAAGAAACCTCAGAGGTATTAGTGCTTCCTAAAACGCATGCCCATTTCACAAACCTGCTTCAAAAGGAGACTTGACCTTATTTATTCCTCTAGCTTCTTTAAAAATAGTAAAATTTGAAAGAGAGATACAATTAATATCAGAAACTAATAAAAACTCAAGGACAATTATATCGTTTAACAAATACACTTTCTTTCTTCCTTCCTTTCTTCTTCTCTTCTCTTTTCTTTTCTTTTTTTCTTAGACAGAGTTTCCCTCTTATTGCCCAGGCTGGAGTGCAATGGTGCAATCTCGACTCACCCCACAACCTCCGCCTCCCTAGTTCAAGCAATTCTCCTGCCTCAGCCAACCGAGTAGCTGGGATTACAGGCATGCGCCACCACGCCTGACTAATTTTGTATTTTTAGTAGAGACAGGGTTTCTCCATGTTGGTCAGGCTGATCTCGAACCCCTGACCTCAGGCGATCCACTTGTCTTGGCCTCCCAAAGTGCTGGGATTACAGGCGGGAGCCACCACACCTGGCCTAACAAACTGACTTTTTAAAGCTTCAAGTTTTATCTTCCAAGATACGTTCCAAAGATGTATGTTTTTAAATAGGATATATTCCCAAATGTCTTACTTAAATGTTTCAAGTATATCTTAAGTAAGTTATAAATCACATTTTAAAATAATCAAATGTGGCTGGGCATGGTGACTCACACTTGTAATCTCAGCACTTTGGGAGGCTGAGGTGGGAGGATTGCTTGAGCCCAGAAGTTCAAGACCAACCTGAGCAATGTAGTGAAACCCCATCTCTTATTAACAAGACAGTAAAATAAATCAATTGTGAGATGGACAGTTGTCTGATGAATCAATTATCTATAATGGTACAAATCATTTACATGTTCTCCTAATAGTCAGATATATTCTAATACATTTACTGCTATTTTAGAATCAAACAAATATGAAAATTGGAAGGACATCATTCATCTCATTGATCAACTATCTTTTAATCCTTCCAAATAAAAAAATCATCCTACTTTTAAGGGCGATTTCCTTAAAAATTATCCTATATTTTAACAGCAGTTCCAGTCTCATTTAGAGAAATGAGAGAGATGAGATGACTATCAAACAAATGCTTCAAGAGTTGCATTACTTTAAGGTTTACAGATTTTCTAGATAAGATGTTAAATCAAATTAAACTGCATTATCGAAGTATGATACAATATGTATTATCTATTTGTTTTGTATTAGCTTCTCAAGTGTGTCTAATTACTATATTGCTACAAATCATTAAAATGCTAATTAATATTTGATCATTCCATTACATCTTGGTGCCCTGTTGTGGCCACCAATGAGCCACACTGCTTAGTTTCCCACATTGACCCTGGGTTTGGCCACACGATTTGACTTGTCCAAAGGGATACTAGCAAGCACAGTCTAAGCAGGTTTATCACTTATAATGTTCCCTCTTAAAATTCAGACACCATGCAGAAAAAAAAAAACCCTGCTAGAGGCTGGAAAGAGAGGCCATGCAAAAGTGCCCTGGAGGGTGACCTGCCCCATGGAAACCGAGGCCTCAGACAGGGGAAGTAAAGGTGTCCACTCGGGTCCCAGCAGAATGCAGCCACGTCAGTAACCTCATAGGAACTACCCCACAGCTGCCCCATAGAATCAAGACAAATAGTCAATTATTGTTTTAAGCCACTAAGCTTTGGAGTGGTCTATTTTGCGGCAATGGATATCTGGGAGAGCATGTTAGTGGATTTTTCTGTCCATTTATTGCTTTTCTTTAATTATGTCACTGATCAACACCTCTATAAGATGGTAGGCAGGGAAAATAAAAAGAAATGAAATTCAAATTGATCTGTCTGCTTATTAACATTCTGGTAGAAGAGAAAAGATTTGATTACTTCAGAGGAGACTTTAAACATTCATTCTATAATACAGTTCAACAAATATTTATCAAGCTACTATCAACCAGAGTAACCTATGAGCCTATGTATAACTTCCAATTTGCTATGCTAGATCTGACCTTCTTTTTTTTTTGAGACAGAGTCTCGCTCTGTCACCCAGGCTGGAGTGCAGTGGCCGGATCTCAGCTCACTGCAAGCTCCGCCTCCCGGGTTCACGCCATTCTCCTGCCTCAGCCTCCCGAGTAGCTGGGACAATAGGCGCCCGCCACCTCACTTGGCTAGTTTTTTGTATTTTTTTAGTAGAGACGGGGTTTCACCATGTTAGCCAGGATGGTCTCGATCTCCTGACCTCGTGATCCGCCCGTCTCGGCCTCCCAAAGTGCTGGGATTACAGGCTTGAGCCACCGCGCCCGGCCTGACCTTCTTATTAAGTAAAACTGATCACCTATTTTCATGTGGATTCAGTGTTTTGCAGGCCATCAGCAATGGCTTATGCGAAAATGGCCATTCATCTTCCGGGTTTGGAGACAGTCACATCCTCAGATCCAGAAATGAATACTTTAGTATGCATGACAGGAAAACACAAGGCTTCTCCTGTCAAGTTCTGCCTGCATCTAGCCGATTAAATTGCAGAAGTTTTCTCTTATATGCCAATACTCACATTTTCTTCATAAGATAATAGCTTTGCTTAAGAATTATGATTCTAATTTTAGTTTTTTGTGGCACTTGTAGATTAAAGGGTAGTGTTTTACAATGTTAGATAATGCCGAGTACATTTTGGTATTTTCCTTTAAGAGATAAATGCAGTTCCCTAAATACATTTTGGTATTTTCCTTTAAGAGCTAAATCCAGCTACCTAAATAAATATACCTCAGAATCAATCACAGACCTTATAAAACCCATAATTTTTGCTTTTTCACAGAAGTCTTCTAATAAAGGGTATAAGTATTTATGGTTCATACATACAGACACAGACACAATGATCATTATGTATTCTAAAGCAATCACAAGGGCCAAGAAAACAGTTCAAACCTTTGGATTTCATTTGATAAACTTGTATCTCAATGAAAATGAAAGTACCCCAGATCACTTTTTAAACAGATGGCAGTACTGTAATAATAAAATGTAACCATTTAAACACAACCAATTATAACTAATTATGCAGATAAAGCAATCATTATGAGATTTATAATGCTGTGTTTAATTTTAAACTTAAAATTGGAAACCACAAACATCTCTGGCACTATCCCACCTCGCCCCTTAGGTCTTTATGCAAGTAGTCACTCAGATCCAGATTACCCGAAGGGCCACTTACCTTCATTGGCCGCCTGTACTTCCTGCAGGCTGTAACATGTGCAATGACACTGGCATGTGTCTCTTTGCTTACATTGATTCCATTCACCTTGATAATGCACTGTCCAGGGTGAAGGCCAGCTGCTGCAGCCACAGTTCCTTTAAATACAGATGGGAAAATAACCAAAAACTAATTTCAGGAACAAGATTCATTTTTATGATATATACAATTATGGAAGCAATTTTAAAATACGATCAAGGTCTAGCTAGTATAATCTTGATAAACTTGGTTCTGAGAGCAATGCCCTCTCAACACTTTTCTGCTTTTTAACTTAACTTTCAAACTGTGATCAATAGAGTATTTCTCACCTCCCTAAGAATTAGTTTGAAGGGATGTTGCAAAGTGACCTTTATAATACTAATCAGTTCTTTTTCCTTCCAAATGTCTAGTCAATCTTTCTAAATATGCATATCTAATGGCAAAACGAGAAGACCAGAAACATATGCCTTCCTTATCTTCCTTTATTCTACAATATTTCTAAATATTCAAATAGTATTCACTTTTGTTTTTTAAAATGACAACAATTTAACATACACATAAAAAAGAAAATCCTTCAGAGAAAAATAAAGTCAATGAGCAACTATGATTGGACTGGTTTTTCCAAGAAAAATAAGAGTTTGAGATATATACAAAAAGTCAGAAACAGGAGAATTTGTAGAGAACAGAATTAATGAGATAACATCACTCATCCAGTCATTTTGTTTGCATTGATACAGATTCAAATATGGAAGTAACATATCCTAACCAGTGAGCTACGGTTCCTCAGAACCTTCCAATTATTGTTGACAGTGTGATCAAATCAATATTAACGAAGTACCATTAATAAATACGTGTAATGAATACAATGCAAATAATTAATACAAATGATTACAAACTTATAAATATGTTAGAAGAGACTTCTTTTGTGACCAATGTCTCTCATAAAGAAATTATTAAACATCTTTAAGAAAATAATTTACATTCAAGAATTTATCTTCGCATTTCTTCTTAGTCCCCATAAAATTCACTCCTAGAAATGTTAAGTGGTTTTCTGCATTGAATTGAGTCTTAGGGGAAAATGGAAAATTATCAGCAGAAAGAACAGCCTGAAAAATGGCATTGCTTCCAGAAATCACCTGGCCATTTGGAAGCATCCAAGCTGTTCTGTTTGTGTGAGCTTAGAATGGGAGTGGCTGGAAAAGACAGGATTGGAGAGCTGAATAGAGCCGGACTATGAAGTCCTTGCCTTGGCTAAGAGTCTCAACCTTGCTATAAATGGAAGACTCCAAGGGCTTCATGTCTGAAAAGCTGAATTTGTCTGTAAAGTAGGAACAAGTTCATCTTGGGATATAGGAAGCAATTCTGAGGAGTAAAAAAAAACTCATCAAGGACACATTTTAAAAAATGCTGAATAGTAATATGTGCCCAGTAGAAGACAGTGAATTGGGAGAAGCTAATTCAATAACCATGATGGTTTTTCTAGCTACAAGGGAGAAAGAGAGAAGACGTGGTTAGGCTGATCTAAGATTTAAGTGCAGTAGCTTGGATGCAGCTGAGGGTGGGGGCCAGGGCAGCCTGGGGATGCTGGCAAGCGTGACTGCAGTGACCCACATGAGAAATCTCTTTTTCTTGTGGCAAAATTACAGTGCCAAAAAATAACCAAATATCTTTTCATTTCATACACATCTGAAAGAGGAAGCACTTGAGCATTTCTGTCTTGTACTCTTCAGAAGCAAAAAGCACAGAAACCAGATGTAGGCCAACCCCATCACTAAGCTCCAAAGATAGAACCTTGCTCTTTAAATGACATTGTAATAAGCGAAGAGGTACAGCTTGATTCACTCAGGCTTTCAGCTATTTTATAGCACTATTAACGTGAATTATTCCTTTTCGGCTTCGTGAAAATGCAGAAGATATTTGGTGTCTCAATATCCCATTTCAGTTTGACAATATTTAATGAGTTATTGAGAAGGTTTCAACTGTCTATCCATCTGCATGTTTTAAAAATCTGAGAGAAAAAACAGGTTTCTGAAATTAGATTTTTTAAATCATACATACAATAATGAAAGTAATGTTATAACAAAGGTCTAGCTAGTATGTTCTTGATAATTTGATTCTGATAAAAACGCCCTCTTAAAATCTTCTTGCCAAAGTTTTGGGTGATCACATCAAGATACTTTACATTCTTTAGTAATAAGAAGCATGTATGTCTTTTGCTAGATAAACACACGATTTCTTATGCTAATAGTGACACTTCTTGCTGTAGACCCAAGTTATTTATTATGTTAGCAATGTGGGATCTGAGAGTTATTTATTTCAATTATTACTAGTGTCAATTTAAAATTTAAAAAATACATATGATAAGAGATGTCAATAATCATACAAAAAAAGAATAAATATAAACATAACTTTTTAGTCACTAAAATTATTGAATTTAAAATGCATCTTATGATGAGTTTTAACCACGGTTTATAGAAGTACCTGAAGGAAGTATATAGCAATAGGTTGTAAAGTCCACAGATCAGCTTTAAACCTGAAAACCCACAACTTTGGATTACTGACAAAGAAAAACAATTACTTGAAATCAAGAAAAATACAAATAGAAAATCTTAAATTTATTATATTCTTTGGATAAACTAAAGGATTCAGAAAAGTGAGATTTAGGCATCATTCTTATATCAAATTTTTAACAATGATAAACAGGACTTAGAATTTTTTAGTTTTTTTTAATGTTTCTGGAATGTGCCACCATTGAGTTAATACAGTGAAAATATAATTGAGAATCATAACAATATGATTCTGCCTGTTTTAAACACATTCCTGTTCTGTCGGGCACATCCCAAACCTACTGGAAAGCTGCTTCCCTGCAAGATAAATTTCCTACCTCTTCCTACAGCATGCACAACGGAAGGGCCAAATCCTCGGATCTGGAAGCCAAGTCCATCAGCTGAATCTGGAATTTTCACTGTCCTAAATCGATCAGAAAATAAGGTAAAATGAAGTGCAAGAATCAAAACTGGCTAAAATAATCATCATGTACACCTTCACACTTCTCAATAAATACCTGTTGAGGATCTACAGTGTGAAAGACGTTGGGCTAGAAATCCATGGAGACTAACGTGGTCCCCAACCTCACGCAATACGGAGTTTCTAAACTGAACACAGTCGTTACATAGTAAAGCCTGAAAAAGGAACATTGGGGTGTAGTGGCTTGATCACTGCTCACTGCAGCCTCAATCTCTCTGTCCCAGTGATCCTCCCATCTCAGCCTCCCAAGTGACTGGGACTACAGGCACAAGGTGACACCATGCTTGGTTATTTTGCCTTATTTTTTTCATAAACACAGGGTCTCCTACATTGCCCAAGCTCATCTTAAATGACTGGACTCAAGTGATCCTCCTGTCTCAGCCTCACAAAGTGCTGGGATGGCAGGTGTGAGCCACCACAACTGCTTAAACCTAGCCTTGAATGTTCATGTAGTCAGTTTGCAGCCACATAACTTGGATAAGCTCCTTAACTACTCTGACACAGAAAATTTCACAGAAAGATAACATTGTTAAAAGTCATTTTGCAGGGTATCTGTGGCAATGAAAAAGAAATAACCTTGGTAAGTTGCCCTGTACTGTGCTATGAGCTATACAGGTGCTTAATAAAACAGAAACTTTTCTCTTTAGTTTACTGTTACAAAGAAAAAAAGAGGGACCTATGAAATTCTTTATAAAAATTAATATAACAGAAATAGAGAGTTAATACATTTCTACCTATTGGGAGCTTTATCAAAGAACAGTGAGGAGCTAGTTATAAAGAACAGATCTGTCAAACACGGTATCAAAATATTTTAAGAAAATGATTCACTTTAGTATTTACACAATGAATGTTTAAAAGAATAATACATCAGAAGACAAATGTGAATAAGAGAAGAAATCATTCCAATGAATCTACATCAAAAAAAAAAAAAAAAAGATTACGAAGAGATGGAAAACTTGAGTAAGCTGTCATGGCAAACCAGTCAGCGGTGTCCAATTCGGCACTCTTAAATAAGATACTCCACAGAAGAAAGCCAGAAATCAGATAACAACAATGAAAAGCACAGAGCTCCAGATACGAGGGAACATCATAATAATACAAGTATGATATTGCAGCCGGGAACAAAAAGAAATGAATACAACGCAATAAATTGTGATAGATAGCCGTTGATGCCCAAGAAACAAACGTGTTTCCCAAAAGATGAGTTAATCGTAAAATAAATGTCAGCAGCACTTCAAGGGCATATTAAATACAGTCTGAAGGTAGATACACCAGGACTTAACTGCAGCTTATGAAATCACTGTGGGAGAGAGTCTGAGCAAAACTAAGGGTTCAAACACTTCAGAAAGCCATAGGCCACATTTAGGCCTAAGGTAGAGAGGCTGGCACTGCAATCTCAAATATAACCTAGGCAGGCATTCGGGGATAGAAATGAAGATTTTCTGCTCTCGGAAAACTTGAGAGTATTATTATAAATTAGGTTATACACTATGAAGTTATCTGTATGTATGTGGGATCGAGGTCACAGAATTAATGTATCCTTTCTCCTTCATAGTTTTTGGTGTACAGGGCTGTATTCATTTCCTTTGAATAACACATAGTTATCAGTGTTTGTCAAAGTTACACTTGAAAATGAAAGATAACTGACCAAAGAAAGAAAAAGGGAATGAATACATATTCTGGTGAGTCTGAAACAAAAACAGAAGCAGTTCATGCTTCCATATATTACGAATGAGAGTTCACTTCTGCTGAAACAACATAGAACTTTCAGGCCATGGTGAATTATTGTTGCTTTTGGATTTTGAGTAATTCACAGTGGCCTCTCAATCTTTCTGAGCAAGGTTTTTCTATCCTTCTAACATTGCTATGGAAGGCTGACTCTAATATTTAAGAGAATTATTATTTTTTCCTTAATCAAAATTGTACAAAATACCATGACATGCATTTTGGTCCAAATTTTGGAACCCCTCTAATAAAATGATCTTTAGAGAACATGTTTTCCTGGTGAGAACATTATATTCCCTATTAAAAATGAATTATGTTTATACAAGAGGGATGCTCTATTTCCTACAGAAAATAAGTGTACTAAATTATCTGCTACAAAGTCTTTTGAAAAATCCCTTGATGTTATCAAGTATGAAGTATAGCCAGAATCAAAAGAAAATTCTTTTGCATTTACCTCTCATATTTTTCCCTTTTCCTCAAAAATGGGATACTACTTAAATTCCAAGAAGCTATTGTAAGAAAATATGACAGTGATTTATAGAACTCATACATCAGAATAAGGACAAAAGGAAAAGTTATTTATTTCAAACAAATTTTTAAAAATTAGTATGCTATCTTCAAAAAAAATGAGTATGCTATACAATGCTCTTATATATGCTCTTGATATAATAAAGTAGCAATGAAACATAAGATGAGAAGACAACAGCATCATATATTACATCACTGGGCACTTACTATGTACTGGATACTTCACTAAGTTCTTTACAAACCTAGTTTTATTCAACATTCTTTGCAGTTTCATGGCACAGGTACTCTTATCCCTATTTTATGGATGAGGACGTGAAGTTATACACTTAGCTAGCAAGTAGTAGAAGAGAGGCTTGAATCTGGAATCTAGAGTTCTAGACACAGCGCAACAAACACTAAGAAGAGTCAGAAGACACAGATTCCTATTCTGCTCATCTAGCAACTAGGTCTACGACTGAGGATTTGCTCCTATATATTCAATTTTGAAGTTGATGGCCTCGAAGTCTCTAACTGTTGGAATGTCTCTGAGCAGTGGACCAGTATTTGTAGGTTTAAATTGGGGGTCGGGGGGCCCTAGGGAGACCTAATGATTGCTTTGAATGCTACTCCCTTATTCCTTTCCAGTCTGTCTTCTTCCTTTTAAATGCCCTCAAAGTGTCAGGAGGTGGGCAACCAGGACAGTCTTCTCCTAGGCAGAGTTGAATAAAGGGAGAGGAACAGACCATAATAAGGTTCAGAGGGAAGACATTGCTGTGCTTCTTTGCTGCCCTCTAGCCCAGTCTTCCTACATTAGTAAAAAGTGAGTGTCATGCTCGCTCTTTCAGACCTCTTGGTAAACTATTGGTAGAAGCTAAAGCATCTACTTTAATGAATTCACACTGCCTTGAAGAGACTCACTAGGGAGAACCCAGCCCACTGCACTGCACTTTGCCTCTTAAGATAAACATCGCAGAAATACATCCAGCTATTCCTGAATATATATAACATAGTATTTAAACATATTACATATAAATATGTATTTTTACATATTAAAATATATTTAAGGCAGGTAAGAATACTTATATTTTAATAGGTAGTTAAAATTTTAAAAATCTTGTTTTTGAAGTGCTAAACTTCATTTGCTTTAAAACTAATGAGGTTGCTTATCATGATTGACAAATGATACAAGTAAAATTTAAACAATAATCTTTATATATCATGCTAAGTACTTTGTACATATTATCTCAATTAATTAATTGGTTAAACAATTCAAGGTAAATCTGATAAGGAAATACTGAACCATTGATGGAAATGATTTGCACAAGAAAAGCCCATGGCTTGGCCGGGCGCGGTGGCTCAAGCCTGTAATCCCAGCACTTTGGGAGGCCGAGACCGGCGGATCACGAGGTCAGGAGATCGAGACCATCCTGGCTAACCCAGTGAAACCCCGTCTCTACTAAAAAAATACAAAAAACTAGCCGGGCGAGGTGGCGGGCGCCTGTAGTCCCAGCTACTCGGGAGGCTGAGGCAGGAGAATGGCGTAAACCCGGGAGGCGGAGCTTGTAGTGAGCCGAGTTCGTGCCACTGCACTCCAGCCTGGGCGACAGAGCAGACTCCGTCTCAAAAAAAAAAAAAAAAAAAAAAAAAGAAAAGCCCATGGCTTGCAAGTATATGCACGGTATGTTACTAAAAAGTAGCATACAGAGCATGCTGTCATTTTGTGGGTACCTGATTGTGTATACGTGTACCAATACTTTAAAAACGTCAGTTAATACTTAATTTCAAAAGAATAACAATGGCTATTTATGGGTGATATTGTAAGAAAAAAATATGTCTCCCTTTAGAAGCATTTATATTCTCTACATTTTCTATAATAAACACAACTTTTTTTCTAACCATAGGTAGATAGATAATACAATTTTTTAAAGAAATGGACAAATTACTAAGCGCATGCAAGCATGGATTATCTTACAGTCTTTTTGCATCTCTTATGAGTGTTGAATTACAAATGGTATCTCACCACTTGACAGCACCAGAAATTCTTATAGCCGAACATGGAGAAACACAGTTCTTTATTCTCAAATGTTCTACTAGTTTAGTTTTCTTCACTCGTAGTAAAATCCAGTTCAACCCAGACCAGGAAAATTTGGGCAGCAAAAGAAAAGCATTATTTCTACTAAAACTACAGGATTCAAGTAACACTTATTTTAGCATCATAAGCAATGTAGCTTTTCCCATCATCTGTAAACCAGTATTAGTGATACTGGTGAGGTTCAAATGTTTCAAGCAATGAGATGCTTATTTCTAAGCATTTACTTAGTTATCTTTTCTGTTTTACTTATCTATGTATAACTTTTAAAAAAAATCACACATAAATCATACAACTTACTCTCTCGGCTTCGTGCTCACAAGAACTCTTAGAGGCTTTCTGCTGTTTAAACACGATTTCAGGAAGCAGTCGACTTCACTGAAAGGTCTCATAAAAACTAGGTCTCCATTAATAGCAAAAATCTTTTTCCCGACTTCCATGCCAGCCATCTAAGAGAGAAATTACAAAAAAATAAGTCAAAGTATATTTTAATAAGAAATTTGAGTTTTTCACAAAATCAGAATATGAAAACTTTCAGAGCTTATAGATTTTGACATTTTAACACACCTGCAGTGTTTTTATACAAATTTACAAAGCAGAACTGTGGATGAGATAACATGGTTATCATTCTCCTTGGCCTAATTTTAAATTTGAACACAGAACTTTACCAAAATTATCCCCATTTCCCTCCCTGATTTAACATCATACTCCTCTCTTCTGTTATATTTCACTGTTCTTTAGCTTATTTCATCCTTTTAACTATAATCAAATTCCAGGTTAGTTTTTTTTACTGTGTTTTCCACCTATAGCCAATTAACTCAGGAAGTGTCAACTTCTGTATCTACATCAATGACACCCAAATATGCATCTCTAGTCTGACACAGTTCAAGTGGCAAGGGAGAAAGGGAGCCTGGAATCCAAAGAAGAGAGCTCCAACCAGCAGAGCTGTCAACAGTGCAAGCTGCTGAAAAGAGGACAAAGAAGACATTATCCCTCCACACCAACCAGCATGCACTTCTCAACCAGCCTTACTGCCTAAAAACTACCTGCTGTTTTGGTTGTCAGCTAAATGATGAAAACCTGAGAGAGGGCATTTTATTAGCAGCATAGTCAGATGCAGCTGTGCTCTAAGAACATCCTCTGAAAACGCCTGGGAGAAACTATTTCCTTCTCATAGACAATTACTACAAATGGTCATTAGTTGGCCAGGTCCACTAACAGTGCATACGTTGATCAGAGTTATTTTGATTGAAATTAGTGTGCTGTACAGAAAGCTTTGTCTTGCATGAACTTGTGTTTTGATAAAACAGAGACCTTTGGCGTCAGCAGATAGGAGGATGCGTGGCAGTTTACCACTGACTTTAAACAGGTTCAAATGTAAATACCATACTTCGTTAATGTTCATATTCATTAAAGATCTAAATATTGAGAAGTTTGCTTGAGGATTAAGTATCTTCTACCCAGGGGCACCAACGTGAGGACACTTTAAACTAGATATACTTGGGCTATGGCACTGAAAAGTAGGGTCTATGAGGGTGGGGATTTTGTGTCTTGTTTGTTGCTGTATTCCCAGAGCCTGGAACACTGCTGAGTATGTAACAGGCACTCAATGAGTACTTCTGAATGAATGAATGAATGAATGAATGAATGAATGAATGAATGAATGAATGATCAGGAGGTTTTTTGTTTAAAAGGCTGGCAAAATTGCCAGATGCAGTGGCTCATGCCTGCAATCCCAGAACTTTGGAAGGCTGAGGTGGGCAGATCACCTGAGGTCAGGAGTTCGAGACCAGCCTGGCCAACATGGTAAAACCCATCTCTATTAAAAAGAAAAAAAAAAAAAAATCAGCTGGGCCTGGTGGCATGGGCCTGTAATCCCAGCTACTCTGGAGGCTGAGGCAGGAGAATCACTTTAACTCAGAAGGCAGAGGTTGCAGTGAGCCAAGATCACACCACTGCACTCTAGCCCGGGTGACAGAGGGAGAGTTTGTCTCAAAAAAAAAAAAAAAAAAAAAGGCTGATGAAGTGAGAGAACATCAGGAGCATTAATCCAATGAGAAAACAGTCAAAGCATGTCCTTCAGTGATGGAAGTTATACTCACACAAAAGACTGTCAATAGTGATGGGAAAACAGAAGACACGACTCTTGACAGAAAGGAAGAACCATCTGCCGTGCATAATACAGTGCTACCCTATGCTGTCTCCGTGGGGCTCCAGGTCGGAGTCTGTGATTAGTGAAGCTCCAGGAACAAAGAATGAGCCACATGGCCTCCCAGAAGGTCAAGAAATTCACAGTCGAAGAGCTCTAGAACAGGGGTCCCCAGTCCTCAGGCTGCGGACCAGTATGGGTCCAAGGTCTGACAGGAACCAGACGCACAGCAGGAGGTGAGGGCGGGTGAGTGAGCATAAAGCCTGAGCTCCACCTCCTGTCAGATCAGTGGTGGCATTAGATTCTCATAGGAGCGCGAACCCTATTGTGAACTGAGCATGCGGGGGATCTATGTTGACCACTCCTTATGACACTCTAATGCCTGATGATCTGAGGAGCTACAGTTTCATCCCCAAACCATCCCCCACCCTCCGCCCGTGGAAAAATTGTCTTCCACAAAACCAGCCCCTGGAACCAAGAAGGTTGGGGACGGCTGCTATAGAATACACACCATCTCCCAGCCCCTATTATCCCTGAGTGGCCAGACAGGACTCAGCTGCTGCTAATCCCAAAGGTATTCAGTAGAACCTGTGAGTAAGATTATCCAGAGACATTATGTTCAATATGGACAATTTCAAGGCTGATTATCTTTAAAGGCAGATTTCAGTTTGTTTAGAATTTCTCTATTTTTATGTCATGACAATACATTTAAATTAAATTCTAATTTACATTACCTCAGCATTAGATCCCCTTTCTACCAACTTTATTATTGGAACTTTGTTTTTGTCTTCTAGCCCAAAACCATAGCTGCCTTCGTTGGATTTAATCTGAAATGCAAAATATTAACATTATTGATAAAGCAACTATGAAAAAAATTACAAGTCTAACAGAACGAAGTAAGGTGCCTCACCATCAAACATGTTAAACGCAGTCTTCTGCTAATGTCTATAATCAAGAAGAAAACTTATATAACATATCAATAAACTTACCAGTAATGACTTAGCTATAACATTTTCCACAACTTTTAAGTCATGTTTCATAAGTCGATGTTTCATATTTGATCCTTCCATTTCCTCATCCGAAAAAAAACGGAAAAGTAGGGGTTCATCTTTGAATTCGCTTTTTTCAAGGACTACAGAAAAAGAGATTCAAATTATTTCAGCTAATTCAAAAATCAAATTCATTTTCAATAGCAGTGACATTTATAAATTAATACCTGCACCCATAACCTCAATTTTATACTCCTAGGACTAGTTACATTCACAAGTAGCCCTGGCTTTTGTTTTGTTTGTTTTTTTCTATTTCTTTCTATAATTTTGAGCCAATGTCTCCTTTCAATTACTTTTACCTACAGGATTTTGAATTTTTTAAAACAAATAGTATTTCTTCTAAGGCTGACTTTTTAAAATTTAACCAAGTCCTTCGCTTTCCAGATTAAAATCCAAATTTAAATAAAAGACTATAATGAATCAAAAAATGCATGCATCCAAAACATAGAAATTTATGGTGTTTTCAATTTGTAGTAAACATTTTAAGCATGTTTTCAATATCCCACACAATTATGGGAAAATTCAAGTGGGTTAAGTGTTGCCTTCTGTGTGTGAACAACTCCCATTGTGTTCACTTTTGTTCCAACACTTCAAACCAGAAATATGTCTTCTGGGTGAAATGTGATTTTAGCTTCCACGAATTCATGTTTCTTTTCTGTTTAAAAGCAATATTCTCAAATAACATTATTTCTAAAAGGTCTGGTTTTTCCCCCTTATCTGAACATTAGTATTTTCCCCAAAATCCCCTAAGATTCTTGGAATGCACTGATGAAATAAAGTTTATGTTTTGTTAGTATTTTTTAAAATAAGGCTAAATACTGATACGAAGAATTTGTATTCAGTGAAATCCTGACAGCTGTCAAAATACTTTACCAAAAAAAGTTCTCTATTTCTTATTTATCTGTCCTTAATACCTTGAAGGTTGATTCATTGAGCCAGAGACTAAAAGAAAGTGATCCCAGGGCACAGTAGAAAAAGTTAGGTTTTGTGATCAGACAGGCCTGAGTTTAAATTCCAGGTCTGGAAGTGAGATAAGAAAGTTACTTAATCCCTCTGAGTTTCAGTTTCCTCATCTATAAAGTGGGAGCAATAAAATCTTCTACATATTGTTGCATAAAACCAAAATGAGGTAATAAATATAAATAACTTGGCATATAGTAAGCAGTCAAAAGGGACAGCTATTTGGTTTCATTATTTTTACAGAGTTCCAACAAATAATTGTTGACTGGATGAATGGCTTTACTGATCTTTGGTTGAAAGACTGGATGGCAACATGAGTTAACAAATAAAATTATCAACCACAAATTTAAAAAACAACAGAAGCCATAACTAGCAATAGAAGTGAGAATCTATTATTATTTCATGTTTTTGTAGAGACGGGATCTTGCTATGTTGTCCAGGCTGGTCTTGAACTCCTGGGCTCAAGCAATCCTCCCACCTTGGCCTCCCAAAGTGCTGGGATTACAGGCATAAGCCACTGCACCTAGCTCAGAACCTATTTTAGATTGACTTAATGATCTAAGCATTTTCCCAAAGCTCACTCAACGTTTCTGCTACAGCTGTTTCCCTCCACCAAACTGTCTTTTAAAAGGAGCATGATAGGGCATCAATAAAGCCAGGCATGAGCCACACTGTTCATGCTTTACCCACAGACTTTTGTATGAAAAACTTTTGATGTAACTCAATATTTTGTAATAAACTCTCAGATAAAATTACTGTGTGTTGGTGCTTTACTTTAAAGAAAAAAAAATTGAAACTTTTGCAGGTTTTCAGCTTGATATTATAGGTTTAATCCCCTAACATGATGTAATTTCTTCCATTCATAGTTTGTTCTTCAAGGATCAGTATTTCTCCAGGACAACTCACAGAGTGATCTGGAGATAGGGAAACAGGATGGAATTTCCCCCAAAACAATGATAACCATGGATCTTCTCAAAATCACTGTAACCTTTGCTGTACTTCCTTATTCATAAAAATGTAAAGATATTCTGAAAGTAACTGACAAATAGGTGTAAGTGCTAGCAAATATATGTTTATAAGCATATTATATTAATAATTTAACAGAGGCCAGGCATAGTGGCTCACACCTATAATCCCAGCACTTTGGGAGGCTGAGGCAGGCAGATCACTTGAGGTCAGGAGATCAAGACCAGCCTGGCTTGGTGAAACTCTGTCTCTACCAAAAAATACAAAAATTAGTTAGATGTGGTGGCATGCACCTGTAGTCCCAGCTACTCTGGAGGCTGAGGTGGGAGAATCACTTCAACCCACGAGGCAGAGGTTGTAGTGAGCTGAGATCACATCACTGCACTCTAGCCTGGGTGACAGAGTGAGACCCTGTCTCAAAAAAAAAAAAAAAAAAAAAAAGAAAAGAAAAGAAAAGAGATGACTGCTTGGGTTGGGTTTATGGATCCTATACGATGTTACAAATAGGAAAAGCTTACTCTCATTACCCTGATAAATCTAAGAACTTTATTTTTAAATTCTTGTTTGATGACTTACTTGAAGTCACCCCAGGGCACAATAGAAAGAGGTTTTGTGATGACTTACTTGAAATCATCAAACAAGAAAGAAAATTAACATTTAATTATCAAAAGTAATTTTTTCCTAGAGATCTATAATTTTGTTCCCTGAAGTAATTTTAAAAATACTTTTCTTAAAAATAACAGTAAATAGTCAACCACATATGTTGTCATTTAGTCATTCTAATATATACTGGCATTCAAAATAAAACCACAAGTCTAATCTGAAATAGTCTCAAAGAGGTTTGCAAGCTTAAAAACAAAACAAAACAGAAAAACTTCTAACTCAAGTCATTGCTCTTCTAGAATCAGCATAGGCTAGAAAAATAGGGTAGACATCATGGCAATGGGTAGATAACAGCAATTAGACATAGGAACGGCACCAGCAGTGAAACCGAATGCAGTTATGATGACCCAACCTGAACCCATAGCAAGACCCAGATAGTCTTGCTGGCTCATCTCCAAATGACCTAACTGCAGCACTGGGTGTTCCAGTATCCTAAGAACCAAAGTGATGAAATACATCTGTAAGCTCCCAGGGTAAAAAATCCCTACCATGGTGCATAAATCCATTGTCACAGAGTCCAACGCCAAATATCATTGCCTCTTCTCTGGTGCGGCAATCTCCCTGTTAACCGAAAAAGCACTGTGGGAGTTAATAGGCAACTAAAGGCTTTGTGGCCGCTTTGCTCCATTTAACATTCCCAGCACCAAATTCAGACAAAGCTTCGCTTATAAAGCAAGCATTGCTTTATAAGACCAAATGCATCTAATTGTTACAGAACATCCGATTAATTATGAAAACATTTTCTTTTGGCATTAAGTAAAACAAAGATTTAATATTTCTTGAGAAAAAAATATACTTTATTATACACAAAACTACATGAGTAACAAAAATTCACTGCTACTGTAAATGATGGCTGTTATTTCTTAGATTCGATTTCTTAGATTTTGTATTCCAATTACGCAACAGGGAAATATCCTGTAAATTGACAACACACTAATTAAACAATCATTATGTATGATCTCAGTCACTAACTATTCCCTTCCACCAAATGGCCTTGCCCTCTGAGGACCCCTGAAGAAATCTATATTAATACGATGACCTGTAAGACCTCACGAGTAAATCGTTTGGCTGAGCTAGCAAATACAAGCTTCTCTTTCATTATTTTGCCCAAAAAAAATCAGATCATTTAACTGAATCCAACATAATAGCCCAAAGCAACCTTTTTCTTTTGGTTTTTATTTAGAAAACATCTATTTTATTTCTTTAAGTATGGATCTGCGTATATGAACATGCGTGTGTGTGTGTGTGTGTGCGCGCGCGCGCGCGCGCGTGACCTTAGAGTTGTATTGCCATAGTTTAAGAAGCTTTTTTCTCACATATTATCTCATTTTCCCCCAGTCCTATCTTTTAGCACTTAGGTATATTACCAAATCTATTCTCTCCTCTCTGCCTTCTATTCCATTTCTATTGTCAATACCCTCATATGGTGTTTCTTACTCTCTCTTCAAAATTACCATAAATTTTTCTGGACTCTTTTTAACATATGCTGTTAAACAATTAAACTTTTTTTTTTTTAAAAGACGGAGTCTCACTTTGTCGCTCAGGCTGGAATGCAGTGGCTTGATTTCGGCTCACTGCAACCTCCACCTCCCTGGTTCAAGCGATTCTCCCACCTCAGCCTCCTGAGTAGCTGAGATTACAGGTGCACGCCACCACACCCGGCTAAGTTTTGTATTTTTAGTAGAGATGGGCTTTCATCATGTTGGCCAGGCTGGTCTCAAACTCCTAACCTCAGGTGATCCAACCGCCTCAGCCTCCCAAAGTGCTGGGATTATAGGCATGAGCCACTGCGCCTGGCCAGAATTAAACTTTCTTACACAGAAAACTCGGTTCCAAAACTTCAAACAGACTGTTCTTTTGGAATAATAATGTACAAAAATTCTCTGTTGGGCTTTTAAAACTTTCCATATCTTGGTTTTATGCTTCTTCTCCAGCTTCACTCTCCAAAGCTCAATTCCATACCTCATGCTGTAGGCAACTTGGCCTCCCTGCTGTTGCCTGAAGTCTGTGCTCATTCTTCTCCTGCTTTCACTCATGTAATTGTTCATAGCTGCAATGCCCTTCTCTTTACCCTCCACTCACTCACATTCTACCTGTCTATCAAGGAGCAAAATAAGGGTCCTACCTCATATTGTGACAAATCCAACCCTCACTAATCCTCCTAAGAACTACCAAAACACTTATAATCTGTAACTTCAGACTCTGCATCTGGCCTTCTTCAAAAATCGAGCTTTTTTTTAAATTTTTATGCATTCATTCGAAAGATACTTATTTTTTCTACATATTGTGCCAAGTGATAGAAAAAAAATATTAAACCACTCAAGCACAAAATAATTCCCTGCTCTGAAGTAATTCAAATCTAGGGTAGGATTTGGTCATTAAAAGGTAAGTAACTTACTAATAACCAATTTAATCCATATTCCCAATGAGGCTGATATACCTGGGGATCTGGGACCACAGAAGGTGACCCTGAGCCTAGGGTAGATAGAGGATCTGGCAAGGCTTCTCGGGGGAGATGACGCTGCAGCAGAGCCTTAGAGGGTACGTGAAATTTAGCCCAACTGACCAACATCACTTGAAGGCAGGAATCATGACTGCTTCCTGCTTTGTTTGTGTATTCCATCATCAAAGCAGTTGCTTGAACATTAAAATTACAAGAAAAGCTTGTTTAATAATCACTGACATTTGATTGCTTTATTTGATTAATTATTCAAATGAAATACTGACCAGACTAATATTATTCAACATAATGGTGTAAAAAACATAACCTAACATGTTCTGGATTTCCTATGCTTTTTAAAAATCCTACTTGTGCCATACCATATGGACCTGGTGAGCGTTTAGAAAAAGCACAGTAAGACGGCATGGATGTGAAGAAGCAAGGCATTATTTAATTATGAACTATGAGTGACCCAAACCCAAATCACAATGTACAGGAATTGAATGATGCTTTAAAGGTACATTACTGTACATGCCAAGTAAGAATTTAACTTTGTTAAATAGGGTATTTTATTATAAACCATTATACTATAATAAAAGCAGCACAACAGTGAATGAAAAATGTATTCAGAAGAATACAACACTCATTTTGTTTTCCAAGATGACATCGCACAATATATTGCAGAATAAGAGAAAAACTATAGGATCTAGAATATACTCCAATCACAGTAGAGCCAGTTTTTTCACTCTGTGTTCTAAAACCATCCAAATCAATTCAGTGTCTTGGTCCATACTGGAAATCCAGTATTATCATTTCAGAGTCTTGGTAGAAAGAGACCCTTACTTGGAAAACAAAAAAGTAAAAAACAAACCAAAAAAACCCTCTTCTTCGTGTTAGATTAGGAATTTTAACTTGTTGTTCTCTTATCCTTCCATTACTATTTCTGCCTTTTCCAAGGCAACCTATGTGGTCCTAATCTGAAGTTAAGCAATCAGAGTTGATTATGTTGATACTTACATTAGGATGTTTTACAATGTCAGAATCATAAAGTTTTGGTGATAGAAAAGAGACGGCATGTACTGCTATTGCAGTAAGCAGTAAACAGTTGTAAAAACTAAAATCCATAGAGATTGAGTGACTTGTCTAAGTTTTTATAACTAGTTACTAGCAGAGCTGGCATCAGACACTAGGTTATGTGAGTCCCAACCAATGCAATTTCTATTATGTACAATTTCTGCAGACATTATCATAATAAACCATGAAGAAAAACTGATGAGAAAAAAATTGCGGCTGGGCGTGGTGGCTCACACCTGTAATCCGAGCCCTCTGGGAGGCTGAGGCAGGTGGATCACTTGAGGTCAGGAGTTCTAGCTGCCTGGCCAACACAGTGAAACCCTGTCTCTACTGAAAATACACAAATTAGCCAGGTGCAGGGGTGCGCACCTGTAATCCCAGCTACTCGAGAAGCTGTGGTAGGAGAATTGCTTGAACCCCAGAGGCAAAAGTTGCAGTGAGCTGAGATTGCGCCACTGCACTCCAGCCCAGGCAACAAAGTGACACTCGTCTGGAAGAAAAAAAAAAAAAAGGTTGGGCGCAATATTTATATTAATTAGAAAAATTAGTATATTCTTCTAATGTTAACCCTTGGAAACAAAAAGTGACCAAAAAAAGTTGATACCTGATTTCCTGAGTTAGAACTTTACAGGTTTACTCAGCATCAGTTTTTGCTTCAAATACACTTTCTTTAAGTTTCTCACATAATCAACACATCATACAAGTTCACATGAATTCTAGAACTGTATAATTTCTATTTGAAAGTCCAACTCCAATAATGAATATAGAAACCAATTCGAATGACACACGTTGACCACAGCGTTATGAAAGGCTCTGATGCTAGAAAAGCCACTGAAAATATCCATTGATGTTTTATCTAAAGGTAATTGCCAATATTTAAACTTTTGAATATTTGAATAATTTATAGTTGAATGTCTGTTATGATGGACTAGATGCCCTAATTTGTTTTACTTAAAAGCAAATGACATTTTCTCAATTCTAGCAGTCAGCATCTAAATCCTGAGATGCAGGGCAACAATCACAACAATAAATTCCTTTCTTTTTTAAAATGGACACAGGCAGATATTAAAAGCTCATTATCAAAACACAATTATTTTCTAAAAGGGAAAAAGGCACAGGGAGATTAGAATAACTTGCTAGCATTAATAAACAGATACTTTAAAACAAAATGTAAAAACATTAAAAAAAATGTAGTAAATGAGCATAGCTATTCTTCAGATTCTCAAATTAGTGTTTTTTGATGGATCTCATCTGATATTTTAAAAATAAGAACATCTTCCTTTTGAGAAACAGGATAACATAAAAGTGAAGTTTGAGGACTCTAAAATCAGATTATCTAGGTTCAAATCCTAATTCTGCTTACTATTAGCTGTATGTACTTATTTTTTTTAATACCTGCTACAGATGAAAAAGAGTAAAAGTACTAATTCCCATACTCAAAGTTTAAAGCAGCAACAAGTGAAACTCAGCAACTTCTATTTGTCTATTTACCTGTGCAATTAACCAGTCTATCAGTTTGTTGGCCATGACCACAGATTTGTAGGTCCTTAAATGGTAATCTTTATCTCTACAAAGGAAAAAATAAAAACAAACAAAAAAACAAAAATTAAGCAAGGGGATATGTGAGCAGAAGAAAATATTTTCATTTAGTATCAGTATGCAACAGAAAAGTTTACCATGGTAACCTGAGTTAATTGCCCAAATTACATGCAAATAAGAGAAGTTTATTATGCATGTAGAACACCTAAAAAATCCTCCACCAGCTTATACTAAGAGAAGATACCCACAATGTTACCAAAACAGGACATCTCTTCTTTCACATTTTCTTATATCCAAATAGATTATTACTGCTATATTAGCTGGAAATAATTTAGTTGGAAATATAGTAAGTCCACACTTAACACTGTGGATAGGTTCTTGGAAACTGCACCTTTAAGTGAAATGAAATACTGGATGCCGCAGAAACCTAACTCTTATTTATATCAATTAGCCTGTGGCAAAACTGGTTTCATTATACATCATTTCACTTAAAGTTGCAGGTTCCAGGAACCTATTGATGACATTAAGTGAGAACTTACTCTACAAAATCGTATTAATAAAGTAATAATAAAACAGAATTTCTTCTCCTTAAATCACAGTAGATTATACTAAAAATCTCAAAATCTGTAAAGAAATGCCTTTTATTCCTGCTCCTGAAAGCTCCAGGAAGGCTGGATTTGCACTACAGTATTATTCACACAGCTCTGCTGTAGTGGAAAACAAGCAGTTCTGTCCTGAAGTAGACACACTGAAAACTTGTTATTCTTTTTGCCTGATCAGTTCACGGACATAGTGATACCACATCCCTGGAGAACCAAAAGGATCACTGGCTCTCCACCTCAGACTCTCCGTTCAGTAGATTTCCCAGAACTGAGAAATCATTCAAAGTTCCATCAGATACCAACCAAATTTCATGATCAGAACTGAATGCCCAAGGGCAAAAATTTATAATTCATTTATTTTCCAGACCTGGATCATAAAAGAATGAAAAAGTGACAGTCTTTATAAAATGTTAAAAATTCCAAACTGCGAAAGACTTGAAGTGACTAATAATTACTAGTTATATTCATTGTTCTTTAAATCTGTCTCCATGTTTCTCACACCTCATCACCCGTTTCATCGCGGTTTCCGTAAGTATCGTAAGAAGAAAAAGTGTAGTCTATTACAGACCACATGCGAGTCTGCAGCTCTTCATGCTAAGTAACTTTTCTTTTTACAAACTGAATTCACGCATATTAAAAGCATGACTATCATACATTCCTTCTGTTTTATGGGTTTTTCCTATAAATTTTCTCTTTGCAACTCAAAAACAATTGTCATTTTTAGCCAAAGAAAAATTCCTTATCAGCTCTTACAGATGCAGCTTTCTTGATAAGAAATCTCATATGGCTAAAACATATTTTCAGAGCACATTTTTGCCCATATAAAACCTACATATACACAGGTTACATGGTGCATTAAACATTCTTGTTTTCTCTTAGGTTAGCAGAAAAGAATTTTTAAGCACCCAACTGCTATTAAGTACTTAATATTAAGTTATCCAAAATATTTATGGGTATCTATGACAAAATTATGGCAGAGTCGATAAATATTTATTCTTTTTCACCTTTTTTCCAGTCTGTGAAGCCTAGTTGTGAAAGTAGATAGGACACTTTCAGTATTTGTGGGTAAGATCCTGTTCTCTCCTCCAGGACCTGCAACCAGTGTGTTCTCTATGCAGTATAAGTGGGCATTCCAATACACTTAGCAACATCTGGAATCTTTATTTTTTTAAACTCTGCATTTTCTTGGAATTACAAACCAAAGTGAAAAATAGGAACACTAAACATTTGGATTTTATAGCCAAGATTGAAAAGCATTTTTATCTATTCTGAAAATGGTACACGCATATTTTGTTGTGGACTATGATTTAGTCAGTAAATTCCAAATAATATTTGACCATTTCAAATTACTTTAACATTCTATCAGTTAAGGTATATCAGTGTACATTGCAAAAGTACAATTTCCTGAAGATCTCCTCTGTTAGTCATCATAATACAAACCTCAAAGTTTTCTATTGTCTTTCTAAAGAGATAAACTAAAACTTAATCCTGATTCCTCTTTTAAAACAAGTGTGTCCTCTTCAGAAGGAAAAACATGATAAAGAATAAAATTATAAAATTATACTTATTAACTTCAAAATAATTCTTAATTTCCAAGTACAAGATCTTTTCTTGGAAAAAAAGATTATGAGGAGGAAATATTATAAAATAAAATACATATTCAATATTTGATTATAAAATTTAATTTAAAAAGTTAACATACAAATAATAATAATGACAAATATGTAAACAGTATTTCCAAATCCTCTCCCAACCAATCAACTTTTATTTATTAACTATTAACTGAAAGTGGATTATTTCAAGTATATAATTTACTATGAACTAATGGCAAAATAATTTTAGAAATCATAATAAAAAGTGGAAAACACTGAACAATTAGAATCTCAAGAAAATGTAGGGATATTTTACAAAAAATTATTCCTCAAAATAATATTTTAAAGTAAAATTTTCACTTTTGGAAAAAACAAAAACAAAAACAAGGCAACAAGTTCTAGTTGAGTAATATTTACCTAAAACGCAGTACAAATACTTCCATTTAAGTTTCCCAGAACTTAAAAACCAGACTCACCTTATCACTGGAGTAAAAAGGCTATGAAGACGACAATATAATCTTACACCCTACGTAAAATAAAGATATATCAATAACGAGTGAGATCACCCCCAGGGACACACACATCAATGAAATTTTGAAGTAACAAATTAATTCACTGTCAATATTTGAGAATCATCACAAAATCTAAACCAATTTAAAAATTATTCCAATGTCATGATACATCATAAAATGTATCATTAAATATAGGATTAAAATTGTGCTATAAATTCCTCATATATGACATACACATATACGAAGGTTTTTCTAAATTATTTTTCATAAAATATAAAATTTCTAACATAAACAAAATATACCAATACAGTAATACATCTATAATACTTGTTCATCATATATCAATAAAGTATTGTCAACTGTACAAAAAACTGGCATTACATTTATTTTACACATCTGTATTTTTTTTTAATTCAGGTAGTTTGACAACATGCTGCTACATGTGAAAGAATGTTCAATGGATATAACCCTGTGAGTGATGCAGCAGTACTATCATTTAGAATTAGGTAAGAGAATGAAAAAACAATTGAACATTAGAATTCTTGAAATACCAAAAATAAATAAAGAGACTTGCCTGTAATATAGTCAAATTTTCTAAACTAGAAAAATTTTGTATGTTTCTCAACTACCTTTTATCTTTGTGAAGAATGGCAACATGCATTCTAATATTGGAGAGGTTGAGGGAGAGGTCGTTACCTTTGAAATCACATCCTGCATCTCATTTCTTGGATAAAATGTTCCATCATCATAGCGAAATCTATATAACATCTGTTCTGGTTTGAACTGATGTTTATCGGTAACTAAGAATATAGAAACACTATATTAAAATAACGATACTCTAAAAGGGGGCAGATAAACAGCAAATAAATTTATTAAATACATATTCCCAAATACGAAAACTTCTAGTTTTACAAAAAGCTTCTCTAACACAGCAATACCAATCCAGTATTTTAACAGCAAGATTCATAACAATATTTTGTTTAAAATATTACAATTTCCATACAATGATTTGAGAAATAAATTGACATTTGCCACATTCAACTATATTACAACTAAATACATATTCAAATATATGTATTTATATATGTACATGAGTATATAGTATGTATAAAGGTATACACAGTGTGTACATTTATATAAAGATATGATTTTGTGTTTTCTGTTACTTCACAATACTACAAAGTTGAGCAAAAAGTGCTCTTCAAAGAGCAGATACTCAAACTAGTGCATTGTGATTTGATTCTCAGTCCTACAAATGAATTTTACCATGTATCTGTTTTATCACACTGTGATCAGGCCAAGACCACACATACACCAATCTTAACCATTTATCCTGTGTTTGGACCTCCAGAGTAGCTTAAATCAATTTAGTATCTAACCGATGCCAAAATTGTAACTGTTCTTACATTAAGAATTGCTTTAAAATGTCAATGTTTTTTCTTATTGGAAAACGAGAGTGTTCATTCTTCATTACCATCCTCAAGATAAGACTTTTGTATTCATAAAGACTCCTATTCCCAGGACCTGATGCTTTCACTGATGAATTCTACCAAACATTTAAAGAACAATTAATTCCAATCTTTCTCAGACTCTTCCAAAAATAAAAGATAAAGGAACACTTCCAAAACTTATATTACAAGGCCAGATATGAATACTACAAGAAAAGAAAATTATAGACCAATATCACTGATGAACATGGATGCCAAAATCCTAAACAAAATACTATCCAATCAAGTTCAATAGCACAATAAAATGATCATATACCGTGATCAAGTGGGATTTATCCCTGAGAACTAAGGGTGGTTCAACATATGCAAATGAATAATTATGATGCATCACATTAACAGAATAAAAGATAAAAATTATATGATGATCTCAATAGAAGCAGAAAAAGCATTAGTCAAAATTCAGCATCCTTTCATAATGAAAGGTCTCAACAAATTTGGCATAGACGAAATGCACCTCAACATAACAGAGATCATATACGACAAGCCCACAGCTAACATAATACTCAATGGTCAAAAGCTGAAAGCTTTTACTCTAGAATAAGAGGAAGATACCTACTTCCTCTACTTCTGTTCAATATGGTACTAGAAGTCCTAGCCAGAGCAATTAGGGGAGAAAAAGAAATAAAAGACATTCAATTGGAAAGAAGCAAAATTGTCTCTATTTGTAGGTGGTATGATCTTATATATAGAAAACCATATAAATTCCACCAAAAACTAATTCAGTAAACTTGCAGGATACAAAGTCAACATTAAAAAAATCAGTAGTATCTCCATATACTAACAATGCACTATAGAGAAAAGAAATTTAAAAAATGATCTCATTTAAAATAGAATCAAAAAATAAGATATAACACTTAGGAATAACACAAGAAGGTGAAAGATCTGTACACTGAAACCTATAAACCACTGATGAAAGAAATTAAAGAAAACACAAATAAATGGTAAGAAATCCCACGTTCATGGAAGGGAAGAATTAGTTTTGTTAAAATGTCCCTGCTACTCAAAGCCATCTACAGATTCAATGTGATTTCTATCAAGATTCCAAAGGCATTTTTCACAGAAATAGAAAAAACAATCCTAAAATCTGTGTGGAAGCACAAAAAACCCACAATAGCCAAAGCAACTTTGAACAAAAGAAACAAAGCTAAAGGCATGACATTACTGACTTCAGACTCTGCTACAAAGCCATACAAAGCCATAGTGATAAAAACAGCATGGTACTGGACAAAAGCAGACATGTAAACCCATGGAACAGAATAGAGATCAGATCCCAGCAATAATTTCAGATTTATGGTCAATTGATCTTCCACAAAGGTGCCAAGAATACACAACAGAGGAAGACAGTCTCTTTGATAAATGATGTTGGGAAAACTGGATATCTACATGCAAAATAATTAATTTATTATTTATTAATTATTAATAATATAATTAATATTAATATATTACATGTTATATTAATATTAATGATATAATAAATATAATAATATAATTAATATAATTTAATGATATTTAATTATTATAAATGGGACCCTTTATCTCACACCATATATAAAAATAAATTCAAAACGGACTAAAGACTTAAACATATGATGTAACACTATAAAACTACTAGAAGAAAAGATTAGGGAACAGCTTCTTGACATTTGTCTTGGCAATAATTTTTTGGAGAGGACCCCAAAAGCATAAGCAACAAGAGCAAAAATAGACAAATAAAATTAGACAAATGCAATTGCATCAAACTAAAAAGTGTATGCACAGCAATTGAAAGAATTAATAAAATTAAAAGACAATCTATGGAATAGGAAAAATATTTGCAAACCATATATTCAATAGGAGGCAAATATTCAAAACATATAAGAAATTAATTCAATTCAATACCAAAATTAAAATAACCCAATTAAAAATGGGTGAAGAATCTAAATAAATACTTCTCAAAAGAAGAAATAAAGATGCCCAACAGGCATATGAAAAGTTGCTCAACATCTCTAATCATCCAGGGAAATGCAAATCAAAACTATAATAAGATATAACCTCACACCTCTTAGGATGGCTATTATCAAAAAGACAGAAGTGTTGGTGAGGATGTGGAGAAAAGGAAACCCTTGTACACTGTTGGTAGAGATGTAAATTCATACAGCCATTTTGGAAAACAGTATGAAAGTTCCTCAAAAAGCTAACAAAGGAACTACCATATGATCCAGTAATTTTACTTTTGGGTTTGTAATTCAAAGGAAATAAAATCAATGTGCCAAAGAGATATCTGCATTCCCATGTTCACTGCAGCATTACTCACAATATCATGATAAGAAATCAGCCTAAGTTTCCATGAATGGATGAATGGATAGATAGAGAAAATATGATATACTGTATTGCAAACTTGAAAATTGATAAGAGAGTATATCTTAAATGTTCTCACCACAAAAAAAGCGATAACTATGTGAGGTGATTAATACACTAATTAGCTTGATTGTGGTGATCATTTCACAATTTATACATATTTCAAAACATTTTATATACCATAAATATTTGTCAATTATACCTCCATAAAGCTGGGAGGAAGGGGAGGGAATCTCCTACTAAATCTCTACGTTTTCTCTTTTTCAGGCTAAGTTGTTTTATATACTGTCTAATAACAAATGTCTGTTTTAGAAAGTAAAAACCTCAAAGTAAAAGTCAAAGAGTTTATATTTAAATATTTTCTTTACAGGGAATGCAACATTTGCAGAAGAGATAATTTGCTGCAAAGAGCTATATTTTTATGATTAGATGAAAGACTTTGACCTTTATTTTTTGCTAGAAATGTTGAAAGAGGAAAGAAAGTTGTCAGAATTCTCATTAACTACATTTGATGCATCCAGAAGAAAGTCAAAAGACTTGTTAACACACATAAACACACACATACATATGTGAAGTTTCAGCTCTTTTTTAGCTATCCAAACGTTCTACATGGCTTATGACCATAAATTGTTTTTAAAAAAAAAAAAATACAATACAGCTTTTGGTATCTTACTCCCCAAGCAAGTCATGCAAACAGACTGTATGAAAGAAATATAAAATCAAAAATACGAAACTCTACGTGTTTTAAGATCAAATTTTTTTCTACTATGCAATCTACCTATTCCCATTTTTATCCCTTCTACCTATTCCCATTTTTATCCCTTAATAATCATTGAAATAGATTGTCTTGATATTCCAGAATTCAAGAAGTTGAGCCCAAATGTTTTTGCCACAATGAAACAAGTGGTAGTCCAACCTATTTGACAGGGAGAGCCTAGCTGTAAGGCAAATGCTTGTGCCTTTGATAACGAACCTTGGGTTAATCTCAACTCTTAGCTGTTGCCTTAGAAAAAACCTGAACTGTTCTGCATTTGAATTTACTCTCCCAATTTATCTAGCATGGAAAATGGGTGTATAAACTACAGTTCAGGTCCTCTAGTGAAGAAAGTTGCTTAACGCAGTCTTTTAAATAATTGTGTGAGAGAACCAGGGCTGTAGTGCAAATGTTTAACAATTGGCTCTGTAGGTGGTGAAGGTGGGGGGAGAAGAGGAGAAGTTCCGATTTGCGGCATTTGCCCGTTTCTGTTGTATAAATACTCCCACTGTAACCAATATCAAGCTTCCAACCTAAAGTCACTGACCATGGAGTTAAAGGTGCAGTGGCACTCATCACACAGTATTTTCACCATACACAAGCAATAGATATAAATAACCTAGACGGCATAGATAATAGTAAAACATTGTAAAGTAATGAGAAAGTGATACATTTAAAGATTGTTTTACAGGTCCGGCATGGTGGCTCATGCCTGTAATCCCAGCACTTTGGGAGGCTGAGGTGGAAGGATTGCTTGAGCCCAGGAGTTCAAGACCAACCTGGTCAATATAGCAAGATCTCGTCTCTACAAATTAAAAACAAACAAACAAACAAACAAATTATCCGGGCATGGTGGCATGCACCTGTGGTCCCAACTACTCACAAAGCTAAGGCAGGAGGATCACTTGAGCCCAGGAGGTTGAGGCTACAGTGAGCCATGATCACCCCACTATACTCTAGCCTGCGCAACAGAGCAAGACCCTTCCCCCAACCCCCCCAAAGAGTGTTTTACCCTTTTTGCAACATAATTTATGCACTTACATGTTTATATAATTGAATTAATAATAATTGTGTTTAAAAACTAACCAGCCTACAAAATGTATTTAATTATCAGCTCTCAGGAGCTTGTATGAGCCAACTTCAGCACAAACCATGGGATATAACAAATATTAATAAGATATGAGGTCTCTGTTCTCACATAAGCATTCCTACTGCAAAGAGTAGCACCAGACAAGATACATATTGTCAGCATACCACAGAGAAAGCATACGCGGCCTCAACCCTAGAGTTCCTGCTATAGCAAGTCTTTGCTGATGGCGAAGTTCTCAATCATATTCGCAATGTGAATAATAGCAGTAATAGTCAACTTCTTTTTTGCTTGCTCTCTTTAAAACAGATGGTTCATTCAACTTTATTTTAGGAATTCTATTTTCACCAAAATGCAGCTGGAACCACATACTAATGATACTAGTACATTTGGCTCATATCTCTTTATTCTAATAGAATTATTCTACTAATGTGAAATTGCATAATATGTTCTCTCACCCCTAGTTTGCATGTCAACATGAACCAGCAACCTTTATTTCTTAGTAGTTTAAGTCTGTTGTTTCACTCTGTCCATCAAGAAACCCAGCTGCTCTCATACTTCCTTCTAGAAAGGCAGAAATATGCTAGGATACGATGGGAGAAGTCATTTTTATAGGAAATGTTGGGAAGAAAAACTAGCTGGTTTTCCACTGGCTAACACTAACTACTGTAACAAACAAACCTCCCTAATATAGTGACTTAAGTTGTAGAAGCTAATTTTTCATTGAGGTAAAATCCAATCAGTGGTGAAGGATGAGGGATGGTGCTCTCCTCATGCAGGGTCTGGGGTCTTACAGAGGCTCAGCCATCCTTAATGCAGGGCTCCCAGGGTCACCTTGTGTTTTGTGTTTTTTTAATAGCCTGTACACTTCCCTTGTGCATCACTTTTGTGTACATGTCCTTGGCTGCAACTCAATTTCACGGCCTCCCCTTGACTGCAAGGAAAACTAAGAAATGCAATGTATGCACACCCACAAAAAATAAAAGCTAAACCAATTTGGTAGACAACTACTCAATTTCTGCAACTGAGGCATAGTTCCCAGGACAATATAAGATCTATTCAATCCTATTAAAGACAGGGCAATTATTATATATGCTTGTTAGCATTTTACGATGTTAATATATAATAGTCATAATGTTATTTTTACTTTTAAATTTTTAAAGGATGCTTTTAGCCTACCAGATGCTAAAAGCAGCCATATAATGCTTTTAGATGTTTTAATGATGCTAATGAAACAAGCACAAAATCATATACAATTTATAAGTATCATCTGTTCACTCAAAATATAATCATTCATTCAGCCAATATTTATTGAGCACCTGTATGGGATGGGAATGCCAGGCATTTGCTATATAATAACAAATGAGGCTCTTGTTCAGATAGTGTTTATATTTTTATTGGAGGCCAGGGAAGGGATAGGGTGATAAAGATGTAATAAACGAAGACACAAGTAAAACAACATAATAATTTCAGAGTGATAAGTACATAAAGAAAGATTTCAAAGTAAAAAAAAAAAATAGGACATTGGAATCACAGGACAGGATGGTCTTCTAAAAGTCAAAGGGTCATGGAAGACATGAGTCGTGAATACAAGGATTTTTGTCTTTTCATTCACAGCTCTGTCTCTATCACTTAGAAAGGCTCCTGGCATATATTAGGGATTAATAAGTAACTGTTGAATGAGAAGAGCAAAAGCTAAGATCCTAAATAGGAAGTCATCTTGGAGTGTTGAAGAAAGAGACAGAAGGTCAGGGTGGCCACTGTGCAACAAGTTAGGTACAATGGGAGGTGTCAAGCTCTGAGAGGAAGTCAGGGGCCCTATCACATCGGATCTTATAGGTCATGGTAAGAAGTTTAGGGCATGTAATAGGTCTGAACTTTTCTTTAAGTTTGATCGTAAGCAATTAGATGGTTATAAACAGAGGGATGCTTTGATCATATCCCCGTTTTAAAAGGTCTCTTTAGCTGTGACCTGGAGAGTGTACTACGGGAGTGGAGAACAAAAGTGGAAGCAAAGGAGGAGATGACGTTGACTGGAAAGAAGGTAGGGATGCTGAAAGGAAGATAATTCATTGTTTAGGGACTTATTTTGGTGGTAGAGTTCACAGGGCTTGACGGCATGAGGGAGAGAAAGGAATTAAAGATGATTCCTGGCTGGGTGGATGGTGGTACCATCATGTAGGCAACACCTAGTGTGATAAGGAAAGATGGGAAAGATCTGGTTTGTTTGCACAGCATCTAAGAAAGGAAACGAACATCAAAATACCATAGCCAAACATCCATATTTATTAATAATTCCCTTTTTCTCCTCCCCCACAATTTACCTTAGAACTTCTTTAAGCTTTTGTCCTGAGTCCCATCAACACTGCTTTCTTGGTTTTTGTCTGTTTGTTCATTGTCAGTGTTCCCAGGAGTCTTGTACTCCCTTGAAACGATTCCAAATATGTCTCTCACCTTATTTCTATCCTGAGCTTCACCCCACATTCTCAATCACTTGCTGGTCACTCCCCACTGGCTATCTGACACAGTCCATAGCAAAGCCTGCATCTTCTCTTTCAACCCTGCTCCTCCTCCTGAATTAGTTATCTCAGTCGTTCAGAGAAGAAGGCTCAGAATACTCTAATCTCTCTCTTCATTCTTCATCACCCGCATCCAAAGAGTTATAAAATATGGTATTTTAGCTTTGCCAGAATCTACCCATGGGTTTTTTCATGCCCAAGGATACAGACCTGCCAAAGCCCTTGTACTGCCACCCCTGGGTGCAGTAGGGCCCCCAGAGAGGCCTGGTGCTTTGCAGTCTTGAACCTCTCCACTTCAGGCTCCATGCTGCTGCATCTCATAGCCGTGGACCCGAGTTCTGATCATGGCTCTGCTTAAAAGCATTCATCAGCTCCTGGCCCCTTTCAGAATAAGCCCAAATGCCACAGCAGACTTCAGATCTTCTGGAATCCAGGCTCTGCCTGCCTTTTTGCCACACGTCCCCTAGCCAGTATGTTCATCCATGGACCCACATGAGGCTTTGTGCTGGTCCCCAAAGAAGCCACCACAAACTCACCCACCACTGTGCTGGAGTGCTGTTATTTCCTCCAGGTGGACTGCCCCTCTGCCCTGCAGTCCCTGGCAGAGTTCTGTTCGTTCTGCAATGCCCAGCATCACTGTCATGTCCTGTCCTCCGTGAAGCACTCCCAAATCCTCTAATTACTATAGAAGTAACCATGCCTTCCTCCACAATCCCACTTCTCTATTTTCTAACACTTGCCTGTATTGAAGCTCTTCATTTTAAGGTTAACAAAGATAGCCCCATAAACCCACACTCCCTGAAACACTGTTCTACACATATTAGGTACTGAAAATGTTGTTAAAAACAATAAGCATCCTAATGTGGGGAATTGTAGACTAAACTGATGAATGGGATTAAGATACATATGGTGAATAAATGTATTAAACAAGTAATTAATAAAGTAATTACCATGGTGAATGATTCCATTTTCTAATAATGCTTGTCCCAAGTGCACACCTTCCTCAGGCCTGTGAATCTCTCCAATTTCCAACAGCCATGACACAAATTCGCTGCAACAGAAAGCCAGTGAAAAAGCTAAATGGCTAATCTTTTCCTCAGCAAGTCTTTCCATACCATCCAGTCATGAAGCAACGATGAAAGGAATCTCAAAATATAAAGGAATATTTGCAACACATTTCAACAGATTATTTTTTCACATATGTGAGGCCTACAGCCATTTAAGTTGAACTCTATTCTAGAAAACCCATGTCTGTACATTCAGACATTACTACACTACACTTAGTTTTAAACTGTTCAACTTGTTGAGGCCTCTAATAAACACAAAGTGGAAATTTTAGAGTAGCTTTAATTAAAAGGTTAGCATTAACATAAAGGCAAATGTGGGACTAAAGGATTGCAACAGATCCTAAAGATAGCTAAAGTCAGAACTGAATAGAGTAGTAACAACTTAATATAAAGAGGTAAGCTGTCTTTAATGTGGTTCCCAGGCACAGAGAACCGGTGAGTTTAAAGATCCAGGAAGGAAGAACAAAACAAAACCGCATGTACCGTGTGACAGGTAGGATTCTACAGAAATCCTCTCGCTGTCCTCCTACCATACCAAGATTCCCTCCCCTTGGTTTTTCAATTAAATTCTAATCTAGGTACTGCTCTGAAGGGACTTTTGCATATGTAATTAAAACCCCAAGTCAGTAGACTTTAAAATATGTAAATTATCCCAGTGGGCCTGATTCCGGGAGTGGAACCCTTTGAAGCAGAGTTTTCTGAGGCTAGTGGCATGAGAGGAAGTCAGAGAAATTAAAAGCATTAGAAAGATTCAATGTGCCACTGCCAGCTCTGAAGATAGAGAGGACCTGGTACCAAGACACGCAGCCTGCAGAAGCTGAGAGCAACCCTTGGCTGACAGCAAGGAAACAAGGACTTTATTCTTGCAGCCTCAAGGAGCTGAATCCTGACAACCACCTGAGTAGGCTTGGAAGGGAGCTTTTCCCCAGAGCCTCAAGATAAGAGCCCCGTCTGGCCAGCACCTTGATTTTGGGGTCATGAAACCCTAAGCAGAGAACCCACTTGAGCGCTCTTGGACTTCTGACTGGTGTTGTTTTAAGCTGCTAAGTATGTGTTCATTTATTATACAGCAATAGAAAACTAATGTACACCAAAAGACATATAAAAGTTTTACTACATTGTTTTGAAAATGTGAAATTACTTGGTAAATTCATTATTGTATCTCATCTGTCATCCATAAGGAATACTCCAGCACAGAACCATCCATCAGAACTGTCCACCACACACTGCTGCGGCTGTGAAGGCCACAGTGGATTATAGGTTACATCTGTCACCACTGCAGGGCAGCCCCAGGCATCACAGATAATAAGGATGATGTTTTGTATCACTTAGGAGAGCCTCAGCTATACAGCGATTTAAAAAAAAAAAAAAAAAAAAAAAAGGTCCCATGGTATCATTAAGGGAACACTAAATACAGAGACATTTTACAAATAAAAAATATTATGTTGCTCATGTTTTAAAAGTCTAACATTTGAACTTTTATATAAATGATTGAATTTGTTGTAGACTGGCTTTCTTTTTTTGGTTAGAGAAACAAAGCTATGGACTGCATCAGGAAATTATTTCTTCATTAATTTCATAAACAAAAGCAAGAAAAATGACTAACATCAAATAATTGAGGGATATAAAATTCTAAAAATGGGTTGTCTAGACTACAAAAATAAGGCAGAAAAAGTTAAAATTTTTTTATTCTTTTATTAAATAAGAACCATTCAAAACCATTGCTTTTCTATTGCTGCATAACAAATTCAAAAGAAAAATATAAGAAAAGGTGAAACAAAGTGTAGCAGTTAATATCATGTACTCTGCCATAAGACCATGGGGACTCAAATCCTGTTTCTCTTTCCACTACCTGCATGACCATGAGTTCATGAATTTAGCTCTTTAAACCTCAGCTTCTTCATTATTAACATAGAGATAATATTAAGAATGTCGTGCCAGGTACAGTGGCTCATGCCTGCAATCCCAGCATTTTGGGAGGCCGAGGCAGGTGGATAATTTGAGGTCAGGAGTTTGAGACTAGTCTGGCCAATATGGTGAAATCCTGTCTATACTAAAAATAAAAAAAAATTAGTCAGGTGTGGTGGCATGCACCTGTAATCCCAGCTACTCGGGAGGCTGAGGCTGGAGAATCACTTGAACCCGGGAGGCAGAGTTTGCAGTGAGCCGAGATCATGCCACTGCACTCCAGCCTGGGCGACAGAGTGAGACTCCACCTCAAAAAAAAAAGAATGTCAATGTCATAGTGCAGCCAAAGGATTAAATGAGATGACAGATGTCAGGAACTCAGCACGGGGCCTGGCACATAGTGAGCTTTACTAACTCAGCAGTTGACAAGTGGGTTGAGATGGTTGTTATGTAGCTAAGGCATAATTCTCTAGTCTGATGGCACTAGATTCCTGAAAATGTCCAATTACAATGAGGAAAGAGCCATTTTAAATATTGCTATAAACTGGAAACATTTTTAAGAGTGAGAGGTCAAGAGTGTAGGAACCCAATGAGTGGCTTTATCATTGGACCTACTGAGGCAATGGGGAAATTCCATCAACACTCTGCTAAAGGACAATGATCTATGCAGAAATGATCTCAAACTTGCACTGTAAGCAGCAGTAGTGTGCTGTTATGGAAAAGGCCACGATAACCTAACATTTACTGAGTCTCTCCTACCTATCAGGTGCTCTGGGAGAAGCTTCATATAGCATCACAATGAACTTGCACAATTCCCATAGGACATAGCGTGAGTGAAGGGTTAGTAAAATGTATTCTTCTTCAATAAGAAAAAATTTGGCCCTGGGCTAACTTTCTATCATAGCTATGCTCCCCTAGACATCTGATGAAGGTAGTGTGTCAACTGCTAAACTAGGCAGCATTGCAATGGTAAAAATGACCCCTGGTGGCTAATTTGCATACCTATAAAAACCTAGTGGGAAGCCATAACTTGAAGTCACTCTCTTGCAAGTGGGCATATCCCAGTGAGGACCCTGAAAGTTATGCCCATGGGGTGGGTACAAGAGATAGTGTTACTTTGCTACACAGGGCTTCTATGCCAAGATAAACTCACATCTTCTCTTTCCCTTGCATGAGAGCTACTACCACCTAAGGGGTACCTACAAGCAACAGTATAGCTCACTGGCAGATGTGTAGCCTGCTGGGAGGATTACTACCAGTGAAGAAGAAAGCCAGACGCTGCTCTGCAGGCAGAGGTTTTCCTGGCCTATAGATTTCTGAGGTGGGGGTTGGGAAGTGTATTAGCCCTTTTTCACACTGCTGTAAAGAACTTCCCCGAGACTGGGTGTATTAGTCCATTCTCACACTACTATAAATAAATACCCAAGATTGGGTAATTTATAAAGAAAAGAAATTTAACTGATTCACAGTTCTGCATGGCTGGGAAAGCTTCAGGACACTTACAATCATGGCAGAAGGGGATGCAGGCACATCTTACATGGCAGCAGGTGAGAGAAGGCAACTGAAGGAGGAAGAACCCCTTATAAAACCATCAGATGTCATGAGAACTCACTCACCATCATGAGAACAGCATGGGGGAAACCACCCCCATGATCCCATCACTTCCCACTAGATGCCTCCCCTGGCATGTGGGGATTACAACTTGGATTATAACTCAAGATGAGATTTGGGTGGGGACACAGCCAAACCGTATGAGGGAGGCAGAGGTAGCCTATGATTATGTTGTGTGTTCCCATCGCTGGTTAAAAAGACATCCTACTGAGCACTGTAGGTAAACTCTACCATCATCTCCATGTTTTCAGCGCAAATGGAAACTTAACCATCCCAAATCACACAACAAATTGGTGGTACTACTGGGAGCTGAATAGATAAGTTTGATGCCAGTCTAGACTGTAAACTACCACTCCAGCCTACTTTATAAACTTGGGCATTGCTATTCACTAACAATATGAAATTGTTAAGCTCCCTGATCCATAGTTTCTGTATCTTCAAAAAAGTATAAAGGTATTTAACTCCTACCTAAGTATGTATTCCAGCATTAGAAATAATGTATAGGAAGAAGTCAGCACAGAGGCTGGCCTAAAAAGAGTTACCTGAAGGCAGCTAACCTTCTTTCTGGCCCTGCACTTATTAACCCAGTCAAGGAATCCCACTTTATGCTGTCCAAAGGAACCAAACAACACTCAGTCACTCTGCTCTACTCTAAAAACTAAAGTGACCTCTCTGCCTATTACTCACTGCCTGTCTCTTTACACGACCCACATTTTCAGACTCTTCACCTACACCCTTTATCCTGAGTCCAGCTGCCTAAATTCTAAATTAACTGGTAGTTCAGACTGTCTTTTATCTTCTCTGTCTTTCTGACTTTCAGGCCCTATACACATGTCCGTGCCCAACCAGTCATCCTGTCCCCTGCAGGCAAACCCACCTGCCTATCATTCCTTGCCTAGACCCAACCTCCCTTTCCCCTGGGATCATGACATATCAGAAATCTGAGAAGTCGTGAATGAATGGATGGATGCCTTAAGTTTCCTGGTCATGATTCTGGCTCTCTGTCCATTCCTTCATTCTGCTACAGCCCAGGAAATGGCAACTGTAAAGAAGTTTTCAGAAGTGCCAAAGGAAATATTTTTAAAGGAAAACTAATTGAAGGAAAGTTAACAGGTGAGATAATGAGAATGTAAAAGAAAGTCATGCACCCAAACTCCCAACCCTACCTTCCAAGAAAGCATTTAGGGAACGTCGTCAGTTTTCTTTTTCTGTCTTTGATCAGATTTCCTTCTCTGCACATCATTTTATAAAGTTTCTCACCCTGTTCAGAGATCATTACCCAGGTATCTTGCTCCATTCCTAATTTTAAACCTATCAAAAATAAGAGAAAGGAGAGGTAACTGAAAATTCTCTTCATTCATTCATTCAGTTGTGCCTTCATTAAGCAAGCATTTGTTGTAGGTCTACCATGTGCTGGGGGTTGTGGATACAGACCCCTGTATAATAGTGCCCTGGTGTTCAAGAAGCTCAGGGGCTAGGGAGACCTGCAAGGCAGGGTCTCCAGGGTATATGTCACCTTCATGCAAATTGTGCCCCAAAGGCATAAAGCTTTAGCCAGAGGAATAAGAAGAGCAGCTGAGTCTCAGCCTCCACTGTGTCCTGGACCAGGCACCCTTGCTCAGGGTTAGATCAGCAGAACGGGACAGAGTAGTCATAGAGACAGTTCTGGTGGGGAAAAAAAAAAAAAACTGTGATATAATGGAGGCATACTCAGGCTACCTCACCTCTCCCTGAGAAACGTTAAGAAAGGTTTCACAGCAGGGACCTGTCTTGAATGCACAGGTATGAATGGGGATTTCTAGAGAAAGCAGGGCTAACTCATTTGAAGCAACATGGAGGTCCAGAGCTACGGATTGTAAGAGAAAAGATAGGAGATGGGCTGGTAGGATAGCCAAGATCCTTGCTCAACCTGCAGTTTCAATTTGTTTCATTCCTTAGGTATTGGGCACGCAGCTAAGTGTTTTAACCAGTGGGAGGAGCAAGGTAGGGTAGTGCAGGAAAGAAAGTTGTGTTGCTTTGGAAACAAAGCTCAGAGGACAGTATGGGGAACAAACTGAAGAGGGAAATATTTAAAAAGAGGGACACTGTTAGGAGAAACCTCAAAAGTTCAAGCAAGTTCAACTCACTGCGAATAAGGGTAGGGGCCATAGGGCAAAGAGGATGAAGTTGAGAAATAGTTAGGAGGCGCTATTGATAAGATACTGGTTAAATGTGGGCATGGAATAAAGAGAAGAAATCAGATGCCTTCCGGGCTTCTGACGAGAGTGACTGAATGGAAGCAGGGAGGCATATTGGGCAAAGGCATCCAAGTAACCAGGAGTTCGGTGGGTACTGAGTATATGTAGTGTGGACATTCAGGTGGGAGTCCAGGACTCAGGTGAAAACATGAGCATTCCCAGGGGAGAGGGCAAGGCTGGACATAAAGTTTAACAAATCGGCAGTGTATAAGTGGAAGTTAATCTGATGGGAATAGATAACCAAGGCAAGGAATCTAGTTAGAGAAAAACAGTGCCAAGCTAAAATCCTAGGAACACTGGCACTTAATCAGGACTGATGAGGAGCTGTTGCAGAAGAAGGAGAAATACTTGTATTATTTTTAGTCATTGAGCTGCAAAATTTCCTACCAGACCTTTATTTTTGACAATGCTGGAGCCATTAACATGTCTTTATTCAAAAATAATACCTTAAGAATGGAGTCTAATAAAGATAAATATAAAGATAAAGATCATAAGCAGCTTTAGAGAACGTGCTTTTTCTCTTGTTTGGGGGTTTTTATTTTGTTTTGTTTTGTTTTGTTTTGTTTTGTCTTGGGTGAATCATAGTCATGCTTAAAAAAACAAAAAAGGTTCAACTTGATTGAAAGCTTGATTCACCTGTTAACTATTTGTGTGCTATTTGAATTGACTGCTACATTCAACAAAACTTAGAGTCAGTCATACATTCATAAACTTTGTTTTAAAATTTTCTATCTGGTTCTTCATCCAGGATCAACCAAAGGAGTATTTGAAAACGCTTTGGAACTTCTACAAGTATGTACCATGAATATTTCAATCTAGGTAGCAAGTTTGCATATTCTTCAGGGGAAAACATCTGAAGATGGAAGAAAGAGTTCTTTGTGTTCTGAAATTTCATTACCCATGAGGTGTTTTATTCTTGGGTCTCCAAAAGTAATCAACAATGTCATGCTTCTTAATTAAGAAATCAGTTGTTAATTAGTAGAAATACAAGCATTTCTATTTCTGAGCTGAATTATAGAAATGTGCCTTTTTGTAGATAAACTTCACACTGGTGAATATAGCCAGGCCAAATTCCTTTTGCAAATTTTTCTAAAAGCATAACACAAATTCGAGCTAGGCCTCCTCATATGAACAAACAACTAATTGGGTTACATTGTATTATATTCATAGACCTAACAATTTTTAAAAGTGTGTATAAATCCAGAGTGCTTTAATCTATAATTAGGAATCTAACATATTAGGTCTAAGAAATTTTAATGTTCTGTTAAGTATACAGAGAACAATTGGAAGCTTTACAACACTGCATTATGTTACTGAAGCTTGTCACTTAAAGAAAAATTTGGTAATGCTGCTTTAGAAATACCAAGAATAAAATGAAAAGAAAATTGAACAAATTTTCTATTTTAAAAAACTATTTAAAAGACATTACCAGCCATAACATAATTATTTTGCTAACTATATAAGTATTACATAACAATTTTGTAAGTATCAAATAAGTCTTTTATCAAATAAGTATGAGGCTCACGTCACATAGTATTAGGTTGGTGCAGAAGTAATTGCTTTCAATGTCAAAACCGCAATAATTTTTGCACCAACCCAACAAGCAACCATCATATACCTTTCTACTTTCTCATGATTTCCCATTATCTACTCCTATGCTAAGTTAGAATCTTCGCTAAGTATAATAGTGCCCAATTCATACACCCACCTTTCCGCCGTTCTCTTTCTTTCAAAATAGCTTCAAACCATTCATGCTTCTCTTCAGGTGTTTTTGCCATACAAACAAACCATTTATTTTTTGCTGTGTTATGTATCTTCCATCCATTAACAACAATGTGTCCACTGCTATGGAAATCAGCTGTAAATTAATGAGTAAAGGCAAATGAATAAAATGTAATACACAATATTATTATATCAACACTATCATTCAATACATAAAAGTTCCAAAACCACTGAATTGTTCAACATATCTTTGCTTTATATATGCATTTTGAAAAACGTACACATTTAAAAATTTTAAGAATGCGTTTATATTGCAGGCAGTCAGTGCTTAATAACGGAACATTTCTAGCTCACAGTGTTAATACATTACATGAAACTAAACACTACAAACTAATTAGCACTTATATGCTCTATGCTAAAAAATATTGTCAAAGTTTCTAAAGAAATAAAAGAATAACATGCAAGGTATTTTCTTCTCAAACATTCAAGATGTCTATTTATTTTATCTTTCTAATATTTTTTTGAAATAGCATTCTAGGTTTCAGAGACAATTTAAGTCCCACGGAACAATTTTCTATTATTTAATGAACTGCACACTAAGGATTGGCCAATGGAACACACTAAGAGTAAAATTACCTAAAACTGAAATAAATGGAAATATACAAATGCCAAAGCATTATCACTGTACATGGTCGAGATATACACTCTTTAAACCCATTTCATTACATTTATGTCACATAAATAGAAATTTATGAAAAAATTTTTGAAGATAAATTTACATTTAATTGTCTTTTCTGATACCTCACCACAATTTTGGGTAAACTGTCATGCTGGGTTTGAAAATGCCAACAGCAAACTCTATACAGTAGTTCCCTGTCTAACAGCAGGTAAAGAACAGTGACATAACTTGCAAACGACCTTTACTGGCACGACAGTCCCTGCAAAGCAAAGATTCCAAGATGGAAAAACCTATGACAGAGGCCTGAGTCAGCACCTGTACCAATTAAAGTGACCCTTTTCATGTGTCTCTCCTGAAAGTCATTCAGCAGCAAAGGCCACTGTTGAGGAGGTAAGCCATAACAAAGTTAAAGGTGGTTTAGAAAATGACTTTGTGGTACTTTGCTTGTTTTGTTCTTTTCTTCTCAGATGATCTATTTTATGAAGTTTTTGAGTAGAAACAAATGTGCTTGGCATTCATTCTCCCAAAATCTGGTTCCCATAGTCTTTTTCATTAGCTTCAAAATCACTACACATTACATGAGGTCAGACTAATAATACCACAAATCCATTATCAAATGATGCTGTTCAGTTGTGGAGTATTTAAAGCTTCCAGATTACTTTTGAGTCAAAATAGGATGACATTAGACATTAGTCTGTATTTTCTATAGGTGCCATAATACATGAATAATCAGTAACGACTTCTGATAATATAGAGATTTAAACTGGCAGATCCTTCCCTCCCAAAAAATTACAAGCAATTTTTTAAAAGATTTTTTGTACTTTTGTTACCTTCGTGTGTTTAATTCATGTTCCGATCCTACACAAAGTAAGAGAACTTCATAATTCATGTCAGATAAGTATCCATGAGCATTAGTAGAAAAATAAGGATATTACTTCATAATTACAGTGCAATTCCTCCTTAATATCTATAAAAAATAACCAGCTGAGAAATTATGATAAACTGGTGGGGAAAAATTCAGAAATTCTCAAATTCTACAAGTTTAGAACTGTCCCCCAACCCTGATCACTTGTGACCTAACAAGACCAGAATCACAAACAAGCCCAAGCTTTTTTTCAGGCTGTCTTCTCTCTATTAAGTCAGGCTATGATTAGCTAAGTGAACCTGGCACCTGCAGCTTAAAAAATCCCACATGGCCACTCAGGTTACTACACCTTTAACCATTACTCTAGATAAAGAAAACCACAGTAGCCAAATGCAGCCTACAGTCATAAACACTGGACTCACTCCAAAATGAACACAGTGTAACCCTCCCACAGAGCACAGGGAACACAGGTTCACATGCCAAAATCATCCGGGTCATGCTCCTGACACCACACAGGTGTACCCCAAGGCCAGCCATCTCTATAACAGGGGGTTTTCCTTCCTTTCTTTCCTGGAGTGAGTCTGGTCACTGGCCTCTACACACCCTGCTGGCCCTCCCTCAAATATTTTTCATCAGGCCACTTCTTAGCTCAAAAGTCACCCATTGGGTGTCTCACCACTGAATCAAGTCAAAACTACATGTAGACTTTGCTTTAAAGATTCTTCCCAAACTAACTCAACTCTGTCTAACTCCTTCTGTTTTCCACTCTGTTCTAATGCCTTCCCACCATGCTTTTCTCGTCTGCTGCTTTCCTGGTTGTCCTGTGAATACTTATGTATTCCCCAGGCTGAGTTTCTCATCAAGCTACCCCACACTCCTCTCTGCCTCACAGATTCTTACTTCTCTTGAAAGTGGACCCATCTCCTCCATGAAGCCTGGCCTGACCAGTTGAGCCTGTGCATACACATTTCTTTTGGAAAGCACATAATTCAACTCGGAATCAGATAAGTGAGCATGTGATGGATCACATGTGGCTACTGTCTCAATGTACAGAAACCAAGATCATTAGCTGACTATAAAATCTACTAATATGGTTTGGATTTGTGTTCCTGTGCAAATCTCACATCAAACTGTAATCCCTAAAGTTGGAGCTGAAGCCTGGTGGGAGGAGATTGGATATTGGGGAAGAATTTCCCCTTTGGTGCTGTTCTCATGATAGTGAGGGAGTTATCGTGAGATCTGGTTGTTTAAAAGTGTACAGAACCTCCCCCACCCCTCTCTCATGCTCTGGCTAGGAAGACGTGCCAGCTTCCCCTTCACTTCTCACCATGATTTTAAGTACGCTGAGGCCTCCCTCATGCCACATGAACTATACAGCCCACAGAACCATCATCCAATTAATCCTCTTTTCTTTATAAATTACACAATCTCAGGCAGTTATAGCAGTGCAAGAATGGACTAATACATCCACTATCTCAAATAACAGCTTAATTGCTGCACTAATATTTTAAAAGAACAGCCTGAGTCAAATAATTTTACATGAAGAAATAATATTCCTTTTTAAAGTTTATATGCTAGCTAATTTCTATCACACCAATTTTAAAAATCATAAGTAATTTTAAACATATATATGCACATACACTAACACACATTGAATATATATACAATTGAATATACACACCACAGGCCTCAAAATGTAGTATACATACTTCATAATAGCATCAAAATTACCAAATGTTATACAAAATAAGCAATTGCTTCTCATTTTTTTCAAAAGCTACAGAGACATAAAAATAGCTTCACAACTTTAATCATAGTACATTGTCCAATATCTTCACACTTCAAAATAAAAATTAAACTTATCCATAAAGAACACCCTCACTAAAGTCATTAAAAAGTCCAAAATTGCTTTGTACTTAGTCAGAATTTGGCTTAAAAAATTTAAGTGAAAGAATAAATAATTTATTAAATGGCAAACGCAGGAATTTCCAAGCTTCAATGGATCTAAAATGTTAATTTTATAGGAAGAATAGATTTTAAACTGCCATTCCTTAAATGTGGAATATCCAAATTCAACAGTCTTTAGTCACAGATTTCTTCCAAAAACAGAAAAATCCAAGGGACAGACCTGAACAAGTCACTAATTACTTGAAGCTATACAGTTTTCAAATTCCTTGCTCTTATTTCAGTACAGTTTCATATAATTAGATGGGATTTTTCCAAAACTGATACACTATAAATCTCAGTGGACGTGCCAGTATTCTTTCAATAAATTTGCATTTCAATGAGATGGAAAATATCCAAGTATTATAAAAAGGTTAAGAAACAGAAGAAATTGCCAGACTATGTTATCGAAAACATCAAGAAACTAAATAATGTAAATAATGTATTCAAATAATGTATTCTAAATAATATTTAGTCTAAATAATGTATTAGTCTATTAGTCTAAATAATGTATATTTAGTCTAAATAATGTATTCAATCCTTGTCCTGGAGATCAACACTGTGAATTCATAAATTTCTAAGGGAAACTTTCAAACTTGTAATTTGTTCATAAATATTTAACATTGAGAAAAATTTTTTGAATAAATTTCCAGCATCCCAAATAGCATATGATATTATTTTGGGCAAAAAAAAAAAAAAAAAAAAGATTCTAATTGACTTTTCCTTTTAAAAATCTAAAAAGTAGTTCATCCCTTGACTTTTCTGAATTCCCAAATATATTCTCTTAAATTAATAACATTGAAAATGTATTTTTAAAAAACTATTATATTCTTATATTCTTTTCAACATTTGTTAAGCCATTGTTACTTTTTAATTAAGAACATATTTAATCCAGCTTATACAACAATACTACAGTTGTGAAAGTAACTGGTTTATCTAGTCAGTAGACTGGTATGCAACAATAAATACTATTTTTGGTGATAAGGCATGAAGATAAAGATGATGATCATTAAGATAATACAGGTACTCGATTTAAGTGAAAAAGGATACAAAATTATAAAGTTCACATTTTCATTTTAAATCTGTGCATGAAAAGGAAAATTGCAGGAAATATTTTGTATATAGTCTTATGTATTTGTCTTCGTATGACATTATTATCTAATGTTTTTTGCCTTTATATTTTTCTGCAGTTTCCAAAGTTTCTTTAATAAGCAAAATTTAATTTTATAAAAATAATGTATTCAATATATTAAAATAGTTTCAAGTATTTATATCTAAAGGGAGAGCTAAATTGTTTTAATTGACTTACTTTTAAAGAACACCTTAAGAATAAAAAATTTCCATCTTATCCAATTCAAATTTGACGAATGTATTGAAATCTATGGTATGCCCAACACTGAACTACAGACAACATTTTCTAAAGGTCAACATTCTCACCCTCTGTCCAACCATAGAAATAAACTGGTGCATAAGAGAGAATACTAATGATCTGGTACTACTTTCTGAATGGCTTTTCAGGCATGCACTATAAAAATTACCACGAAAATTAATTCCAGGAAGTTCAATAGCTTTCCTACTATTGTCTTTAAGCTGCATTTTCTTTAGAGCATCATGATCAAACTAGTAGTCCCAGAAAGAATCTTCAAAGAATTACTTAGATTCACTGAGAGTTGAAATCTGAAGAACGGTTGCATGGAAATTTGGCCACAGATGCAAGGGTCAACATCTGCCTTGAATATAGGAATTAATGAATAACATGGAAAGACTTAAATAAATATATATACAAATTTTTGCACTTTTGCACATCATACTATCATTTAAATTTCTTTCTATACTAAGATATAACTATGATATAAACTAAGTCATTAAGTATTATGAATAAAATTACAATAATATTATTTATCAAAAGATTCAAGATGTTTACATGTTGGCTGAAAACTTTAGTCTCATCCCAAGTACAATTAATTTTTCTGCAAGTTTTGAGCTATATCAATGCAATTAGTCATCTGATAGAGCTTCTTCCTTAGAAAACTATTTTATTACACACACAGTATACAAAAATACTCAGTATTTGTATAATTCAAATGGAAGAAAAACTTTTCCATTCCATTTTCCATCACAAGTTCTAAGTGCTAGGTACAGTGGTGCATGCCTGTAGTCCCAGCTACTGAGGCTGAGTTGAGAGAATCATGAGTTCAAGTCCAGCCAGGGCAAGATAATGAGATTCCTCACCACCACCCTATCTCAATTTAAGAAAAGGAAAAAAAGTTCTAAGCATGCTTTAAAATATATATATATGTGTGTGTGTGTGTGTGTGTGTGTGTGTGTATATATACACATATATATGTGTGTGTTTATATGTGTATATATATACACATACACACATCAATTCATCCATTTTATTATTTATAACTAAATATGGTATAGGTGTTTGTATTTTTCTTTTGGCAATGACAGATAAGCCTGATAGCATCTGTTTATCCCTCATTTAACTTATCCAGGGGCCAAGTATGGGAGGTACTTGGCATAAGGACATTAATCAGCTCTGCTGAGATCCATCTGCGTCAGAGCTTCATGCGTAAAGTAAAAAATACAGCAGACTTAAAACCTGAGCTCATCAAAAAAGAAATGAAGATTCTATGCTGGAAATGACCAAAGAAACAACAAAGGGAGAAAGTTCATGCAGCACCCAGATCATTTCTGGGTGCTACCAAACTCAATCTCTGTAGGCTGATGCCTTGTTCCCTCACTGCTCTCCACTTGGTCCCTCTCTATGTTACAAAGCATGTACATGGAAACCCAGCAAACTTAACTCTATCCCCAGCTCTGTTCTAGTCAGCTTGGTAAACATGGGCAGTTAGTTCTTAAACCTGGCCTCATTTCTATTATCTGAAATGTTAATGGGGTACATTAATTGATCATTAAGATCCTATCCCTCTTCAAAATTTCTATTATTCAATTTCCAGGTCGGAGACCCCCCAGAAACCTAGTGGATATATCCATGAGAAAACTAAATTTTCCTCGCAGGTAACTAGGGTATGGTATCCAGTTGCAGCCTGAAAATTATTTAAGTGACCTCGTAGCGACCAGGTACAGCCAAATTCCTGCTACATGTTGCTTATATATATTCAAGAAAAAGTAAAGAGGAGGAAAGCCCCAGTTGAATAATACAAAGTCTAATAAATGTCTTCATCTTATTTTAAAGAAAATCAAGCCTGCGAATTTGTGCCAAGAGGTTCCATCGGACAACTAACTTATGACAACTAAATATCTTGCAATGTCGTGTCTTTCTTCTAATTCAAACACAACAAGGTCTTAGGCCCTGTATTCCACAATGCTTTTGCCCTCAGAAACTGGGGACCTGTAGGCTGGATCTTACTAGCATCAACAGAAATTTTTGGTGGAATTGAATCCAAGGACCATTTGTGCAATTCAAGTCACCCTTCACAGGATCTCACTCTCTTACCATCTGCCCCAGATACGCTGGAAGACAGCATTTTATGGCCATGCCTCCAAAGGTCCTGGGCTCTTACATCTCTTTATCTAGTTCTCCAGTTGCCCAAAAGCACAGTAATCATAGTAATCACTATCACAACTCAGTCAGACCACCAATGCAGATGGCACTAATAGTGGCACTCACATCCCGGGGGGTGAAGGGAGAAAGTGGGACGTAAGGGGTGGATATTCAATCTCTCAGGAAATAAGGCCAGGGACTCTATGCCCATGGGAAAGCCTAAAAGTAGAAGAAAATAAAGGAAGTGCCTAAGCAACAGTGGGGAGGTGGTCCCATTATGGGTAATCAGGTCCAACAAAGAACAGAGTAGAAGTTCATAGTGTTCTTCTTTTACTATCTGACTTCCTCCCAACTCAGGTTCAAAGTTGGACATTTGGGGAATCTCTTGAACACTAAGGTTACAGAGGCAAGATAACTCTTAGCATGTTAGACAGATAACTTTTCTAAATGTCACTACATAGTCTTCTTAGAAAGCACAGAATAAATTACTGCTACCTTGTAAAAAATAATGTGTACATCCTGCTATGGAAAGATAGTCAACTAGGTCCCATATGTTAGCATGGGAGTATCTGCAACTGCATTACAGTCTGTGGCATAGAAACGGATTTGAATTGGGACATCTATCTGTGCCAACTGTCTGGCAACTTCACACCACCCCACAGTTAGCCACTGAGGAACCTCTCTACTGGATGAGCACAATAGCATGGCTCCGAAGCTGAGTGTTCAGTCTCAGGCACCACCTGAGTTTTGCTCATTGCATTCCTTTTTCCCCTTATCTACAGTAATCACAGTTCATTATTGTAAGTACTTGACAATTTATTCAGATGCTAACAACGGTATTGAGAAATTGCCTACAGGTGAGCATTTGAAATTCTGTGCTTCTGACAGATTATAAATATCCTTCTCCCCTCTGGGACCCCAGAGTGACAATGAAAGTATGTGAGAGGTGGAGGGAGTTGATCTGTGTCCCAATCCCATATGTATAACGAATATAACCAAAGTATTTATTTATATGAAAGCAAAAGACATTTAGCAACAGTTAATATATTGCATTTCATCTTGTCTTTTCTCCTAAAAGCATATTTTTAAAATTCTAACTAAAATCATTGGGGGGAAATGGAATTCACTTTACTAAGTGAATTTCTTTTAGAGACTTCTTTTTTTCAAATGGAAAGTATAATTCATTTTAACTTTATTTTACTTAATGTTTGTGACTAATCATGATTTCATAAATTAGCTTATAAAGCCCCATACTTTCAAATCTATAAAGCAAAAAGTTACTACCTTTGAGTAATAAGATATTTAAAACAAGCATTTAAAATTACACAAACCATCTCCATCCACAATTTGCTTACAAGCAAATTGACAACCTGTCTGTATGAATAACAACTACATAGCGAAGACAAATCTAGAGTTTGCTATATTCTACAGCGAATATATTATAGGAACAAAACATCATTCTTATGCTTATAAAATAGTATAACTAAAGAAAATTCATTTATTAACTATTTTCTGCACAGTGCTCTCTGTTCCAGTCCCATGAATGCCATGGGACACTACTCGGCTATTTCTCTGTATCTATGTTTCATGTTAGTGTGTTTTGGCTATATATAATTTTCTACTTTCACAGTAGTCCTCCCCTCCCTTATCTCACCTTTCTCTTTCCTCTACCCAACAACTTTATCTAACAAAGTATTTCTAAGTTCTAATACACGGCAGGTGAATTATCCAAGTGAGAAATCTGTCTTACAAAGGAATTTACTACTTACCATTGGCATCCCAGTTAAAATCCACAGATCACTTACCAGTGCCATCATCCACATTCTCCACTTCCATCACCTCCGTGTTGATCCGGCCACGAAAAAGGTACCGATGTCCATCTGTAGATGCCTTGCTGTTCTTCAATCGTCTTAAGATGGAATTAAATCAGAAAGACTTTGTTACTAAACAATGTAAAACAATGTCAAAACAATATATTTTAAGCAATTCTTTGAAAAAAGACACCAGTTCAATTGACAATATCAAACATTAGACCCCTGGAGATCTTTATATTTGTCCTCCCTTTCATAACAGCACTGGTTGCTTTAATGAAGTATGCAACCTGCATATTAATTTTTAAAAATAAATTCAAGTTTTAAACTAAGGATAGTATACAGGTGGGAGAGTGAGTATGTGTTTTGTTCAATATAAGACACCACCAGTGCCTAATCAGACTCTGACAGACACTAACAACTAGTCATTTTAAAATTTCATTTGAGTTTCTTTCACCTTCATGACTCATTTTTCAGTAACTAGCGGGTAATTTCCAGATAGTACTTATGATCCCTCTTCAAAGAATTGGCCGTGCTGGAGGTTCTTAAGCTCAGTGATATCCAGCTATAAAAATATTTCTCCTATCATAGTTTTATAATATAATCACTGTATACTTGTTGAACAAATCTCTTAATACCTTTGCAATCCTTCAAAAAGACCTTATTTATTTCTAAAACACCCAAAACATTTCAAAACTATGTATATATTACATCTAGTGCCAGCTTTTAATCTTAAAAAGTATGTAACACAAAGTCAAAAACCCAGGTTTACAGACGACCATTTCTAACAATGAATTAGGAAGTTATATATGTTTGTATTTGAATCATTAAGCACACAGGAAAAAATATTTTTTCAATGTTTTTCTTTCATTACAAACAGGAAAAATTCTAAGAAATGATTCAAGGAGATTAAAAAATACCTAGTCACTCAAGAGATTTCCATTGACCTAGACTATTCAATTGGACTCAGTGACAAAATCTGGCTAATAATTTAATATAGTCAAATAATTATTAACGTGTTGTGTTATGCAGACACACCTAGCACAAGTTAAGATGTAGGTGTACACAAACTGCAATGCCCCCTCTTCCTCTCCCGTGCAGTTAGATCCCTATCCCAGTGTGGATAGGGTGGGCACAGGGACGTGTCCCCAGATGCCATCACACTCTCTGGGCTCTTTCCTTGGAAAAAATTGCATATTCCTGACTTAGCTGTCTTCAAGCCTCATCAAAACTTAGTAGTCCTTCATCTCTACTAAAGAAAACTAAGCAAATCGATTAATTAGCCTGACTGGACAGTTTGTCAGCCCCAGACCTTCATCACCTTGCACTCCTCACGTTCATTTTGAAAACAACCTCTAAATGTTCTTCATTAATAGGCATAAATCAATGCTATAAATTAGGAATTCATCTCAGGTAGCTATGAAAATTGGCCTCACAGGAGGTTGACTATAGAGGGGAATGCAGATCAGACTAATATGCAGGTAACTAATATGCAGGTATTATTTCCAGCTGGAAAATAATATCATGGTGTTTTGAAAAACAGAATTTCTTATAAGTTGGTAAACTAACTTAAAACCAATCATACTGAAAAGACTTAATATCCTTAAAAGTTTTAGTCACAGGCAAAATAATCATGGATTATATGTAAGAATCCATCACTTAGTTCTATTTTCAACATATCAATTTTTTATGATCTTCCTGTGAACTCTGTATGGGCTTTGTATATTTCTCTTGGGCTGCAGATATTAAGACTCAATATAAAATTCCAGTAAGTGTTTGATCAATTCTATAATTCTTAGCTCAAACAGATTTTGATCTCTTCAGAAAATGGCTCTATTGAAGTTTAAAGACTGAAAAGCCTATAGTTTGAAAATAATTATGCTGCATATTATAATATTGCAAATTTAAATGTCTTGATTCTATTATTTAATTCCTAATTATGTGTTGTAGTGGTCACCAGGACACATATACAAGAATGTATACAATAGCAGAAAAACTGGGGACAACCCTAAAGCCCATTGATAGGAGGATGAATAATTAAATTGTGATACATTTAACTAATGAAATATTACGCAGCAGGTAACATGAAGAAATTTTTGCTACACACAAAATGGATATACATTTTTAGAAACTATACTGAATACAAATTATAAATTGCAAAAAACTAAAACCACTATGATGCTATTTTTTAAAACTCATAAACAAGCCAAACTAAGCAATACCATGTTATATGTATCAAATACTATATCATAATTTTTTAAAACTAGTTTCTACTGAGATTAATAATATTAGAAATATCCAGAGTAAGGATGCCTAATCTGGCACTCTGCTATTTAAAGAATGTAATTCTAGAATTAAATTCATCAGGTCCCTACTTCATACAATTACAACATTATGCAAGTTTGTAAAAGGTTCCCTTTACTCATATTTTCTGAAAGATCTCTACGTCTTAGAAAGTATATGCTGAGGTTAAGTTCAAAAGGGAGTGAAGCATTCTAAGTGAAGGGAACAGATGGTTTGTTCAAACAGGTTCTCCAGTCCTGGAAGGGAACGGACATGATGAACTGTTTTGTTATTTCCATTTCTAACCACTATGTATTTGGTCCACATGATACATTCATTAAGTGCATTTGCTAAACAGTAGGATTTTAATTTGTTAAACTTTTCCCGTGTTTAATGTACTTAGCAATTCCAGTCATAAGACCACATAATATCATGATTTGTCCACTAATGTTAATTTCGCAAAAGATTTGGGTCTTGATAGTAGGCATAGATCAAGATGGGATCAATTTTAATGAAAAACGATTTCATTCTCAAATGGAGAATTGCACTAAAACACCTTGATACACATTACAGTTTCTTAATGAGTAACACACAAGTAAAATAACAGCCTCTTCTACATCTTCCAAAAGCCAATTTCTATCAATCTCAATCTCGCTATCAAACACAGAGAACTTAGAAGAACATAATAAAAGATTCATTTTCACATTGGTAAAAAGGAATTTTAAAAAACTCATCAGAATAGAGATGTCAACAATTTAATTATTTTGGGGCTCTAATCCTAGTCTGTTCCCTCTCATAAAGATACATGTTGTATTCCTATGTTTTCTCAGCTTATCTAATTGCAGTTTTGAATTAATGTCTCCTACTAGGGAATTCTAATACTAAAACCCACATGGCAGAACTACCATATATCATCATCATAGCTACCAAATGTTTGCTAACTTGCTCTGGGCATCTTGATGACTGATTTAAGAAGACTCATTATCAGAGATGAAGAATAACTCTCCCTTAAGTCTGTCTTACAGATCAGTCGGTTTTGCGTCTCTAATTCTCACTCTACCAGAAAATATTTGACTATAGTTTTCTAAATTCTGAACCTGGAATAAATAGTCATTTAAAACCCTGTACTTTCAACTACTGCTTTACCTTTAAATTGAATGAACCTATTGGTACCATTTCACTAAAACAAATGTGTCCTATATATGGTTAGGGTGAAGCACGTAAAGGCTCAGGAAACTTCTCAATTAAATGTCACTCTACTGTTTTGCTTAACCAACATGCAAAAAAATTTTCCCAAGAGTTTAAGAAAACATCCCATAAAGAACATTCTCAAGAAAAAAGTGTATTCATGCTTTAAAACAAATAGCATTATATCAATAACCTTAATACACAAATTATTTACATTAATGATGGCTAAGCTCTACAGGGGACTAGTTTGAGTTTCATTCACTCATTCATTGATTCTGTGTTTCTCAGCTGTCTATCACAGGTCTGCTCCAATTTCCAGAGAAATTGCATTGAAGGAGCAATAAGGCCCCTGTTCTCATGGACCTTGCAGTCTAATCTAGTAAAGGTGGCAGGAAGTAAACAAACTAATAATGAAGGAAATAGCAAGTGACAAGTACTTTCCCGATATTGATAGTGACTGGGAGGCCACATTAGATGGGATGGTCAGGGAAGACACTTCAGAGGTAGTGATTTTTAAGTGAGATCTGAAAGCCACAAAGAATCTGGCCATGGAAAACTCAAACGACAGGGCACACTGGGAAAGGAAACAGCCAGTACAAAGGCCCTAAGAAGTGAGCATATGTGGCATAATCAAGGAATGGGAGAAAGAGAATGCTAAAGGAAGGAGTGAGGTATTGTGTTTGGAGAAATGGGACGTGATGATGTGAGAGACAGGCAGGAGCTGGACCAGGCAGAATTTTGTAAACTAGGGTAAGGAGTGTGAATTTGAGTCTAGGTGAGGCCAAGCGTGGTAGCTCATGCCTATAGTCCCAGCACTTTGGGAGGCTGAGATGGGAGGATTGTTGTGGCCAGGAGCTCGAGACCAGCCTGGGAAACACAGTGAGACCTTGTCTCTACTGAAAAAACAAAATTAGCTGGGTGTGGTGGTATGTGCCTACAGTGCCAATTACTTGGGAGCCTGAGGCAGGAAAACTGCTTGAGCCCAGAAGTTTAAGGTTGTACAGAGCTATGAACATACCATTGCACTCTATCCTGCCTGCGCAACAGAGCAAGACCCTGTCTCAAAACAAAACAAACAACAAAAAGAGAACTTTATTCTAGGAAGCCAATGAGGGCTTTGAGCAAGGTGACAACATGATCTGATTTGTTTTATAAAAGGTGCTCTGGTTTCTGTGGAGAGCACAAATTGTGGAGGCGTAAGGAAAGATATGGTGGGTCAGTTAGGAGACAACTGTTGTCACCAAAGGGGGATCCTGGTGGCCTGGAGCATAGTAGTAATGATGATGAAAAGATGTGGAGAGATGTTTGTATGTTTTCAATGCAGATGCAGGAAGATTTTCTAATGGATTGGATGTGGAATGTTGAGGCAACAACAGGAACCAAGGCTAACTCATAATTTTTGGAATTGAGAAAACAACAGAGAGGGAAAGCTGGGAGAGGAGTAACTTTAGGAAGGGGAATCCAGAATCCCATTTCTTCCATGTTGTGGTTGAGACTCCTCACGGCCATCACAACAAGCAGGCTGTAGGAGTTGAGATTGTTGGGCTAAGTATAGAGATTTGAGAGCAACTGACACAGATGTGGGACATGAGTGATGGGAATGGATAAAATCAGCTGGGAAGAGTCTATGAATATGAAGAGGGAAAAGGAGTCAAATGCAGAGCCCCACAGCACTCCAATATCCAGCCAAGAGAGTGGGATATAATAACATTAAAGGGAAGAGAGTGCTTTGGGAAGGTAGGATTGCTCAGCTAAGCTACATGCTGCTACAAAAACAAGCAAAACCTCAAAGAGCAGAAAAGTGACCACTGGAATAAGAAGCACAGCAGTGCTTCTTACAGTGATTCTGATGGGAGTAGCTCAGTGGAGGAGAGTGAACAAAGACCTTGCTGAATGTTGCTCATGCCAAATAATAAGTGAGAAAGTAGAAAAAGTGACAACATAAAACTCCTGCAAGGAAGTCTGCTATGAAGGGTGACAGTGCGACACAAGATAAAGGACTTTTAAAATTTGAGATAGGAGATCTTCAACAATGTTTGGAGTCAGAATAGCTGAGGTGACAATACCAGAGGAAGAGGGCTAGGAGGATGGGGGATGATATTCAGAGTAGAATGCCTGAAATGAAGATTTCAATTTTATGACTGTTGGTATTGACAAGGTAAAAGTATGGCCCTAGGACAGGAGACTCAGGGGTAATGGCAGAAAGGCTCATTGCAGGTGAAGAGACAGTGGGCTTTCAGGTCCAAAATTCTGGATAGATCATCCATGTGAGTTTTGAACACCTCCAAAATGGCAACAGGAGTAGGTGAGAAAGAAAATGATGCAGGAGCTAGAGAAATCACTAAATTAATGTGTGACAGTGAGATATTACGTGTTCTATAAAGGGGAGATGAGGGAAAGGTAGTGGAGAGGAAACACTCACGGCATGAACTTCACATGTGCTGAGATTATTGAAGGAAGAGGGGGAAATGATTGGGAAACAGGATTAGGAAGCAAGGAAGATACACCAGCCACTCCTCCAGGGCCTGAGATATGTGGGTTAGGAACAAACTGCACTTCTCCTCAAGAGGGCTCTGAGGACCCAGCCTCATCAGATGATAGTGACATTTCAGTTAGATTTTACAAGAAGGTGAAGCGAACAATCAGAGAACAGACTGAACAAATGTGAAGAAAGGCACTGATGGACGATGGGTTCTGGGAAGCACAGAGAGAAAGGTAGAAACTGAGCTGGATGATCCCCAGAGGGAAAGGTGGAAACTGTGGCCACTTCTGAAGTGTGACCTGCTTAGGCTCTTACCTGTGTTTTCTTTTGCAGTACACCAAAAGGTTATCGAAAAGAAAAAACACCCGTTCTTGAATATTTCCAGAAGAAATTTTCAGTAAGACTCCACACATTAGCATTTCAGTGCAGGTGTCAGTGATGTTGGACCCCTAAGTCAGGAGAAATGCAATTAACGTCTGCTTACTTGGTTGACACTTCTGTATATAATTATTTTTCTACTTACAATTATGGTTATTTTTATTTTAAGAAGCAATCTATGCACAGGCTAAAGTGCAAACAATCAGCAGAGACAGTTATATACTGATTGGAGGGCCCCTAACCCCCTCGGTTCCCCCCAATCAGTCTCCTTCTGTGTCTCTTTCCAGGTTGTGTACATACACGAGCATATAGAATATATGTCACCTATGTCATTTGAAAGGAGATGACTTCAAATTAATTCATAATGTTAACAATTAGAATTTATCTGTCTTTTTTTCCTCTTTTTCCCCAGTATGTGGGGAAAAGAGGCTCCATAGGCACAAAGTACATGAAATTGTCTACATGTTTAGCAGGTCTCAATTTATATATCCACCCCTAGGATGGAGAAAAGAAACAAAAAGAGAAAAAAATATTTAAAGGGAACAACTTTCCACAGAGCCTTTCACCCTATTTATTAGAAGCTGGCAAAGGCACACTAGCTAACTAAATAAGTGTTTATAGCATGCCCATCAAGATTACATGATTAGTGACAAAAGCAATTCTTAACACAAGCACTGGCCACTAGAAGTGAAGCGGAGCCACAAGATGGAAGGAGCCTGGCCCCCTGAATCATCAACAGAGGAAAGCTGCCCCCTGAGTTGGACATGAGCGTCAGACTGTGGTGGGAGATTCACAGAAATGTCTATTTTGAGCCATTATAAATATTATAATCTATTTGTTTCTACAACCTAATTTATCATAACCAATGCACTGAGTTGGACCAAAAAAAAAAAAGAAAAGAAAAAGGACATTTTCCATAAAGATCTATATATGTGCTCTGCAAGAGACTTTCAGTTTCAACTATATCAAGATTCTTTAAATCTGGAGTAAATTTCTAATTTTTGTGTAACTCAATGTTTCTATTTTTAATGTTTCATATTTAAAATTTACAACATTAGTTTTAAATTTCATATTTCCACAATAATCACTGATAATAGTTTCACTGGTTAATTATAAAAATTTAAATTAAAATAACAACTAACACCTACAATGACAAATCAAACTTTCAAAATGGGGAATTAATTAAGAGAGTTTTTAAATATTAATTTGATTATCTTTATATTGCAAATTTTAGACATTTTCCTTTATTATTTCCTTTTTTTTTTTTTTTTTTTTTTTTGAGACAGAGTTTCGCTCTTGTTGCCCAGGCTGGAGTGCAATGGCGCAATCTCAGCTCACCGCAACCTCCGCCTCCTGGGTTCAAGCGATTCTCCTGCCTCAGCCTCCCAAGTAGCCAGTATTACAGGCATGCCACTATGCCTGGTTAATGCTGTATTTTTAGTAGAGACGGGGTTTCTCCATGTTGCTCAGGCGGGTCTCCAACTCCCAACCTCAGGTGATCTGCCTGCCTTGGCCTCCCAAAGTGCTGGGATTACAGGCATAAGCCACCACACCCGGCTGTTCCTTTATTATTTCTTTTCATCCTGAAAGTGGATATACAAGTGAAGATTTGGCAAAAAAAAAAAAAGTTACAGAATTTCATGTACTTTATCATGTGTTCATTAAGCAAAGTGGTTTTAATTTATAGCAATTTCACAAAATGTACAGAATAGCTCTCCCTTAGACCATTTCTTATGATGATCCATATAGGCCAACCCTGGATGATAAGCTGTTACATTATGAAAGGGTTACTGCAGATATCATCTTAATTTTCACATTAAATAAATCTCCCGAGTACCTCAAATTAACATATGCAGATATTAGTAGGTGCATTCTTAACAAAGCATTTCCTGACTTGTTGATAATTATCTTTCTTAATAAATGTAAGGAGTATTTTATATAAAATTGAGCTAACTATAATGACATTGTTATCTTACAACTGATTCAAAGTGATGCTACAATCAATCAAACCGCTAGGTCTTTTTCCTCCATCCTGTACGTTAGTTTGACTTTTTGAATCACCCGTCCAAATTGATACAAGAAACTCTCAAGCCCCTTGCTAATATACAGACCTATTCTATCTAAGGCATTACTAAAAGTCCCCATCAGTTCCTCATTCCTGATCAAAAAACAGAGTAAGATTGACTGACCTCTTTAAGGTCAACATTTCTTTATATAAGCAACCCAAATCATCAGTTTAGTCAATTACTAATCACATTTTTAGTAAATAAGGACAAGCACAACCATTGATAGCTTCTAGAATTCATGGTTATGCCGCAAAGTGTATCTCACAATACACACATAACTTCGGTCAGATTGTGTTTTACTGAATCTGACTGAGATGTTTCTGTCACTGAGATGATGTACCTTTAACACTTAAAGCAGGCTTCAAGAATTAGTGCAATATCACCTTTCACCATCTTCTACCACAGTAATCTACCATCATGGCATGAAATATCTTCCTTGAGTAATTAAATAATTCCCTGAGAATTGTTAATGTACTAAAGGATTCTATGTCAAAATGTGCAGATTTGTCTAAAAATATCATCCTAACACAGCAGCTCATAGCATTTTCCTTTATACTGCATTAATCTTTGAAACTCTAAAGCATGCCCACTGTGCCTTTGATTTCCCATGACTTAAATCTGTGCATTATCTCTAGGATAATGGCAGGCAAAAATCATTAAGAACTGTTTAACCACAGATATGTATGAACTGACTGCGGAGAGAAACTACAATCTTGGAAAAGATGAAAGATGACAGGAGGCCTTGAAATGTCCCCACTCGTATACAATGCATCAGCAGACAAAGATCTAACAGAGCTAGATCCATTCACAGTGGAAGAAAAGAAAATTGACAAGACCGACAACTAGAATGTGCTTCATAGGAGAACAGTTCTGATATCAAAGGAGTCTCTTAAAAAAATTGATGAAGCATTTGAACATTCTTACAAAGATAAATCTTCAAAAAAATACTGTGAAAACAAACATAAAGAATATTATATTGTCTTATCATAAAATGTTTGACACATCCCAAAAATGACTCAGCATTTGATTTGCTCTTTTTGAGGTTAAAACTATTAACTAAAATTATAACCTGATTTCTGTGACATATAAAACAAATAATATAAATTTTCATTTTACTAAGATAAAGTCCCATCAAACCTTCCCCCCTTCCACTTCATTTAAATGTTGTGCCTCTTTTAAACTGGATTCATTTTTAATCGTCTTTTTCCAGAACCACTTATCCTCAAATAACAAAGACTATATATAAATCAATTTTATCTCAAGGTAGAAGATGAATTTGTATCTGCCAAATCACCTCGTACAGAGGACAAAAAGAAACAAGTACCAGCACTAAGCTCTGGAAGACTCACATCCATGAAATAACAAGAAACATGACCTGAAGTCAATACACTGTCAGGCACAAACTCAATCAAATGGAAGCAGCAGATTCCAAAACCAACAAGAAGTAATTTTTAAATGGTCCTGTAACACTGTATTTTTCCATGTAAAAAGGTAATAAAGAAATGTCCGATTTCTTTCTGTGTCTCTTTACTTTCTAAAACACAATATTTATCTTGAATCTCATTTATCCCAACACCTTCATATATTAATAATTTCTTCTCTTATCTTTTATCATAATACTGTTTTCCAGATTTGAGAGATCAATTCCAAACAGGCATATCAAGGACTTAAAGCTGAATTACTGACAACGTAATGTTTATTGATACTCCCTTGTCAAAATACTTCAGTATAGCTCCAAAGGCTACAGTTATCATTACAACATAATCAATCAACCAACACACAGACAGAGAATGGTCCTGTTCTATGAAATGAATCAGTGACTCTGATTAAACAGCTAATAAACTTCCCTTTCAGGGCATATTAATCATCGCCCACAATTACCTTCAGTAGACTATCTTGCAGAATGTTCTGAATGTTGCATAACTTATATGACTGAGATATAATAAATTATACTAACAAAAGGCATAACTTCAAAAATGAACAAATAAAACATACACTATAGATTTTCTGTGGTGGCAGTTACTACATAAACGCTGACAAAAACCTAATTTTGATAATCAACTTACTTTTAAAAGACAAGCAGGAAAACAAACTTAATCCAAAGCATTTGCCAAATTTGTATCTGAGTGGATATAATAGCACATGGTAAGGAATATAAGCTTTAGAGTCAAGCTACCTATTTTCAGATCTAAATGTTGTCACCTGTTAGTTATAAGAACTCAGGTAAGTTAAATAGTCTTCATTTTTTAAATCTATTCCATGAAGAGTATAGCATCTCAGCCAACTGTAGAGATGATTATAACGCACTGTATGTGATTATAACGCATACAATGGAGAATCAGTTATTTCCCCAAAAAGAAATTGGAGGGCTGGCAGTCAAGTTCCTCTGCCCTTCCCCTAGCAAATTCACCCAAGCAAGATTAGTTGAATCTTGGATTTTGATCTTCAGTCTTGAGTGTAGTCATATAAAGATGGAAAAAATTATTACAGCCTATTCATTTTAGGTAGGGCATGGATGAGACTGTCAAATAGTTTCAGCTGCCTAGACACCCTTCTCAGGTCTGATGCTGTAGCTTTTGTGTTGACTCTGCAAGCTACCCAATCTTTTAAATTAATTTTTCTTTTAGTTTCTGTTGCTTACAACCATATAACCCTAAGTACTATAATACCTTCAGTAGATAGGTGCATATATTAGACAAATGAGGGGAATTTTTTAAAGCTTTAAAATACTACCTCATATTTGCATAACATCTTACAGTATTGAAAGCACTTTTACTTATTTCATTCGACTTCTGCAATAATCCACACTCCATATAGGAGAGGAATTATATATCATCCCCAAACAAAGGGTTAGAGTCCAGACTAAAAACCAACTCTGCTCAAAAGCCATGTTTTTCTCACTGTCATATGTTTTGCAAACAATAAATTTCAATTGCTTCTTTACTTAAATTCAACATTCGGGATTGTAAATAATTTAGTAACACAAAATATTAGATAGGAACATTGTGCCTAAGAGATGTTATTGTTTAAAACAAAAGCTTTCATTTGATTAACAGTGAAGTAAGTCCCCAGATAATTAAATGACAGAATAATACACCTATAATAGAAATAATGCAAATTCATGGTATATCAGACTTGGATTCCATCAAATAGAATTTTAGTAACTGAAGGAACAGTGTCCTCCCTAAGGAGGCCCTGAACGTGGTCTGCAGGAGCCTGTGGAAGGAGCTGGAGAAGGTGTTTCCTAGCATGAGCCCAAGACTCCTAACCTCAAAAACTCGTAAGGGAACTCTGCATTCTGTAACTGTCATGCCACCCTACATCTGAACTTCTCCATGTCCTAATCCTAAGGTAGCCTCTCCACAGATACACAAGGCTTCCACAGGCTGAGCAAGGATCTCCATTAGCAAGTCAAAGACAGCTCTTAACTCATTACAGCTTCTTCCCAGGGCCTGAATTCAGCCTGTGTGACTCTGTGTCCTTACAGAGAGTCCTATGAGACTAGCAATTTCTCCTAAACTCCCCAGAAGGGACCAGGCCTGAAAATCAAGTTGCCCCCCTCGATGGGGTGGTGGACTGGGACAGGCAATGGAGCTCTTATCACAAATTGCCAAACCCACTGACTGGGCCCTGCTCCAAGTTGCACTCCCTCAAAGTCCCAAAACTCCCAATCTCTGTATGGCCGTCTTTCGCAATCATTGTCAAATCCTACTCAAGTAGAATTTATGTTGCCACTTCTTCTTGGAATCACTTTCTTGGAACCCAACTTTCATATTGTCTCCCCTGTGCCTCCTGGAACTGACTGTAGAATTTAAAAACAAGGACTATTTAACTTACCCAAGTTCTTATACCTAACAAGTGGCAACATTCTTCTCTAATTTCTCTGAATACACAACAGAATTCCTTAACTCCATCCAGTTTTCCCTATCTCAGTGCCCCATTTTCTCTTGCTCTCAATATGTCGTAAAACCACGAAAGCTGGTGAAGTCAGGCACCCTCAGTTGTGGGCTACATGTGATATAGTTCCACCTACATTCATTCTTCCTTTGAGTAACTGGTGTCTACTGTGTAAACAGTATCAATAACTTTTAAGGAATCTCTCATTTCTACAGTACACTCAATTTTTAGGATATACACCAGGATGAAACAAAATTATGACAGATTCCATTTCCTTAGAGTGCCGAAAAAAGTCTCTGAAGTTTTTGTTTTAGTAAAAGGCCTGGCACATTTCATTGACAAATTCTGCAATTTAAAGCAAGTTCCACTTTTCTTCCAGTGTTTGAGTGACAACAGAACTCCAAAAGCAAACTGGAGTCCATTTTTCTCATCACAGCAGGACAACAGCTCCCCAGGAAAAGAAATAATCATCATGAATTAACTGTAAAACACACAACCATTTTAGCCGCCTGAAAGAGGCAGCATTCATGCTGAATGTGAGGGCACTCTGGACACTTGAAATGGAAAGAGTTAGACAAAGAAGCAGCTAGGTCAACCCCAGTTAGCATTTTAAAAGATTCATAGGAGAGAAGGGACAAACGGGAGATTTCCTTAAGGTCAATGTTTGAGGTTTCTTTGCATATCTGGGTGGACATAATTTTAGGTCCAAATGAAAACTAACATATCAAAGGTAAGAAACAAATTCATCTAAAGCCTTAAAGATAAAGCAATCCACTTAGTTTTATGTGATAACAGTATTTGGCTAGGAGCATTTTCAATCTTTCCTGCACTTAAAAATTATCTTAATTGCTTACATTATAACAAGAAAAAATTTGACCTAGTCCAAAGCTTATACTCATTTAAATTAAGGCAACGTAATGACAGAATTTGAGTTCATTCTTTGCATAGTAGTAAAGTAACATAGGACTCCAACCCCATGAAATAACTGGGAATCAAAGTTACCATTAGCTGAAAATATTTTACAGGTTTTGAACTATACTCTCCTTTTTGGCATAAAAAAATTTCCTTAATGACTCAGGAGGTCATAACATTTTTCATCTTGAATAAACCTTAAAAATAAGATCATAGCCAATTCCTTCAGTTTATAAATGAAGAAATCAAAACAAAGAGGTTAAGTGAACACGTAATTTAGAGACTGAAAGTAATATCACAGCACACCTACTGAACTTTCCGTCCCTTCTTCACTCTCCCAGGATTCAGGCTACGTACTTATGGCCAAAGTTAAGAGAGGAACAGAATCATCACGATGCATAAATGCTAAAATATTAAAGTTTATAGCCCACATAGTATCTATTGGCTCCATCACAAACTTCTTCGGTCAAGGTTAAGTCGATTAACCACCACCTTAAAGATACTTTAAAATAATGATGAAAGTGAGCACTTTTCAGAATTGACTGTAGTCCTCAAGAAATATCTAAGAAAATGACCATTTATGGTTCCATCCAACGCCAGTAATTCTGCACAAGGCCTGCAACATTAAACTATCTTAAGCAAGATTGTCGAGCAAAGTGAATGTACCTCCCAGCCTTCAATGTGAGACTGCCATTCCTCTAAAACTTCTAACTTCTCCATCTGTCTCTTGGCCTCATTTATGTTGGAACAGACAGCTTTCATGGCTTGGAGGGCTTCCATCACTGCTGCATAGTCACTGTGTTTCCGTGGAGTCCGCTTCAGCAACTCCTGTTTATACACAAAAAAACAAATTGCCCTTTGATCTTCAGCTTTCTGGTACAGCAGGTTCATCCTGACCAGGAAATGAAAATTGCAAAGATCGTGAGAGCCACTTCCATAAGTGACATCACAAATTACTCTAAGATTAAGATCAAAAACAAAAGTTTGAATCAATGAGTAAGTGTAACCCAAATGCATATTTTTGCAGTCACTTTAATTTTTCCTCAAACTTACTTTGTTTTTAAAAATTAAGTTAGATTCCTCCTTTTGAATGGTCACATATCTTACCGGGAACACAAATTTTTATGTTTTTAATAATTTGACTTTTGTTCTAACAGAAGCACATCTTTATATGTTAATTTCATTTTTCTAGAGTCTAACAGAATAACAAATCTTTAAGTATGTCATAACTTCAAAAATAATTTAAACATCTTATTTTCTAATATTTTTGAGAAACTATAAAAAATGTCATAAAGTAAAATTTTAAAATAATGTCTTCTACTACAACAAGATAATTTATAAATTCTACAATATTCCATCATTAAAGGAGCAATTTATGCTGTTTTTCCCAATTACTCAGGCTTATTCTATGTGATGAATGAACTACCATGTACCCCTCAATAGTTTCCTTTTTTGTTTTTGGTATTTAGGGGATTGGGAGGGTCTTTTTATTTCTATTTTTCCCACTCATCAAAACTAGAATAATCTTTAATCTCTTAAACATATTGAAAGCCGTTGTTAGTTGTTTAAAAGCACAAAATTAAACATCTTCACCCACTGTCTAGACAGTTGGGACCACATTGCTTTTTAATTAGTCATGTGTTTCCTTACTACAGTTGCCATCATCACGTAACTAACACAATTACAGAAATCCTGAGGCAAGTCTTGAAAAGAATTTTCTAAATTCTCAACAAATAGTGTGAAAATATGCAGTTGTTATATTCTTTTGAGTTCTGTTATTGTTGAAAACTCTGCCATAAACTTGGACCCTAAATTCGTTATGTTCACACCTTGTTCTGCAGAGCTAACACCAGAGGAATACATATTATATCACTCCCAAGACAAGGTTTAAAAGCTGTGCTGGATCACAAATCCATAAATGAGACATGCAGGCTTCTTCAAAAACTCTAAAGAGTAGAGGCACCTGTAAATTACGTCAAGTGGTCAAGTCAGTCTACAGGCCATAATTTGGGGTCCAATCATCTAAGGAGTTGAATATGAATTTGCATAATGTGAAACAGTGAGAGGAAACCATCACTCACAATCTGTTAGCCATTACTCGCTAAGAATCCAATGTTGATTGACCAACTCAATAATTTCAAGCTCCACAAATAACATCAATGTATCTTTTCCTAACACTACAGCCTAATCCATAGAATATTTTTTTACAAATAAATGAAACACCCTAAATCAAAGAAAATCCCAGCAGAATTTTTCAGCTGATGGTACAACAGAGACAAATATCAACGCCAACGTATCTATTACATGAGTTAACAGTTTTTCATGTTTCTTTGTGGAGATAATCTACCAGAAAAGGGAAAGGAGGTCAACCTTCCACTGCTTGAAGGGGCTCTGCACCAACCTTCTGGCTAAGAAAGGATGCATCCACGATGCTTTCTTCTGAGAGGTCAGTTCAAATACCTGAGTTCATCCCTAATCAGAAATGAGTAATTTAGAATAACCACTTTGTCAGGATGTAACCTTTTAATCTCCCTATCCCTTCTTAAACAAATCCCTTGGGATTCCAAAATCAGGGTCAGGAATAACTGCAGTTATGAGTACTCAGGCAAAATGAGTCAAGTCAGAGGTCTGTAGGGATTCTCAGAAAGAAAGGAGACACATTTGCAACAACACTCCCTCCCTCTGCAGAGCTGGGGACTCCTGTGTCAGCCTCTCTGAGGCTTTTTATGGCTTAAGCAAGCAACGTTAGACTTTTATTTCTTTAATAAGGAATAAACGTTTTCAAATAAAATTTACACAGATACCCAATTTATGGAATTGACAAGAGTTGTGTTAAACTACATTTTTAGTTCAAATTCAACATTTATTTCTTAAAAAGCAAATCAATAAAAACACTAGTTAATATGTCTCTAGTATTTCTGAGTATTTTTTGAAGTTTAGATGCCAAGTAGTAATTTATATATTAAAATAAATCAGAATCAAATAGATATGAATAAAAATGGCTAATACTTATAACGTACATACTATGCTAATTGATTTTATAAAATAGTTAAATTAATCATTATTATTATATAATCCTATATATATGCATATATATGTATTCAAAATACACATGCATACATATGTACACACATTCCCACAGGTCTATGCTATAATTTCATCATCATTATCATCATCATCATCATCTCTATTTCATAAATGAAAAACTAAGGCATTAAGAGGTTCGATTACACGTCCAGTAAGCACCATACTTGGGATTTAAACTCAGAGTTCATGTGCTTAACCACTATCCCAGGCTGCCTATCCTGATGTTATGGTTCCAAAAAATGTAGTTTCAAAAATTGCTGTCTTGACCTATTCATAGGTCCGTTGCAGTAAGGGCAGTAAGTAGTTGGCACCTTACAGTATATTTTTCATAATAAAAATTGTGGTTACTATAATGAGGCAACAAATCTACGACCATTAGTGGGATATTTTACATCTTCTAGAGGCAATGTTTGTTTTCTTAGCAATCTCATTCCACATTCTATCATTTGTTGTCTCATGCGACCCACACTATTCCGTTTAATAATAATTTTAAATTGTGGCTATGCAATTATATAATTTTGACCATAATTTCATTAGCATCAGAAAGTCATTCAAAGTTTAAGGAAATCAAAAATATACCAGCAGTGGATTTGTTTAAAATAAAAGGCCCTGCAAAATGCTATATAAACTAGTCATAATGAACTTAATGGGATCTATCTTGAAGCTAATGCATTTCCTCTAAATGAAACTTAAGTATGCTTTATACAAAGAGCACCAAATGCTCTTTCAGTGGCTTTTCCACTGAAAATCTGTTTCCTACACTATATATAAATTTGTGACAAAATGACCACTTTTTTCCAATACTTATGGTCTGCCCTTCCTTTAGAATATCAGATTCTTTAAAATAATTTTTTAAAAAGATCATCAGCAAAATATGTAGGTACAAGGAAATGGCTACAACGAGGTAGCACATAAAATACCTTCAAAATGAGAGGGTACTTGCATATTCTTTGTATTGGTGTTACTAAATATCCTTCCAAGGGAACATCTGTGTTCTTCCGTCCTCCAAGCAGCATGCAGTTCTGGGGTGAAAATCATCATAATTAATGACATTTTTAAAATCTCAGGCAGCAAAATGTTTTTCTACCATAAAATGCTGAAAACTAGTGAAAGCATATGTCTTTATATACTTTCTTTCTCTAAGAAAAGCATATTCAGTCACAAACACTCACAGAGAGACAAAGAGAAATACTAGTTACAGAACTGTGTTGTGAATCTGTATCTTAAAAATTAATGCACTTATATTCCCCTGAGTATGAAGTCTGAGGAAAAAGAGGTGGAGAAAGAGAGAGCGAGATGAATGAATGGATGGATAAGTGGTGGATAAACAGATGATTGACACATAGATAGATTGATTTTGCTTATAAAGAAAGGTATATTATGTTGTAGAAGGGCAAGTATCAAGACAGTTAGGTTCTAACTCAGGCTCTGCAACTTACAAGTGATACAACTTGGGCTGATTTCAGAATTCTAGTTTTCCTCTCCATAAATAGGGCAGGTTTTAAGCAAATGATCTCTGAGTCATTTTTTGCTATCACACTGCACCAAAGACGCTGGGCAGCCAGTGACAGAGAAGGAGGTCAGACAGGATCTCCGCAGAGGCAAGGTGAAAGAAGAAATCTCAAAATCAGGTATCAGAGTGGGGTGAAGCTGAAGCAGCTTTCATTGATGATAAAGTGGTGGTCAAGAGAAAACTGACTCTGAAAAATAAAGCCTTCACCTTCATAAGCAACATGCAATGAAACAGACTTAAAACTTGCCCAAACCTTCTTTCTACAGTGCCTACAACAGACAAATTATTTAATAAATATCTAACAGAGGGAGAAGAGAGCCCCTCAAATATCAAGTTAAGTTAGCAACTTTCATACTACAATTTTTAAAATACTGTTTCAGGTTCATTGAGAGGAGAGGCTGAGTGTTGATCAGGAAAGGATGCAAAAGGAAGACCGATAGTAGCAGAACAATTTTCTGCTGTCCTGAGCAACTGAATATCAGCCTCAATTTGTGGTCCAAGTCAGCAAAATCAGCACTATGAATGTAACTTCACCCAGACCCCACAGATGACATAGCAGCAAACACATGCTCTTACACAAGTATCCTCTTTAGGGGTTTCACTCCCTACTGCAATCGGATTATCAAAATATTCTTTCAAACTATATTTGGTATTTTCCCCCAGAGGAATCCTATGAAATACAACTATCTATATCTCGTTATATTTCCAGTGATGTTTCCGTTCCAGTATGTTAGCATCCCTGTAAATTACAGCAGCCATCCCCTCACCTACCTCTGGACTGAAGTGCCCTAAAATCACTCAGGGCTATCTGGCCTACTTTTATTGCCTTGTGTATTAGTACTGTATAGATTGTGAACTCAATTCATAGTCCCACAGGTTGGCTACCACTTTAGACTGGCTTAGGAGAGCTAGCTCCTTAGACATACATAAAGAATATGTTTCCTGACCAGGTACAGTGGCTCACGCCTATAATCTCAGCACTTTGGGAGGCTGAGGTAAGAGGATCGCTTGAGCCCAGGAGATTGTAGAAAAATGAAAAGTGCATCAGGAACCAAGAGGAAACATTAAGCTTACCAACATGTGTGTAAATTAGAGTCACTAAAGAAGAAAACAAAGGGTCAGATAAATATTTCTAAAATAATGGCTAAAAACTTCCCAGATTTGATGAAAAATTTAAACTATAGATTCAAAAAGCTCAACTATAAATAAGAAATGTACAACCATCCCCACACCTAAATACATCGTTGAACTACTGAAAGAAAAACACAAAGAGAAAATCTAGAAAGCAGCAAAAAAGAGAAAAATGTCCCATCGTATAAAGTATAATAACCATACAATTATAGCAGATGCCTTATCATCAGAAACAATGGAAGCCATAAGGTAGTAGAATGACATATTCAAAGCGCTGACTGAGAAAAAAATCTATCAGTCAAAAAGTTCTATGTCCAAGTAAAATTATCCTTCAGAAATGAGGGCAAAATAAAGACATTTGCAGATTTAAACAAAACAAAAACAAAAAAAAAGACTGAGCAAAGTCATTGCTAGTAGAAATGACTTACAAGAAGTACTAAGGGCTGAAAAGTCTAATATCAGAGTCAAATACACAGGAAGAAATAAGAGCACCAGAGATGGTAAATATTTACATAAATATAAAAGACTGCAGAAAAATATAGAAAGCAATAATTGTAACACTGTATTGTGAAGTTTATAACATATATAATGTAATATATATGGCAATAATAGCACAATAGAGAAGAGATGAAATGGAACATTTTCCATTTCTATTCAGGAAATATTATAGCCAAATTTCCCCTATATTTAAGTGGAATTAGGTCAGTATTAACCTAACATGGATTTGATATGTTAAGATGCATATTGTAGTTCCTAGCGCAATCACCAAAAAAACTGCTAATAATACAGTTTAAAAATTGAGAGGAATCAAAATGGTACACAAAAAATGCTTCATTGACACAAAAGTAGGTGGTAAAAGAGGAACAAAGAAACAAACAAAAAAGACACCTAGGAAAAAATAATAAAATGGCACATGTAAATGCCATATTGATAATTACATTAAAAACAAACAAAATGAGGACCCCAGAGACTGTCAGACTGGATAAAAAGCAGACCCAACAATATGCCATCTGCCAGAGACATTTTAAAGATCCTAAATGGCTTGTAAGTAAAATAACAGAAAATGATATAACATATAAAGATAGTAAGAGAGCTATCACAGCTATAATATTATTAGGAAAAATAGACTTTAACAGAAGAAATACCACAGGGACAAAGAAGACCTCATGATGATAAATAGAAATATGAATATAACAATTATGAATGTGTGCATATCTAACAGAGTCCCAAAATACAGCAAACAAAAATGGACAGAATTAAAGGGTAAAATAGATAATTTAATTATACATGGAGATTTCAATATCTCATTCTCAATAATTGGATCATTAAACAATATGAATAATATGAATAGTAATTCATAGCATTGTCAATGCATATAATTCAAAGCATTGTCAATATATATGAATATTATTATTCACATCATATAATATGAACTAGAAATATAATAAAAGTTATCCAACATAAGAAAGAACATCTACCAAAAAAATCGATAGCAAACATCATACTTAATGCAGAAGGACTAAATGTTTTCCTACTGAGATTAGAAATATGGCAGGGGTACCCGCTCTTACCACTTTTATTCAACACTATACTGAAGGTTCCAGCCAGTGCAATAAGGCAAGAAAAAAAAATAATTCATCCACAATGGAAAGGAAGGAGTAAAATCATCTTTATTATCAGATAATTGATCCTATATGCAAAATACCCTAAACAAGCTACAAAAGAACTACTTAACAAATACATAAATTTAGATTGCAGGACACAAGATCAATAAACAAAAGCCAATTAAATTTCTATATATTAGCAATGAACAATTTTAAAATGACATTAAGATAATTTCAATCACAATAGCATCAAAAGGGGAAAAACAAAGGGAAAAAAAAATAAGTACAAGACCTGAATACAGATTTCTCACATATGACAATAAAAGGATGGTCATAACAGAAAAAAAATGTAATAAATTAGACTTCATCAAAATTTAAAACTTCTGATTTTAAAAAGATGATATTTTAAAAGCGAACAGACAACACTGGGAGGAAATATTTGCATATTATATATCTGACATAGGACTTAGCTCTGAAATAACAAACATTTATAGCTCAATATAAAACAAACATCCCAATTTTTAAACGGGTAAAAGATTTGAATAAACATTTCACTAAACAAGACATGAAGAGTTAATAAGCACATGAAAGCATGCTTAATGTAATTAGTCACTGGCAAAATACAAATTTAAACTACCATGAGATAGTGCTACACACCCACTAGCATGGCTATAATCAGAAAAACTGAAAATGCCAAGTGTTGGCAAAGATATAGAGAAACTGGAATCCTCATGCATTGCCAGTAAATACGGCACAGTCACAATGACAAATAGTTTGGCAGTTTCTTAATTAGTTAAACATGAGCTTATCATACAACACAGGCATCAATTCCACTTTTAATGTCACCCAAAAGAATAAAAACATTATGTCCATTCAAATACTTGAACATAAATGCTCATAACAGCATTATTTATAGGAGCCCAAACTGGATCCAGACCCAATTTTCATTAACTGGCAAACAGATAAACAAAATACAGCATATCCATACAATAGAATAGTATTTTGCAATTAAAATGAATGAAAATGGTCCTGGCTAACACGGTGAAACCCCGTCTCTACTAAAAAATACAAAAACTAGACAGGCGAGGTGGTGGGCGCCTGTAGTCCCAGCTACTCGGGAGGCTGAGGCAGGAGAATGGCGTAAACCCGGGAGGCGGAGCTTGCAGTGAGCTGAGATCCGGCCACTGCACTCCAGCCTGGGCGACAGAGCAAGACTCTGTCTCAAAAAAAAAAAAAAAAAAGAGAATGAAAATGGATCTATTCTATAGCAAGAATGAACTTTGAAAACATTTTACTAAGTGAAAGAAGTCAGGCACAAAAGATTGCATTGTATGATTCCACTTACATAAAATCTCCAGAAAAGGCAATCTATAGGGATGAAAACAAATCAGTGTATGCCTGGTGCTAATGGTGGGAACAGAGATAGGCTGGAAAGGGACATGGAGGTCTTTCCGAGGTGACAACAATGATCTAAAACTGAATTTGGGGGATGCCTGTACAACTCCACACTCTGCTCAATATCACTGAATCGCACAATTATAATCTGCTCTTCACTAGCGATTAGTTTGCCCATGACAGTCAAAATACGCATTTATTTGTGCTAAGCTAAAGAAATTAAACACATATTTTTGTTGTTTTTATGAAAACAAAATAAGAAATGTATGTAGGAGAAAGGTTAAATTTTACACTTATTTTCTACCATATCCACGATTTGCTTCCTTCCTGTTACTGCCCTACTTACAGCTCTCTCAGCAGAAGTAAAGGACGCCCTACGGAACTGGGGCTATAAAGCAGTGATGAACTCTGGCAGAAGCCTCTCTCACTAGGAATCTCACTAGGAACCTGTGGGGTCTCACAGATAATTCATTATCAACCACGAGGGGGCATTAGTGGTACTTCCCCAAACACAAGCTGATCCCAGCTCTCACTTTTATTTTTATCAAAGGACTCTTGCTTCCTCACCTGGGGATGCTAACAGAGGTATCCCACAGATTTTTACACCATATTGATGCTATTCCTTGGTTCTCACTGGACCTAACAACACATATCAACATACAGTAACACATAAATATACACTTACCAAAAGAAATGTCCGAATTGTTCTTATTTTGTTGAGTTCAAGAAGTAATTTTTGTGCCTTCTCATGGTTACTACAATATTCATCATATATACGAAATTTGTCTTTCTGTGAATTCATGTAAAAATAAATTAGTCATTTAATTCAGCATTCTGCAATTTTAACCTATGTGATATGCATAAAGAAGCTTCAGAGTGCTTATTACATTTTAAGAGCTATACTGCGTGTATACAGCTATATATAAATTTTATTTATTTTCCCTGGCCCATGAAGAATAGCCTAGAAAGGGAGATAGACATACATCAGTTATACTCTATCATGAGGAATTCAAGTGGACAAATGAACCAAAGGGCGGCAAAGCACAGAAAAGAGAGGGCTGAGCTTTGTCATGAGGATTCAGTTACAGCTTAAAAAGAGGAAGAAATTACATACATATTCTTGCTGTTATTTATGAAAACTGAATAAAGACTGTATGCAGAAGAAAGGTCAATCAATCTGAGCAAGGTCCAGGTATATAAATCCATGATTCCTAGGCAGGGAGAGGGAAGAAAGTCATTTAGGTGAAGGCAAAAGCAAGTGCCAGATCATATAGAAATAGAGAAACACAGGACCCTGTGGTTCATATACACCAGTCTAGACAGTTGTGCTTAAGAGAGACACTAACAACCTGAAGAATATCTAGCAACAAGCAACTAAGAGAATGACAGACCCTGAAGACACCACGTCTGAGAGGTTGTTTCAGAGAGTCATATTTGTAGGTATAGAAAAGTCAGGAAATCACGAACACTTTCAAACAGTGTTATGTTGTAAAGGACTGACAGTCCTATGTAGCTCCAAATATAAAACTAGGAGCTTTAGGTGGATATTGCAAGGGCAGTGATGGGCAGATGTTGAATCATCATGGAGATTTTCTAACAGAGCTGTCACTAAAGTAGGAACAAAATAAACAGCCTTCATAGATAAATAGGAGATATTCTTTTAAAACAAGAGGATTTGTACCATCATGATCTCTAAGCTCCCTTCTATTTGTAAGATTTTCTCAAAGTGCCTTATCATCAAAAGAGTACCAATAAAAGAAAGACACAAAAAATGTATTGATCAAATATTAGAACAAAAGCGAAGCGTGCCCACTGAAATTTTAAAGGCACGCATTTAGAGACATTAAGTGCTACTTTCTCTAACCAGCAGAAAATGTATTGAATCACTTATCTCAAGAAATGATACGAGCCAGAAAAATAAAATAAACTTCAGAAATAGTTTAGCTAAATTCAGGGATGACAGATTCATAAAGTGTTACTAAGGAAATGGATGTCAGGGCGCAAGATTCCCAGGCACAGACCCGGACTGAGAGAGCAACTACTCCAGCTGGCAGAAGATTCTGATTCTTTTGATTCTTTCGTGAAAGAAAGCAGGCTTAAGTGAGTGGACACAAACACCCGTGGCTTCCAGCTGTGCCCAAGAAAAACACAGCTTGATCTTCCTATACCCCATGAGCCTCTCCTTTTAATATAATTATTCTTATGACATATTTTCTGATTATAAAAAGAACATAGAGCTTGCTCACTACATAAAGACACATTTTGAAACTACTATCAAAACCTTTCTAAAAGACTAGATGGAAAATTAAAAACACACAAAATTTGATTTCTATGACTAAATACCCTTACACATTTTTAAACAAAACATTAATTGTCTAGCATTTTGATAAATACATGGATTTATACTGGTATTCTCAAAATTAGCATCAATGCAATGGTATAAAATATCAGCACTCTCTCTCTTTTCTTTTTTTTTTTTTTTTTTTGGTGTGAATGCCGTTTAGTTCTGAAAACAATTTTCACTACACAGGTGTCTTTTTATTTTGCAAATTAATTGCATAAATAATTTCAGGCATTATATATAAAGAGATGAAAATGATCATATAGGCACAGGATGTATAATTTGAAACAACTGAATGCTGGCTGGTTATTGCATCTGCACTGCTCAGTACAATCTTCTGAGAAACCATCCTTGGGGAAAATTCCTGCTACTGGGTTTATTCAACTCCAGGTTTGTCACAAGTTGATTAACAAGGGAACATTCTGACTAATAAAAGGCTCATCGTGCCATTATAGGAGTGAGGATTTTCTGCCTCAAAAGAAAAATGCTCTATGTTTGAGAGAAACATAAAAATTCATTCATTATGAACAGCCTGAATATTCATTAGAATTCAAAGCTACAGAGGATGCGAAGAACTAACTTGTCGGGGAAAAGAAAAGGCTGTTTATTCTTCAGTAAAATGGATGATGTGAGGCACTCTCCCCTTTTCTGGCTCTAAGTGGAAGATTTCATTGGCCTTAAAAGACCCCAAACTTTTGGTGTCAGATTTTACTTCTAATACTGAATGCACACATACCACTATGCCAAGAGCTAAATCTTAAAATCTAGGGGAAAAGAACTTTAAAAATAAACAGAAATTTATCCTACAAAGTGAAGAAAGCAGGTTCCCACTTCTTGCTGAGCATTAGGTTCGGGGTGTAAGCATTCTTCCACGACTTTTAAGAATTCTTTATGTACTGCAAGGATGTCTTCAATGTTTGAGAACAACATCTGTAAATAAACAAATGTGTAAGTAAGCTCAGTAGTGAAGCAATTTTTTTAAGTCTATGATAGCATAGTATTCCGTCTCCAACCCGAAAACTGCACATCCATGCCTTCTTCCCACCTTGCCAGCAGAGCCTCAATTTTGTCTGGACGTCCCCTCCACGCCACTGACACAACTCTGGGAACCATGAGCCCATGGCTGGCTCTCAAGGCAAGGCCTCGGTTGCCCAATCCAAGCCAGGTATCCCACTCCCTTCTCAAGGCTGGGCTGCATGGAAACCAGCAGAGTTACCAGCAGGCTTTTCTGGGAAAGGCATCTACGCTCCTAAGAAGGGCACACCAGAATGGACAGTCCTCTTTACCCTCTGGAAGGTGCCACATGTAGAAGTAAAACCTGGGACAGCTTGCAGAGTCATTCTGCAGCCACAGGAAGAGCCAGCTTGAGCACAAAGCTGATAACCTGGGTGGCAGTGATTAGCTGGAGAGGATGTAGCGACCTTGCTGGCCTCTCTGGGTCACAGGTGCTAAACCTTCTCCTCTGTCTGGAGGACATGTAAGCCAAAGTGTCTTCAATTCAATTTGAGTAAGAGGTTTCTTCAGCTTACAATCAAAAGCAAGCTAACTAAAATATTCTCCTGGGAGGAAAAGTTAAAAGTTAGGCATTTTACTCATGGGGAAATAGAGTCAGAAGAACCTTTAAAAATCCTTAGAATGTTCTGTATTTCCAGCAAAATAAAACAGTAAGTTAGCATCATAAATATCAGGAATAGTACATAAAATTTAAATGAATAATCATTATAGTATAATTAATTTTCATTCACCATCTTTTTTTTTTCAAAACTGTTCACAATTTTCCTTCCTTGCAGTTTAAAAGAAACAATTATACATCTGTTTCTGAATTAAGGATATTATGTGGAGTGAACCATCGAAATCTTTTGTTCTTTAGTGATCACAGAGACTAGAAGTCATGTTTGCCCACATCCTGCCTTCCTGAGCCACCTCTAACAATCCTCTTATATGGCTCAGTTCCCTCCTTCTCAAAGACATTGAGGTTCTTAGCCTCCTATTTATTTATTTATTTAGAGACAGAGTCTCACTCTTGTTGCCCAGGCTGGAATGCAATGGCGCAATCTCAGCTCATCACCACCTCCGCCTCCTGGGTTCAAGCGATTCTCCTGCCTCAGCCTCCAGAGTAGCTAGGATTATAGGCATGCGCCACCACGGCTGGCTAATTTTGTATTTTTAGTAGAGACAGGGTTTCTCCATGTTGGTCAGGCTGGTTTTGAACTCCTGACCTTGTGTGATCCTCCCACCTTGGCCTCCCGAAGTGCTGGGATTACAGGCGTAAGCCACCACACCCGGCCACCTCCAATTTATTTTTCTTCCTCTGCCCAAATGTTACCAAGGCCTTGGTTAAAAAAAAAAAAAAAAACTCTATGACTTCTCTGTCATCCTCTTAATCTCCCATCTCTTTTCCTAAGCCCTGTTTCTCCTTTTTAAAATTATTACCAATACAACTGACGGGCACAGCAACTTGTAGTGGAACTGTCGATCAACTGAAGGGCTGTGAAGTACCGTAAAGTACCATGGCACCAGCAAAATTTATCTGTAGGAAACTCGTGCTCAGGTTGGGGCCAATTGTACCTCCTCACCTTCACTGTTTCTTCTGTCACATTTTTGTCAACTTTTGATGCTGCACACTGGTTCATTCGGTGTAAGAATGCCTGCATGAAACAAGAAGACATTATGAAGTTAACATTAGGTTAATAAAATGACTGGGTGTTGAGCAGAATTAAACTAATTTTTTTACAACAAACCAAAGTGTAAAAATCAATTTGTTGAGTATAATTGTTTTGTTGTAACACAGAAACCCTTGTGCATTGCTGCTCCTATCTGGGAATTACACTTCCTTTACAATGTTGGGATAGGGCCAGAAATCATCAAGTATATGTAAATTAAATTTATCCACCAGGATCTCAAATTTGTGAAGTAAGCATTTAGAGTCAGATATTTCCTAAACTTCTAAGACTTGTAAAGCACAAGAAGACCAAAATTTAATGGAAAATGGCATTTCTAATAAAACAACAAAAGGGCCAGAGATTCTGAAGTGATCCTCTTTGAAATTAGAGATAGATAAATAGATAGAAGATAGGTATGTAGGTTGAGTGACTGATTGATAAAATAGATTATAGATAGATAGATAGAAAGATAGACAGATAGATAGATAGATAGATAGATAGATAGATAGATAGATAGATAGATAGACATCCCTGCCACTGATTCCCAGGAAGACACTTCAAGAAGGAATGAAAGAATTTCCTTTCCCCTCTATTGCCCACCCCCAGCCTTTTAAGAAGCCAGAATTTAAATTTCTGGGTTCAGGTCTGGGCTCTCCATACCTCTATGGTAGGCAAATAAGCCCTTTAGTAATTCAAAGATTTGGACTCTTCTCAGTGGTCATTAAGTTTTGACCAATGGCTAAATAGACTATTATTTTCACAAAGAAAAATATGAGTAGAATAATTTCATTATATTGAGCCTCAAAAAAGAAAGTTTAGGGGAGAAAAAGGAGAAAAGAATTTCCATCTAGCAAATTTGGTTTATGTCCTCAAGATACCATCTATTATCACCCTCAGGACATGGCTAAGAAGAGTATAAAATGGAACAACATTTCAGAGGGCAACTTGACATTATATCTCAAAATTTTAAATGGGTATTTCCAGCCAGTAGGGTGGCTCACATCTATAATCCTAGCGCTTTGGGAGTCCCAGGCAGGATACCTTAAGACCAGGAGTCTGAGGTCAGCCTCGGCAACACAGCAAGACCTTGTCTTTACAAAGATTGTTAAAGTTTGCTAGGTGTGGTGGCGCACACCTGTAGTCCTAGTTACTTAAGAGGCTGAGATGGGAGGATCACTTGAGCCCAGGAGTTTGAGGCTGCAGGGAGCCATGATCACACTCACCACTGTACTCCAGCTTGGGTGACAGAGTAAGATCCTTTCTCAAAAGATAAAAATAAAAACAAATGGGCATTTTCTTGACCCAGCAATACTACTTCTAGGACTTTGTTCTATGAAAAATATTCAAACAAGGGGATTCATTGTATTTATTACCAAAATGGAAAAATTGGAAACAATCTAAATGACCATCAATAAAAGAGTCATTAAACATATTATGATATATTCAAATTATAGACTACTATAGCAAAAGTGCAATCATAAATGGAATGTGATGAAAACTGTATATACACGTACATGTGTATATGACAGATGTCTATAAAATGTTGTCTGTTGAAAAAAATTAAGTGGCATATTTGCTATATACATACATATATGCAGATGCATATGAATATATACAGATATACAAATGGATAATATCAGTGTGTGATAATATTGAGAAAACAGCAAGTGGCATTTCCCAAAATGCAATGGGTAGTTCACGTTAGGTAATAGGAAATTGACCTTTGTACACTTTCTAATTTCTGTAGTTTTTAGCTATAAGCATAACTTATATCAAAAGAGGAACAAGACTATTTAAAATAAACCAAATGAGCCACAAGATCTCACTCCTAGCATGAACTTCAGAACCACATTTATTCCTGATTCAACCAGTTCATGTTTCAGATTCTGTAACTACCATGTCAGAGCAGAAGGAACAGCCTCAATTCTTCAACATCAGCGGAAATAAATAAAATGAATATGTATTGGATGTCACTCCAATTTGTCTATTGGGAACAAGTGACATAATTTTTGAACTCTTATCTAAAATTAATGATAATTGGTGAAAAAAATTAGAATTTTCTAACTTTAGGCCGGGCGCGGTGGTTCAAGCCTGTAATCCCAGCACTTTGGGAGGCTGAGACGGGTGGATCACGAGGTCAGGAGATCAAGACCATCCTGGTTAACACGGTGAAACCCCGTCTCTACTAAAAAATACAAAAATCTAGCTGGGCGAGGTGGTGGGCGCCTGTAGTCCCAGCTACTCGGGAGGCTGAGGCAGGAGAATGGCGGGAACCCGGGAGGCGGAGCTTGCAGTGAGCTGAGATCCGGCCACTGCACTCCAGCCTGGGCGACAGAGCGAGACTCCGTCTCAAAAAAAAAAAAAAAAAAAAAGAATTTTCTAACTTTAAGTGCTCAGGTTATTAGTATTATTATGTTTAATTTTTTGCTTTAGTTTTGTTTTTCTTGAATATTTTCCACATACTCATTGCAAAAATGTTCTTTATATCATTCCATTTACTCTTAAAATAACATGGTGGTTTATTTGCCTAGTTTACATAGTTTACATTTCGTATTGACCACATAGTAAACAGGTAACCTCTCGTGCAAGCAAAGCTTAAACTTCACCTCTACATTTATAAACCTTTTCTTCATAAACTGAACTCAGTCACATGCTGAAATGGATAAATTAAAGTGAGGAAGCAGTAACAATGAATCAAAATATGAGTTAGAAGGGAACATACAAACTAAGAAAGTAAACCATGTCTTTATCTGATTTTTTATCTTCTTATTCTCCGTGACAATATGGAACTTTTTGTTTAACTGTGTATGAAAGGAAATCTGGAACTTGTTAGCATTTCTGACCAAGTATTTCTTTTTCCCAAGGTCCTCATTTTATACAACAGTGAAGGCAGATTTTAGATGTTTGCTGAGAACGCAAATTCATGAAAACTTAAGAGGTTAAATCATTAAAACCTAAGAGGTTTAAATCTTCCTTCCTAAAGCTAGGAATAAATAGGTAATTTCAAAATCACCCTTTAACAACCAGTATCTATAGTGCCCTTTCAGACTCTGTTAATTGGCACATTTAATCCTCCTTATATCAATCAAAGAAGCATCAGTAGCCTAGTCACAAAAATACATGAAGGATTCTATACATTGTTTTATCTCTGCATTCATTCCCACTTGTCCAAAATTTCATCAGAATCAGATAATATTCATCTTGACACACATATATTTGAAATCGAGCTATGGAAAATAGCTTTTTATGCTAGTGGGTTTCAAATTTTTTCTTGTGTTTAAGACTTGGAGAGTTTCCTCCAAATGCAGATTCCTATCCCCAGAGGTCTGATTCAGCAGATTAATTTAGGACCCAGAAATCTGCATTTTGAGCAGGACCTCTAGGTGATTCTGATGTAGTTGGTCCAGAGATCATCTTCTGATGAACATTTCTTTATGTTTATTCTTTCAAAGACTAAAAAAAAAAAAAGCAGACTTTGAGAAATAAATGAGTCTTAATAGGAATATCGGATTTACTTGTTTCACTTTGACTTTTAACTCAATGTCAAACAGCAGTTGTTTCTATACAACATACTCTCACCCAACAACTTGGAATGCTGGTACCCTGCAGAGGACACGCCTCCCACCCATGAAAATCACAGTCAAGGCTGCATTTAACTGGTCGCAATAATCTCTGAAGGGTAGGGAGATGCATACACAACATAGATGAGTCAAAGACAGGCTAAGTTGCGTTCAGAGGAAGTGAAGCTCTCGTAGATCCCCCTCGGAGGACCTTTCAGCTTGCACGTGTGTGAGCATGTGCTCTGTTCACCAGCATTCCTCTAACAATGGCTCCACGAAAAATATTTCTAGATTTCACTCTAGTCATGAACGTTTTCCCAGAGTACTCTTTATTTTCTCTTTAACTTGCTCCATATTATCTTGTATTTTTGGTAAATGCATATGATAAATATTATCCACCAATTAAAGTTTAATAAAGCTAAAAATGTCACCAATTTGCTATCAAGAATCAAAAGGAAGAAACTCATTTAGATGAAATAGGAAGATGACAGCAATCTCCCTTATCCGTGTCTGCCCATTTGTGCTGTTGCTAGTTGAAAAGTAAAGCAAAGCTCACCATGGGCTTCATTCTCAGAATGCATTTTCCTATGTTATGATTTCAACATACAAAATGATTTCTTTCAACATATTTTTGCCCTTTCCACTCTTTTCATCAGTCCAGGCACACACAGATCACTCTCAAAAGTCCTGCAGATTTTCACAATTTATACTTTTAATTCTAGATACCCAATGCCAATCTGAATTTCGTATCATACAGCACTAAACCTTATTACTCCAACAAATATTCTACATTCAAAATCCTGAATGTAGACTATTTAGCAGCACCCTGTCACCTTAAAGATTTGGCTATTTAATATGGATACAGATAGACAAATTGTGTATATAAAAGTGAAATAGGAAAAATTTAAGAGGGACCCCACCATTGCAGGAAAAAAGACTGTATTAATTTCATGAAAAGAAACGAGAAAAAAACAATAAGGGTAAATATTTTCCTTTTACCCTTTAACTTAAAACAATATTATCACATCACCGTTCTTTGGAAGATAAGGGCTTTGTCTGGTCCTAATAAACGAAAGAAGTTTGTCATTTGGGTTTGCATGAACACCTGGTTGGTACTGGCATCATTGGAATGGAGAAGACTGAAAGTGAAGAAGGTTTTGGGGTGGGAGAGTCAGAGTTTGTTCTGGACCTGTTGGGTCTCAGATTTCTATTGGGCGCCAGTGTGGAGATCATGAGTAGGGGGTTAGCCATTCCAACGTGAAGTTCTAAGGGAGGGATCAGGGCTTACAGTAAAAAGCCCTGATTGTCACTGGCACAAAGATGTAACTCAGGTAAAGCATATATAGAGAGAAGAAATGACCAGCCCTAGTCCATTGGAGACAGTGTGGAGACGGGGAAGACAAAAGGCACAAGGACAGGATCATT